AGTTACCTGTGAGCTTTCCTCGTAGAAAAGTAAGCTCATCCATAAGGTACAAGCGTCCTAAAATACCCTTTTTGGTTTGTTTAAACTGACGTGTACGTTTGTTTGGGTGGTTAAAATCCTGATGTACAACGTTAGCTTGCGTCGTAGGAAGACTAAAAAATTATGATGGTGAGTCGGCATAAGATAATGGGAAGCTTTTAGCATCGCAAGGGTAGCGGGTCGATCAAACGACTAGGAGATGCGGCATAGGATGTCGTCATGTAGCTAATAGTAAGTTTAGGACGGGTTGAATTTTCATAAGTGTGGCCGTTTTATGTTTTGGATTATGCTGACCACGACTATCAAACCAAGCCTACCTATCCATTAAGTCGCCTCACATGATCCGTACATACCTACGTGTATCTGATCTGATAAGTTAATTTAGTAGGTAGAGAAAGGTCCACTGTCTATGTGTTACCCCCTCTCTCTCTTTCGTTAGTACTAAGGGATCCAAGCGGGAAAGGGATCAAGTTTTGAAGTGTGATTGCACGGTATCCCTTAGAGAGAGCTTGGATTTGACGCTCATAGTACTACATACGAAGAGAAAATGACTTAGACTACGAGGATAGTCCCATCTGAACATACTACCTCTAAGAGTCTCAGAAAAACATCCTAGTTATGATAACCATATCGCTGGATTTTTGCCGTTCTTGATTCTAGGTTCTGTAGGGTAGCGTAAAACCAGGGGGACCCCTCCACGGACCATGGGAGCCGGCGGGCATGACCTGTCCGGAAATCTAGAGAATGTAAGTAGGCTGATGGGTCCTTTTACCGATGGAATGGGTTTACAGGCCTGCCTTTCATGGACGATTATGTCTTCTGGTATCATTGCAAAGAGAATATAATATATCTCGATAGGCTTGCAATACGACAGAGGAGCATGGACACGACTGTAACAACCTTCTGGTTAATAGGCCTATGATCTTTTGTATGCCATGTTGTGCATGAATGAGTGTGGGGGAATTAGTTCCCTGTAGTCGTCTTGGAAGCTTCGTACTTCCCATCTTCGCCTCTCAACTAGTCGTTCAATGATAGACCAGAGGTTGGTTGGTCGTCGTCGAATAGAGTAGGGTAGAGGAGGCAAATGCTGATTGGACCGGATCGATGCAACTACTCACGAGAAGGTGGGATAATGGATGAATAAGATACAAGGAAAGATTAGCGCCGATATCTGGTATCAAGTATTTTCTGAAGCAATGCGCCAGGCGTGTTTCAGACTTACAGGGAAACCACAGGGGAATGGAGAGAAGTTCGCAGGGATTGAGGGATCAGCGTGCCAATGACAGGTACCCTTTCGTAGTATGGTACCATCCAGCGTCTTTCCCTCTTGGCATCTATTGGCAGGGGAAGCTTGAATACAATGTACATAGATGATGGATTGTGCAGGTGCGTGCCTAATACCCCATACCAGCGTAGTACCTGCAGTAAACACCTTAGTAAAGTGAAGTAGCTTCCCTAATGCAATTATGTGTACTTATCGGTTAATAGAGCAAACCGAGCAAGCGAGTGGAAAGAGGTAATAATAAAAAATCATGCTAAGTACATTTACATTTTCTTGGCCTAAAGCAGCAATTAAAATGGCCAATTCGCTAAGGACGCCATTAAGACATTGTCCAAGTATTATTAGGTTCCCAGGTTAGAGTCGATTTTCCGGTTTGTCAACGATTCCTAATTACCAAAAAGCACATACCTATTTGAGAAATTTACCATCGGGGGCTCCAGTACTTTAGTACTTCTTAGAATATCTATGTACTATGTAATTGAACAATACGCAACTGATATCCCAATAAGCGATGATAAATCCTTTTCTCACCCCTCTTCCCCTGTCGTCTAACCTTGTTCCTGTCATCCGCGATGTACTAGCATACGGAGATTACATGCTGACCCATACATAGCCCTAATTGGATTCTAACTGTGAGCTGTCTAAGACTTTAGACCGTGGACGAATAGCTAGGGCAGCACAGCAAAGCAGCAAAGATGACAGACTAACAAATTCAAAGACAACAGTTAAGTAGGATCGGGACTGTCTTATAGCATTCTTTGTCGTCTTGTCGCATACCTGCTTCTTACGGTATGCAAATGACATACCACTAAACTACTCTACGCGAAGGAACTTCAATACGCGTAGAAGAAGGGAACGTTAATATATTAAGCCGCGTACGAAATCGTGAATGTGCCGCATTCTGCTTATAACTCGATAAAGTATGGTAGGATGTCATGTCACTCTGCTATCACTGGAGTAGACTTGTGATACTCGCCGCCTTAACTTTGTCGAACCCCTATTCGCTTAGACCATATAAGTTGATGGCACAAATGGAAGGACCTGTTTTTAACGTATGTTGCGTGTTACTTTGCCGTCTACTTAGTTATTTTTATTGTATCATTTAACATTGCTCAAAAATACTTATAGAATATTATGGATGAGCTCATCCATCTGGGTACACTAGTGAAGATAGTTGATGAGGATGATGATGGCATGTGTTTAAATGGTCATCAAGTTGTCAAAACAAACCCCTATACAAATATGGGATAGAAGCAAGAAACGTGCTAGGTAGGTCAGGTCAATGCAAACCCAGTGGACTAGCGAATATATGCATACATGATCCATTACTAGAATAATTTAGGTACCCCGAGCATGGATAGTGGGTAGAAGAAGGACCGTGAGCTAAGTCCACGTAAAATATCCTTGTAATTTGATTTCAAGGTAGTACTCGCCCGTCTATCTACACCTAAGAACCCCTGGTCTCTGTGGATAACAGAAGATATTCCCCGAATGAAGACTTTGAGCGAGGCGAGAGAGGTCGCACGGGATCGACGTGCCCTCATTCTGTAATAGATGTCGTTGATGGGGTAAAACAAGACGCTTTGTCCACCGGAATATACCTACACACGATACGACATCAGTATCGATACACGAATAGAAAAAGAAAGTTTCTTAAGCATATCGATAGATTCTGTTAAGACTCACAGGATAATATGCCGAAAAAGGGGGAGATCCTTGACGAGAAAATACTTATATAGTAGGTAGGGCTGGGTCAAGCTACTGCACTTAAGATTGCTTCCTCTCCACGCCGTGGCCGTAAAGGGGCATGAGTTAGAACCCGACGTATTACGAAATAACAACTATTATAGTAGATACTGATTATATAGTATATTAGTACGCGACGCTGGAATTAATGAAGACGGACCCGAAAATAAGCAAGTATTACATACATACGGCGCACACGGTGAACTTGCCTACCTAGGCACCTAAGCCCTAAGACCTCCTTAGATATATCTACCATCTATGTAGGTACCTAGTAGATCTACATCATACATACATGCATACATATGTAGTAGCTGGCCTGACAGTTGTGGTTCACCCGCGATTTAGATCCTGATCAGTTGTGCAACCCTCTCTTCTGCGTTGCTAGGGTCTTCATATTAGAATCTATTAGGATCGGGGGGCCTCCTTCGGGACGGACCCTTTTTTCAACTAGCTCACGATGAAGATGAAGCATTATGTCTTGTCTGACGTCCCGTAGAGCTGTAGAGTAGGTACGTGTAGGCACGGGTTGGGGCTCCTACAGGCTTCTCCATGCAGCCACGTTTCTGTGATGAGGGTGTACAGAATAATGAAATATGTATGGGATATGGTAAAGTATGCGCCTCACTATATTTATATATGTATGTATGTGTGTATGTACTTAATGCAGAGGAACGCGCGAGCGGAAAGTACAATACTACAAGTTTACAACTGGCGTTAAAATAAGTTGAAAGTGGGCGCGGAATGTCGTGCCCAATCTCGCTCGCGGATTCCTTGCAGGAAGGGACAGGAAGAGATATTCCCATATCCGGGCAAGCGTATACCTCCTAGGCGAGTACCTTTCCAATCCCGGCTAGCCTAACCTGGTTGGTCCATTTGCATTAGGTATGCCATTCTGAGCACACTTGTCCATATTTTTCTTCTCCGCCGGCTCCACTCTAAATCTCTTCTCTCCTACCCGACTGCATCGGCCAGACCTGGTAGACCTGGCAAGGGCCTGAGTCGACCCCAGCCAGCCGAATTCATTAAACCCCCCGAACTCCTCGCCTGTTTTTCTCTTGACCCTACTTACTTGAGTCCTCTTCGCAAGATCAGTTGTTCTATTCAGAACCCCTCCCTCTCTTTTTTTCTTCTTCTCCCTTTCTCGCCTCACAGTCTTTCGTGTTGCAGGCCATTAACACGCAAACCCCTATTCCTCCTTGGAGAGCCCGCATCCGAAGACGACTTCATTTTCTCTTACTCCGCAACCGCGAGACGTTTTTATTGATTACGAGCGTTTATCCCGACTGTCCGGCACAACCGCAACCCCGTCCCTAAGCTTAGTTTATCGCACCGTTAGAGCTACCATTCAACGTCCGGTCTACCTTGTTTGATCCTCGGAAGCATCTTGTTGATTATTTTATCCATTTCGTCCCTTGACATCAGGGCATTCGCGTCTCCTTATCCTTGTTTCGATAAGCAAGACTTAAAAAAAAATCTAATTCGGATTGTTGCACTTTCCTAATTGGGCCTTGGTGAACTCATCGACAACAACGACGGGAGCACAGTTGCAGGACGTGAGCTGTGAGATATAGTAGTCGCGAACTCATAGCGTTTTGCACAATTATCACCCAGGGCACGGTCTGTGCATATTAGAGGCGAGGGAATTGTATTCTAGGCGCTTGCCAACCTTCTTTTTTGCCGGCTCAACGATCGCCTTAAGGGTAGAGCTTACGTACGACTACTTGCGCTTAGCCATTTGCCAGAGGTAATAACGGCTAGTAAAACCAGAAAATATTGCTCGGGCTGGACTCGGCTTTAAACATACGATATACACCTCAGTAGAGCTATCCAAGGAAGATTAGCTCAGAGGGACAGGCAGTGCCTTGACTCCCACTTATCGATATCCAAACGACTTGAGCGGAAACGACACCACGAATGATCTTCTATTGTTTATAAAAAAAAACTAATCACCTGTTTTCCCCAAGTTATTGGTTGTTACGGTTTTGAACGGCCTGGAAGCTGCCCAGTACATCATGTATTCACAACAAGCGGCGATGGCCGCCACGGCGCCCCAAAAGCCAGAGACTTTCATGCTTAGCACGGAAGCGCAACAAGCATTACCACATGACGCACAAGTGGCCTTGCAACAAGTTGACAATTGTGAGTCTAATTCCTATGCAGTCAAATTATACCTTCCCGCGTTCAATTGCTTACGAATGAGTGAAGTAAAATATTTCCTTATCTCGGCGCCTGTTGACTGGCAGCATGACCAATACATTCGACGTTTCCTATTGCCGACAGGTGAATATGTCTCCTGTGTATTGTGGAATAATCTATTCCATATCTCAGGTACAGACATTGTGCGATGCCTTTCTTTTCGATTCCAGGCCTTCGGCCGTCCAGTGAAGAACTCTAAGAAGTTCGAAGAGGGCATATTTTCTGACCTGCGAAATCTCAAATCAGGAACAGATGCTTCCTTGGAAGAGCCAAAGAGTCCATTTTTAGACTTCCTATACAAGAACAATTGCATTCGAACACAGAAGAAGCAAAAGGTCTTTTACTGGTATAGTGTGCCCCACGACCGGCTTTTCCTCGATGCGCTGGAAAGAGATTTGAAGAGGGAGAAGATGGGTCAGGAGGCTACGACTATGGCTGTTAGTGAACCGGCCCTGTCGTTCCAGTACGACTCTTCGCAATCCCTCTACGAACAATTGACGAAGGCCCAACAAGCCAATTCTTCATCTTTCAACGCCCAGCAAGTTTCTTTTCCTCAATCTCAAGCTCCATCCCCAGTGATGAGGGCAATGGATCCCATGCCTCCCCCGCAAATGATGCCTCAGTCGATGGCCCCTTTAGCGGATGGGATGGATGCCATGGTACAATACAACACGATGGCAACGATGGCCCCCGCTATGCCTCAACATATGCAGCAAATGGTCAAGAGGGAGCCTGACTTCAGCCGTATGCAATACAACCAGAATGGTGTGCCGATGGCTCATAGCCACACGCGCCATGCCTCGATGCCAGCTTATGGTCTTGAATACTCGCCTGCACCCTCGTTTGTTTCGTCACATTACGAGGATTACAGCAACCGAGGCATTTCATTCGAGCCAATTACACCTCCTCAGCAAGCTTTAGCAATGGGAGCCGAGCCGGCCTATATTGCAAACGAGGAGACTGGACTGTACACGGCAATTCCCGATCATCTTAGTGGGTTGAACGGGATGATGCAGTTGCCGCCCTCTAACTTGGCCGGGCCACAGTTTTCGCGTGCTTATGGCGCCAACAATGTCTACTCTGTGATCGAAGGATCGCCGACATACAAGCAGAGAAGACGGCGTTCATCCATCCCCCCTTCAGTATCGGCGATGGCAGCTGCGACTGCTCAAGCGCAGGTAGCTGCTCACCGGCCCTCGGATTTGAGGAGGTCAGTTTCGGCGTCGGTTGGCCCTGTGGCGGAGGGTGACGAGTCTCAGAGCAACTCCCCTCCCGGCCTATCATACAGCAACTCGTCGATATCTCTCACTAACCAGCAACATATGGAAATGTCAAGACATGGTACCCCACTATCGACTGTGGAAGGTAGCCCTGCTCTAAACCCGATGTCTCTCCAGCGACAAGACTTCCCTCAGTTCACTAGCGATGATCTGAGTGGTGACGTGTCGATTCATGAGCAGCGGGTGATGCAGCCTGGAGCGAACGTGGTTCGAAGGGCTCGCTCGGCTACTGTCATGGAGCTGGGACCTTATCCTCAGAAGTCTCATTCGTGCCCAATTCCCACGTGCGGTCGTCTCTTCAAGCGCCTCGAGCACCTGAAGCGGTAAGATCAGATATTTCTTTTTGTTGCTTGCTTGGTGCACCGTTGTGTATCTGACCAAATATCTAGACACGTAAGAACACATACCCAAGAAAGACCCTACATCTGCCCCTATTGTAGCAAGGCGTTCTCTAGATCCGACAACCTAGCACAGTATGACTCCTATTTTCTAGTTTGTTTCATTTGTCAACTTGAAGATCTTGTGATGAGCAACGATGTTTGTGCGATATACCTTCAGAACGAAACCCAGCAATCATTCGAATTAAGTGACAACATAAGCATACATCAACTCATCATGAGGAGCGACAAGTTTAATCGATATGACAGAGACTAATTATTATTATAGACACAAACGCACACATGACCGCGGCGAGGGTGCTGAAGGTGGGCTGACTCTGTCGGGTGAAGAGGAAGAAGATTTCTCTGGCGAGGATCAACTTGGCTCGCTCGAGGAAGCTTCGCCCAACTCGGAGCCAGGGTATATCCCGACCTCGTTAGGTTCTATTGCTACGTCGATGCCTACGTCCAATGGACATTCCGGGAGTGGGATGTCCCAGTCGACCTTTAACCCTTTGCAAACGCTAAGTATGCCCATGACAATGAGCACACCAACAGGAGCGATGTAACCAAGGTTGCGACTTGACGTTTATGGGTGCATTATAATGTGTTATAACTGCCTATATTATATAGCAGTCTTAATCCGGGGTTTAGTGGGTTGGCTTGCATGGTATACTTCATTAGACGTGTGGGATTTCATTTACAAGCGTGGGCTGGACGATTTGAGTTCGGCATTATTCTCATCGGGGAGCGATCTATTTTTGCTCACTTTACGCATGGGGGGTACCATGGTGGAAAAAAAAAGAGCTCAGAAGAAGCATTTGATAGACGGACGGCCGGAAGACTTGAAGGGAAGGGAACAATCGATTCCACAGGATCGCATAGGAGCAATGTTGCTCCCTCGAAAACGGCAGGAAGGCACAGGAAGTCGACAGACCACTACCACTCATGCATTTGTATATATATTCGCTTTCTTCTTTTGTTACTTAGGCTTCGTGGCCGGCTGTAGGGAGCTACGGGGGGATGATACCAAATTTCTTTTCTTTCTTCTAGGGGACCATAGTCGTCGGCTTATTCTTTCGGAGGACTATGAACTGAAGAGGAAGAGGAAGAGGAAGAGGAGAGGGCTTAGTATAAACTTTAAGCTTCAATAAACATTAACATCTAAATACTTACCTTTGTACTTGGTCCTGAACTTGTTTTGGTAGTGATGTAGTTATCCATATACGCCATCCATGAGCATTGCTATGCTATGGAAGTTTGAAGAATCTATACATTATATACTTCTCATATGAAGCATGATCTATAAGTATTTTGGTAAGGTTCTGAGAAGAAGTGGCAACTCTTTATATGTAAACTCAAGTATATGTATATCAACGTAGAATACGCCAATTGGTATAGTTTATGTCTATGCCATATCATTCTCTTTTTGTTCATATATACATAGTGAGGTAGGTTAGTTTTGTATGATATCCCCTGGTCAATCTTGGCCTGGAGAACTTGTCTAAACACGTATAATTGCAGATACAAGGTTCTGAGGTTGCTACGAACGGAACGTCTAACTAGGGTGAATAAGGTGGACAACGATGCTAGTTAGTTATACTATTTCTATCTAATACTTTGATTGTAGGTAGTTAAACTGAAAATTTCACTTCATCTATGGTGGTAATGGTTAATCATACCCACGGCTATTTTCTACATCATCTCTGGGATATTATCTGGTTTCTCGAGGGGGAGGGCAGGTATACAATGGCCGTATGAGTGCTGACTCGCTCTTGTCCTATCCTGTACGCAGAATAGAGGTTGCGTGCGTACTTTCTTGATATCCCCTTATTATCCGGATTTCGACCTAGCATGAATAGGTATGCATGTATGTAACTGGCCTTATGCTTCGCGGGAAATTTCATAGGTAAGATCATTCATAATCTCAAAAATCCGGCCAATGTCGCGGTTCTCGTCGGGTTCCTGGCGCTGAAGCGCATATTTGACAAAGTTTCTGTGTTCTGTTGCGAGCAGACTCAAGACGTATTCAAACTGATCCTTCTCCGAGCCGATTGCGCTGCCGTCGACGCGTAATTTAGTCAGGACCTCCAGTTTCCATGGCAGAAAGTTTTTCTCCCTGGCATCTTGAAGGTAAGGCGGATCTGGAAGTAAATGGTTGCCTTGTCTCTGCGTGGGTCTCTCATGACGCAGCATAACTTCGATAATATCACTATGCATCCGGGCAATCATAAAGCGCATGTTGTCAATATCAGCCCTTAGATTAGTAACATCGTTATTGGTACTCTGGATTGAGTTTTTGACCTGATCACCTATGAATTGTAAGGTGGCATCGATAATCCGATTGCGATCAGGAATATTAGCAGACATATTGCTAATTGTTGCTGCCGTGACTGATTATGGTTGTGAATCGAACAAGTGTATACGGCGTTGAAGTAGTGTAGGTTTGATGGGTGTGGGGACGTGGACACGTCGCCCCGGAGGAATATATATGAGCTGACGCGGAGGGGAATAAGAGTAGGAAGATTGGTGTAGTTTCTTCTGGATGCGCTTATACAATGAGATGTGTTGTAAAACATCTATGTCTCATCTCACAACACATCGCTGGATGAATCTAGGCGAGTCGCTCATCTTTGACACTCATTCTTTCACCTTCGCCTCCTCTTCCCACCGCTTCTACCCCCAGATCTCCTGTCATCTCCTTGGATCTCAGCAATATCCTTCTGGCTTAGTTTCAGCATGCCATTCCTCAGCCTCCCTACCGCGGGAGCATCGACGGCCTTCTCAAACTTTCTAACTCTAGGTTTCCCTTTTGTAGCCGTACTCGTAGGTCGTTCAAGGATGATACCGTTCTCGCGAGCCTCCTTACGCCTCTTGGTCTCGCGCGTCGTCATAGCGGCTACGATGCCTTTCCGATGCGACATGGGCATCTTAGCCTGCTTGAAGATGCTCGACTTGGAGCCGAGCGCTGCTAGCCGCATGTCTGTGGCTAGATGGCGGTTGCGACCCGCATGTTCTATGCTGCCGTTGTTCTGGCCCGACCCGGAGAGGAGGTGTGATTCGGATAATAAACGTTGTAGCGCTAGGTCGTTCTTTAGAAGTGAAGGAGCATCTTCGTCCGCGGCGTTTTTGTGCTTTGTCGCCGGGGTGGAAGAGGAAGCATTTGGGTCTAGAGATGAGGAAGGAACACGCGAGGATAGGTAGGCTTTGCTCTCGCGCTTGGAGAGCGGATCGGTGGAGAGCGCAGGGAGTTTGCTCGTGTGGGTGACTACTTCAACGACCTCGACTGTCGATGAGCTATGTGATATGGACTCTGATTCTAACTCTAATTCCGACTCGGAGTCGGATACGCCGTCCCAAGAGTCCTCAGAGGCATCGTCTGAGTCGGAGCGCAGATCTTCGGGTTCGTCAATTTGTGTTGGTTTTGAGGCGGCAAGTGACGGATCTAACGGCGCAAACTGGGCTTCAAAGTGCTGGCGGAAGATAGCTTGAGCTTCTTCTTGGGATACCAAGGATTCGGGTTTCTGCGCGCGCGACTTGCGTTTGCCGAGCACTGTAGCCATCTTTCTGGATGTTGAAGTTGGAAGAAATATAAAATAAAAATTTAGTGGATCCAAATGATTTAAAGTGTTTAAAACGTTATTCTGAGCATATCTTAAGTAAAGTCATATATCCACCAATCAATGAGCCTAATTGGACTTATTAACTAGTCCTCAACGCTAACGAAGCGCCCCGCTATGGCCTCATAACGGATAGAGATCTAAAGTTGAAAGCCCCGCCATCTACGAAGTGAGTTTAAACGTATTATTATAAAACGTATTATAGTACTTGAGCTGTTTTATGAGCATCACCCCAATAGTATAAAATACTTTAAATAATACTTAAAACAGTATGACACGGTTTAGGCCATGTATAGACCTACACGCCGGCCAGGTGAAGCAGATCGTGGGCGGAACCCTCGATAGCTCTACCGCCGAGCTCAAGACGAACTTCGTCTCGCAACATTCCGCCGGGCATTTCGCTCGTCTATACCGAGATCACAATCTCGAAGGGGCACATGTCATTATGCTGGGCCCTGGAAATAACGACGCTGCGAGCGAGGCCCTTGCGGCGTGGCCAGGCCATCTCCAGGTCGGGGGTGGTATCAATGACCAAAACGCTGCGACGTGGATAGAACAGGGCGCTAGTAAGGTAGGTGATAGTTGTACGAGTGTCATATCCCGTATATCATGCAGTATTGTTGATTGCGGGTTCCAGTAGGTCATCATCACATCCTTCCTCTTCCCCGGAGGCAAGTTCAGCCAGGAACGTCTGGACGCCGTGCTGGCTGCCCTCGGCGGTCGAAAAGATAACCTCGTTATCGACCTTAGCTGTAGACGACAGGGTGACGAGAAATGGTTTGTAGCTATGAATAAATGGCAGACTATCACCGATATGGAGGTAAACCAAGGTATTTAGACGTCTATCCTCTCCGGCTGGAAAGCTTACCCTCAGGTTAAGAAACGTCTGATTAAATGATATGCAGAGTCCATTAAAACTTTAGAGCCGTACTGCTCCGAATTCCTCATTCACGCCGCCGACAACGAGGGTCTCCAGAAGGGTATCGACGAGAAACTCGTCGAGAAGCTTGCAGAGTGGTGCAGTATACCGGTAACGTATGCCGGTGGCGGGAGAAATCTTGACGACCTTGAACTTGTCAAGAAGCTGAGCCGTGGAAAAGTAGACCTTACAATTGGCAGTGCCTTGGACTGTTTCGGCGGCACAGGGGTAAAATTTGATGATTGTGTTGCGTGGAATACTAAGCAAGGGGAATAACCGCGACAATAAAAGACAAAACACTGGCTAGATAATAGAAGAATCTCTTAAGACACCTTGCATACATGAGGGAAAAGCCTACTTTGCGACAATAGATAAACTATGAGTATCAGTTTCACCTACCCTTCGCGACAAGAAATCCGGTTGAAGAGGTATAACCACAAATGCAGCCCATTAAAAGATTCAGGAACGCCAGCGTAGCTCCGGGCACGGTATTTTCGAATGACTGTAGGTATAAGCTTCGTCAATATCGTTATCCATCAACTGCTCGACCCTAGTCCACCTCTTTTAGTTGTCTCGATACGTATTCCTACAACGCCCCTATAACTTTACGACCTCAACTCCTCCAACTCCAGCTCCAGCTGTCGGATACGTTCACTCTGGTCCTGCGTTCCAGATCCTACTCGCTTCTTCAGACTGTCTACCTCATCCGTCAGATGGTTGATCTTTTGGCCTTGCACGCTAATCATGTTGGTCTGAGTCTCTAACAGCTGCTTAATCTGCTCCAAAGTTGTTTCAACGCCTGGGCCGGCTGTTGGGCTGTTCGACGATGCTGCAATAGGGGCTGCTGTAGCCGAGGCTGATGAGTAAGTAGGCGATTTAATTGCGGGTGCCACTTTCGGTGGTGGCGCGGAGGTAGTCTTGGTCGGAGAGGGAGGCGTCGGCTCAGAGCGTGCAGGGATTGCGCTGCGCTGAGTTGGCTTTGAGATCTCTTCGAAACTTGAGGTCTCATCGTCATCGCCCTCATCTTTATCTTCATACTTGGAGGCTATCGCAGCCATGGAGCGGTTCTGCTCTTTCACCGTGGGAGGCGGAGATCGCGCTGCTGGCTCAGGTTCCTTTTGAGGTGCAGGTTTAGGTGCAGGGGTTGGAGCTGGTGCTGATGCAGGTGGTTGATAGTCAGCAGGGACTTCAACAGGTGCACTGCCCTCATAGATGCTTTCAAAGTCGATCTTCGGTGGCAGGCCAGTTTTGCCAGATAGCCAATCATTAGCACCGATACCGGGTTTGACGCCAGAAGCTGGTGGGTAAATGTCCGATTGGAATGTCTCAGCTCGCCGAGGGACAGTGAAAGAGATAGGCTCGATGTACGCGTCGTTAACTGTCTTGTATGCCCTCATGACTTCATTTTCATGGACCTTTCCATTGTGAGTTGTGATATTCGGAATTGAAATAGATGGAATATGGTTACTTACATTCACTCCGCGCTTTGGAACGAAAGCAATACCTCTCTGAGGCTCAATCGACTTATACTCGGAAAGATATTCGAATTTGTCGTTCTCATACTCAAAGTATCGGATATTGCCATCTCTAATACAATCTAGATTAGATGCCTGTTTTTGAGCAATGTTAAAAATGGTAGGACTTACCCCTTTCCGGCGAGATACAAGCAGTTGCAGGCGTCATCTATGTCGAGGTTAGTTATGCAATATATATAAGCTGAAGACCGTCTTACCCCAGAAAGGCATGCAAACGCCGGAGATACTATCAAGAGTATTTAGTATAATAGGCGTGTTGTTGCCGGGCTCCCAGAGAGCAAGTTGACGATCACTCATACGAGAGAAGCCGGTCGTAGCGAATCTGTTATGTTCTCCTAGCCAAACTGTTCGGCTGTTTTTGGCACCCTCGTGGCCCGGTCCTTCATGTGCAGGGCGCTCTTGTCGTACATCCCATACACGAAGCTTCTTGTCTCTCGAGGTTGTAACGAGCATTGTACCATTGGCATTCCACGACAGACTTTGAACAATATCAGGGTGTTTGAGCGTATGGGCAGCAGAACCGGTGCCTACATCCCATATCTTGATTGTGAAATCCCCAGAGGCAGAAGCAAGTATATTCTCGGCAGCGGGATTGAATAAGACCTGACCAACCTTCCTCGAGTGACCGGTCAATTTGGAAACGGGAGCTACGTCGGGTGGTTCCTCGGCATCTGTTAATAGGGTGAAGCCCTGAGGCACTTCCCAAATCATGATTTTGCCATCTTCGGAAGCTGATGCGATTAGACGGTCATTAAAGGGGTTCCTTGAGCAATAACATTAGGTTAAGGTCTTCGAATAGGGGGGGATCAACCACCCCAAGGGTCGCGTGCGCACCAGTCGGTATCGAGAACGGCAGCAGTATGGCCACGGAATAGAGGAATGACATCGGGGAGCTTGCCCTTCTCACCCAGGGGGATGACAGCAAAGGCACCTCCACCACTAGCCTCCCAATTGACGGAGAGATATTCTGGATTGGCCTGTTGCAACCAGACCCGTCAGTTCCTGGGTCTACCATGCAGACAGCAAAACAGGGGAGGAAGACCAGACCTTAACCAAGTTGGTATCCCAAGCATTTCGGCTTATACGTATATTATCATAACAGAATTCCTTCCGTGTAGATTTGCCGAAGACATGTCCTTAGTCAAGGTTAGTCGGGTCACGGCAAATCGCAAGGGAGCGCGTTGGGGGCGTACGGTACTTGGACGCTCGAACAAAGCGCCCAGACATGATTGGCTGTAGGCAGTAGGAAGTAGGAATATGATAAAAGTAATAGGATAAATAGAAAATGAGGTATCAATCAGCGAGATTGTAGCATTAAGAGGGTAAGTACTTAGAGAAAGAGAGAGGAAACTGGCAGAGGGTAGATAGGGGAGAACGAAGCAGTAAAGAAGGCAGTAAAGATATTAGGTAAGGGTACGAATACGTCGATTGATTCAAGGAGCGGAATCTGAAGCTACCTATGTACCTGTGTACCCCCTGTTGAATTAGTTGCTGCTAGCAATTAAATCAGCGGCGAGCCTCCTGAACTTGAATGAGAACGAGTGGATAAGGTAAGTGGGCAGGTGGGGTTTGCATCACACCCCGGAATGAGAGACGTTGTGCAATGCAAACCAGCTGAAATCACGTGTTCATTTTCGTTCCATTTACGTACACAGTATGCTAAAATATTATCCCATTAGCTCTTTAGGCCCTTTAGGCCCATTAGGTACTTTACCTAGGTACCTAACTCAGGCAAACTAGCGCGTCGACGCGCCTCTTTTGAACTTTTTCTCCCCAAGAGGCGGTTTCCCATAGTCCACATAGCTGTCGCATCTCCTGTACCTTCCTAGCCTCACCAACAGCCCGCCAACTCAACATCTCAATCGTCAATATGGCAGCGTTGTAAGTATGGCTCGTCAAGCCACTATCGCTTCTTTTATTAATTGAGGAACTTAATAGTGAGAACTTCGATAATATCTTCCTGGACTTATCCAAAGAGTCTGGGAAGTGCCGATTCGCAGAAAATGGTCTCGGTTGGAAACCTTCTGCAGGCGGCAACACTTTCACCCTCGACCGCAGTGACATCGCCAACGCGCAATGGAGCCGTGCTGCAAAAGGCTACGAAGTTAAGATTCTCAAGAGATCCTCCGAGCTTGTCCATCTCGACGGTTTCCAACAAGAGGTAAACCACATTAACTATTTAATTGACACAGGTCTTACAGTTGCTGACAATACTGTAGGATCTAGAGCGCCTGAGCAAGATATTCAAGAACTGGTACAGCATAAATCTGGACCCTAAGGAACATGCATTGCGAGGCTGGAACTGGGGCAAGACTGAGTTTAGCAAGGCCGAGCTTGTCTTCAATGTCCAGAACAAGCCTTCCTTCGAAATTCCCTACTCCGAGATTTCAAACACCAATCTTGCTGGCCGTAACGAAGTATCCGTCGAATTCGCCGCATCGAACGAGGATGATACGGGCACGAACGGACACCTAGGTGGTGCGCGAGGTCGCGGCAAGAAATCCGGTGCGGGCAAAGACCAGCTCGTAGAGATGCGCTTCTATATTCCCGGCACTACCACTCGTAAAGAGACAGAAGGAGAGGAAGCAGGAAGCGGCGCCGAAGAGGAGAAGAATGCAGCGACTCTATTCTACGAGACACTCATGGACAAGGCCGAGATCGGCGAGACCGCAGGTGATGCGATCGCTACTTTCTTGGAAGTTCTGCACCTTACGCCACGGTTCGTCTACTCGGCCCCTATTTATTTTAGAATGCCTCTAATCATTACTATATAGCGGACGGTTCGATATCGACATGTATGAAGCGTCGTTTCGCCTCCGCGGCAAGACGTACGACTACAAGATACAGTATGAGGCTATCAAGAAGTTTATGGTCCTTCCGAAGCCAGACGATCTGCATTTCATGCTGTGTATCGGGCTAGATCCACCTCTCCGCCAGGGACAGACGAGGTACCCGTTCATAGTCATGCAGGCCAAGAAGGATGAGGAAGTGACTATCGATCTCAACCTCACCGAGGAGCAGCTGAATGAGCAGTACAAAGATCGTCTACAACCTCACTACGAACAACCGCTACACCAGGTTATTACCTATATTTTCAAAGGCCTCGCCAACAAGAAGATCACCTCTCCGGCCAAGGATTTCATGACGCACAGAAACCAGTTCGGCATCAAGTGCTCAATCAAAGCGGCGGAAGGATTTTTGTACTGCCTCGAGAAAGCCTTCATGTTTGTACCGAAGCCCGCAACTTATGTGTCATATGACCAAACGTCTTCCATTGTTTTCTCCCGTGTTAGTGGCGCGGTCTCCGCATTATCAACTTTCGATATTGCGGTTCACATGAAGAGCGGTGGGGCGCCTCATCAGTTCAGCAATATTAATAGAGAAGATCTGAAGGCGCTCGAAGGATTCTTCAAACTCAAAGGCCTACGTGTGAAGAATGAGATCGATGAGGATGCTAATTTACTTGCTGCTGCCCTTCGCCAGGAAGTCATGGATGAATCCGAAGAGGAAGTGGTCGGTCCTCGAGCGGACCGTGGTTCCGCTGATGAAGACGAGGAGAGTGTAGATGAGGACTTCCAAGCCGAAAGCGAGAGCGATGTCGCCGAGGAATACGATTCGGCTCACGAATCGTCCGGCTCGGGAAGTGCGGAGAGCGACGTTGATGGTGGGGAGGACCGAAATGAGAATGAGGACGAAGAAATGGCAGACGAGGATGAGGAAAAGAAGCCCAAGGCCAAGAAACAGAAAACCGGGAAATAAGGACAAACCTCTCCCCCGTGTCTAATCGACCCGGCGTAGACTAAGTTTTCATCGTTGAGTGGTTCAAGGGTAGGGTCTAGCGGCAACGGCGTTACGGAGGCTCTGATAGCTTTGCTCAGGCACAATCGTTGCACTTTATTTTTTCTCGTACAGCTTGCGGATTTCGTACGAAGCACGTGGCTGACCCAACAGTCTTGTATTGAGCATAGCATATAGGAACAGGCACATCGAAGTAGTGCTTCATTGGACCTATACAGCCAATAATGATACCATACGATAGGCCTTGTAGGCACCTTCATAGATCAATTCATATATCATGAATTTCAGTACACGGCACTCGAGCATCAGGGATCCCATTAAGGACTATATTCGGGTTAGTGAGTGTAAGGGGAAAACGTTAACTACGAGACTCTCGTTTCATATGTGATGTTTAGAAAGTGAGTACTCGGGTCTCGAAAGTTAAATAAATAAGACTCCAAGTCGTATCTACCCCCTAGTCTTTCGAGGCCCCGACACCCTTAACTAGTTCATAGAGGATCTCCATTGCCAAGTAGAGTCGGTTTGAGACATGGTTAACTTTCTAGTGGTTTTCTAGTTGACGCCGTCTACATACATGTGAAACCCCACCACTATTAACCGTCTACGGATCGCTTTTTTCTTTCTTTAATTTCTACGCTAATAGTGGATAGATCTTCGTCTTGGGATAACTTTGAAATTTTCATGTCATTCTCATATGAAAAGAAGGTTGCAAGAGGACATGCGAGTTTTTTTAATCGGGATATTACACACCTACGTACGTATGTAGTTATATCTATCAAGTATGTCCTATTCGACGGCAGAATGCTAGGCGAAGCTCCTATGACGTACGAAAGTAGAGTAGATCCTCCCGTACCGGTACATAAACATGGTACGCATATTATGTACGTAAATATTTACATAAGCATAGTTTTTAACGAGCATAAACCTTACGGATTACTTTAACTCGGAAGGCCCTAAGTACACCGGGTATCTCCATAGCTTTCAGGGAAAGCAAGAGGTTGTAATATCCCCTTTTCGGCATGGCCTGTTTCTAATTTTTACCCGTCAGCTTTCTGCGCTTACATAGGTATGTAGTACATACAGCCTACGGCCTACGGCCTACATAACCTTACGAACCGCACGCTGCGTATGCGTACCTTATGTAGTATTGTACCTAACCTTAATAAATACAGATAATATGTCGTCAGTCTATCAGTGTAAGACTTGCCAGTTTTCCGTCCAGATTGAATTGACGTCGAAGCTGAGCGGTTTCCCGTTGTTTCTTCGTACCTTATTTGCTGTATAATACATTTTTGTCCCCTCCCCTCCCCCCATATTTTATTTGTTTTTTGTTATCAATCCCTTCTTCCTGTCTATTCTGCATCTTTCGACACGGCAACGAATGGCAATTTCTACAAAGGACAACTGCCTACTCCAATAGAAGATTAACCCTATGCAAGCAACTACACTTGGCCTACCTTGGGTCCCATGTCCGACCTGCCTAGATTTTATCTGCATGGTTTTTTAAGGTCAACCAACCTGATCAGCCGACTCCGCATCGCGTTCTTACGAACATAAGACGTCGAAGGGGACTACAAACTACAAACCCCCCAAGCTCGCCCCCCCACTGCAAAAGGACCCTTTAGATATCAATAGCCACTCCGCTGTGCCGTGCTCCTTTTTCTCGTATCAAAAAGAAAAAAGAAAAGAAAAAAATAAAAGTCCGACCCTATTTTTCCTCTCCACTCGAAGTCGGTGCCCTTATTTCCATTATTATTCGTTATTATATTCGTTAAAAAGACGGCTTATTATTCGTCAATCATACACGACGTGTGGACGCTCTTTCCACACACACCCCCCCAGATTACCTTTCACTCGACACCCACGTACAACCATAATAAATGTTCACACAGCCTACGCCGCCATCGCCGGGTTTTTTCCCGCCTCTCACACCTTCCACAACCGCTCCACCGGCATCTCCCTCGTCTCCAGGTAGAGGTAGCAGGCTACGGGGCTTAATACATCTACATCTCTTGTCGCGCGACACGTCTAGCCTCGTCCACCACAATAGGACCGTTCCTCAAGACACATCCACATCTGCACCTTCAATCCAGCCTGCTTCCCCCACCACCACACCCGCTGCTCCTCATGAGGTCGACTCCGACCCGCTCAATACAGCAGATCCAAACGACGATTCGAGGACCCATCGCCGTCGCGCCAGTAGATTCTCCGAGGCTGCTTCCGAGGCTTTGTTGAACTCAAGATCCGAATCAAATCCTCTAGTTGAGAACCAGGAGCATTCGTCGAACGCAAACATGACGCGGACACGGTCAGCAACCACGAGCGACGTCGCTCACGATGTGTTACCAACTATACGCTTCTCGGCATTCTTCGATACACGGTCAAACCGGCCATCCCTTTCGTTCACCCCGATTTCGCGTACATTACCGACAGGCAAGGAAACAATTAAGGTTGGTAGATACTCCGAGCGGGAGAACCACGCCCTCGTACCTATCAACACACCGTCTGCTGCGCCTGTAGGTTTTAAGAGCAAGGTAGTAAGCCGTCGTCATTGTGAATTCTGGTTCGAGAAGGGGAAATGGTATATCAAAGATGTTAAAAGTTCTTCTGGGACGTTTCTCAACCACATTCGTCTAAGTGCCCCTGGTACTGAGTCCAAGCCGTTTCCCATTAATGATGGCGACATAGTTCAGCTAGGAATAGACTTTAAGGGTGGGGAGGAGATGATTTACCGTTGCGTGAAAATGCGCATAGAGTTAAACAGAGGCTGGCAATCAAAACCTAACACCTTCAAGTACGTTGTACATCATATCATTTTCGTAATTCCCGAAGAGTTTTCCTACCTTGCACTCGCACTTCGTTCTTTTGTCATCTCCATACGGCGACGATGGCTAACAAATCAACAGCATGGCAACACACAAGCGCTTAAGAGACTTGACGTCAACGTCAGCTTCATCAGCCCATGCGCAGGATTGCTCCATCTGCCTAAACGCGATAGCAGTACGTATTACCGTTCTGAGCGCTATCAGATCCTATACTTTGTTTATTCGATACTAATATACCTCTCTAATAGCCCTGTCAATCGCTCTTTGTAGCGCCTTGTTCTCATACATGGCATTACAAGTGTATTCGGGAAATGTTAAATGGGCCGTCATGGCCAATCTTTATATGCCCGAATTGTCGAGCCACAGCCGACCTAGACGCCGAAGTAGACGAGCCATCTGACGAATGGCAACAGCTAGACTCGGGCATAGATGATGCTCAGGAAGAGAAGTCTACTCCTCCAGCTTCTCAACTAAACGGCGAAGCTATGCCGCTTGCAATTTCCCAGTCGAATGTCGAAGTTAACTCACGGCAGTCGTCCGGCGAAGGTGATGCGGGTGACGTGACAATGCAGATCGACGCTGCCGCAGCACAGTCAGTCCTATTAAGACATGCCATGACAGAGCCAGTCCCTATACCTAATGCGACACCACGTGTGAGTAGTGGCGATCGGTCTACAACTAATCGGACACCGTCACCAAACAGCAACCCCCCGGGGCCCGGTCACGAAGGCCCAATCACCCCACGCAATGACGCGGGCCCGTGGGTGTTTGATGGTAACCCAGCGCGAGTAAGCCAAGAAAGTACTCGGCGAACTGGTATGAGCAGCCTGGACGCCGCAGCACAAGTTGAAGTGGACAGGTCATAGAAAAGCTGCTACCTTTTGTAGAGTTTAGGTTTATTTGTTGCCTAAAGTGGATACGTCTGCCCTCGAAGATTCGAGTGAAAGATGAGAAGGGCCTCGTATAGCAATGCTGCAGTACCATATGTATAGTTGAAGATTGAAACCCGACGAATACGTCGCAGTCTTCGACGGCATACGCCCATATCAGTGTTTTGAGATGGCTACGACGATACAGTTTTGACCTATATTGGATTCTCATAGGTCATCCCGAGTATGGGAAGGGGTAACACACGAGTGAGATTTGGACGATGTCGACTCGTTAGAATCAGGGGAAACTATATATTTATCTTTTATATGTTTACTCCCTATTCGAGATAGACCAAGCCTGGGCCTGAAAACTGGATATCATACCGGACTGGGTCTAGTACCGATATCTATGGAACGCGTACGGAGAGCGAGAGCGTAAGTCCGAATATATCTCACAAGATGAGGTGGATGAGTGTATACTTCTCAGGAGTTAAGAAATATGGCTATTCGCAGGCGCTTCAGTTCCGGCGTCTTTGGCCCAATTTGTCATTTGTCTTCCTTTTCTTTGGGGGGATATGGGGGTCTACGAAGCATCTGTTTACTGGAGTTGTTGTAAAGTATAGAATGCATTCAAGGCTGAACCTGGGGGACAATGGACATCAGCCACGGTTATGGGAGTCGGGTATATCTTGTGACGGACATAATAATATTATGAGTCGGTCACAAAGTCACAACAGTGAATTGAGATTTTGCGCTGTCTTATGCTTCAGATGCATTAGGTAGGTAGTTTTAGATGATACTTTGTATCTGGAATAATGGGGGTATACTTATAGCATTGAAGTTATAGGTTTACAGGTTTAGGTATTATGCACAGTTGCTATGCAGTTAACTGCCCTTTTCCCCAGCCCTATAAGCTTATTAATCAGGCCAAGTAATCCGTACATGTATTCCGTACAGGGTGGGGAAAGGGTACAATACAAGCATTGCATAGATATGGCAGCTTCGATCCATGCCATATCCGCTATCCGCTAATGAGAGCTTAAAGAATTAGCTGCAAGTTTAGGTATGTACTATTAGGATTTGCGAGCTCGGAGACAGGCGTGAATTTCGGAGGGTCCAATCCTACACTTTTCTTTACTTGGATTTTGTATCAGGTATCTACATATTTTTGTCATCAATGGATTCATTGTTAGCCCGGTCTTAGAGAAGAACAATAAGCCTCACCGACTAAAAATGGATTTATGATCTACATTTTTGCTTTTTTGATCTTCTTCCCTCTTTAGCTTTTCTCCAAGGCACTTTCTCGTGTTTTCCCGCTAACGCCGAAAAGCGAATTGACGTCGGAGATCAGAACTTTATATTCTGGTTGCGCTCAATTTGGTCGCCCGACCTTGCGGTATAGGTAACAGAACCGTCGACCATATTTTCTTTTGGTAGAACAGAGCAGGCGTTACTTGGAGGGGCGACCGAGTCCCAAGGAACGACTGGCCCGGTGGTTGAGCGGACCGCTTGGAACGACGCCATGGCGACTACTGCTGGGTACGATGCTAGGCAATGCTGTTCAGGGCTTCACGAGCTAATTAGAGCTGTAGGGCTTTCATAGCAGGCGGTATCGCCGCTTGTGGCGCCGTCACGGCCACACATCCCTTCGAGACGGTTAAGATTCGGTACGCATGCCATTGTCTCCTCGTCCAAACATAAAGGGTTTCTAGAGAGGCGGTTCGTCTGCAATGTGCAGTATGAGCCCGTGTCTCGGCAAGAAATACCGTATGCATACATCATAGCAGGACGCAGCTAATAGGGAATAGAATGCAGCTCCAAGGCGAGCTCCAGACCAAGGGCCACCAGCCGCACCACTACCGCGGGCCTTTCCACGGCGTCGGCGTTATCGTGCGGAACGAGGGCATACGCGGCATATACCGCGGCATCGGGTGCGCTTACATCTACCAAGTTCTACTAAACGGGTGCCGGTTGGGGTTCTACGATCCCATGCGGACCCGGTTGGCCTCGCTACTGCTGCGCGACGGCGCGGCGCAGAACCTAGGGATTAATATGCTCTGCGGCGCCAGCTCGGGCATCATCGGCGCGGCCGCCGGCAGTCCTTTCTTCCTCGTCAAGACGCGGCTCCAGAGCTACTCTCCCTTCCTGCCCGTCGGCACCCAGCACAACTACCGTAACGCCATCGATGGCCTCAGCCAGATATACCGCGCCGAGGGCTTCGGCGGCTTGTACCGCGGTGTCGGCGCTGCCATGATCCGCACGGGTTTCGGTAGCTCCGTCCAGCTGCCTACGTACTTCTTCGCCAAGAGGCGGCTCGTCAGACATTTAGGTATGGAGGAGGGCGCACCGCTGCACTTGGCTAGCAGTACGGTATCTGGGTTTGTCGTGTGCTGCTTTATGCACCCACCTGGTAAGTCCCCAATCTCATCCTATGTCACTTTAAGATGACCCATTAGGAATCAGACGCATGCTAACATAAGATGGCCTAAGACACGATTATGTCGCGGCTGTACAACCAAAACGGCAACTTGTACAAGGGAGTGTTTGACTGCCTAGGCAAGACGATCCGCACCGAGGGTTTCCTAGCTATATATAAGGGCTTTCTACCACACTTGGCGCGCATCCTACCTCATACTATATTAACGCTGTCACTGGCCGAGCAGACGAATAAGCTGATGCGCAAACTCGAGGTCAAGATATTGCCGCCCCCGACGCTATGAAAGGCCTGAATGGGTCTATAAGAGGCATGGATGCTGGACGACGTGACGTAATTGGGGACGGTAGGGGGGAAGGGAGTCAGGCAAGCGGGCGGGCTAGCTTGAACATGGTGTCGGTTAGGGAAGATATTATCTAAATAGAGGGGAGATATCCGGTATATGGTATACATTCACGGTATTCAGGTACCACCACGTTCATCATAGAGAGATGGGGTAGGTGGGTTAGGTATACTTCTGGCCTATATTCAGGCGCCATTTTTCTGTCCGGTTAGAGTCTTTGAGTTAGATATGGGACGGCGCCGTAGCTGGGACAAGTACGTCCGTTAGATTTACTACTGGTATTTTTCTACTGGAAGCGGAGTATGTAGAAGAAAGAAAGATTTTGTCATTCATAGGCTTGCTTTTAGCCACCGGTTTTTCTTATTGCTTGTCAAGGTGAAGGCAGGGAAGTGCCGAGATATATGGAGGTAAGCTAGCTATATTCTATCCACGTATAGACCGTTGGCATCCGTAGCATAGCTTCCGTCTAGTCTCCGCTCTGTTCCTGTTCTCGTCCTCGTCGTCGCCGATTTCACCCCGCCAGCGCTCGTCGCCTAGTTCGTCGACTGGTGCGCCGCAGAGACCGCAGTTAGTTCGCCCGTTATTAGCATTACTACTTGTAATATTCCCCTCGTGGTCGTGACTATGATCAGTATCCACAGGCCGCCGCAATAATTTCCCTGTCGTGCGTACGACGTTCGCGACGACGGAAGGGTAACTAGCTTCGACTTCGCTGAAATACCGCCCTAGCACGTCGTCGATACTTAGGTCTCGGTGCGAAACTACCGCGCCTACACCCCCGCTCCCGTTAGCAGCAGCACTGTTAATCCTAGCCGCTTCACCCGGCGGTAAAAGACCGATAAGCGCCGGCGACGTCTGCGAGAGATACAGCACGAGTTCCTTGCGGAACAGCTCGCGCAGCGGGCTGTAGATCGGGAGGTGTCCGGCGGTCTCGGTCGGAATGCCGTTGGTGGTAGCAATGTTGTTGTTGTTGTTGTTGTTGTTACTATCGCTGGGGAAACCTTCGGGGAACCCGTGGTTCAGACTAGAAGGGACCGGGACCGCGCCGTCGTTGACGAGCCATGGTAAGGAGAAACCCCGACCTTTGGCCGTCTCGGAGAGGGTCAGCTCGGCGAGGGAGGTGGTGCTGTGGCCGAGGAGGAGCGCGTCGCAGCTTCGGGCGCTGGAGGCGGCGAGGAGGACGTGGCGGATTAGGAGGCGGTGGATGTCGGCGCGGGAGGTTGTGGAGGGGAGGGATTGGAGGATTTGGGAGAGGCGGTGGGAGGGGGAGGGGGTGGTGGGTGTGGGAGGAGTAGGGAGGGAGGTCCAGTCGATAGAAGGTAAATCGAGCGCGGAGCTCAGGGGCACGGTCTGCAGGTTTGCGTCTGGGAAGCGGGTGCGGAAGGCGGCGATATAGGGATCTTCTTCTCCATCCCCATCTCTTCCTCCCCCCCTTACAGAAGAAGGAATAGTATCGTCGACAACATGCACAGCAAAATACTCAAACCGCGACGTCTTCTGCCCCCTATCACGCTGCTGCCGCACATTCTCCGTTAAAACGTGCAGCAACGCCGTCGACGACGGCCCGCACGACAACCCGACTAGGTACCGCTGCGGCCGCCTAGGGCCCTTGGTAGACCTAGGCGCGGCGGTTTCGCGCTGCAGGGCCTCGAGGCGCTTGATGGCTTTGCTGGAGACGTAGTATGCGAAGCATGTTCTGGGGCGACGTTAGTATTATGATGATGTTTTTTTTTTTTTTTATATAGGTAGGTAGGTTAGGTAGGTAGGTTAGGTAGGTAGTTAATAAGAAATAATTAGATAGAATGTAGCGTATTTTCACCTACTTGCACACGGACTCGGCACCCCGCAAGTCGATGGTGCCTTCGTGGTCCTTGCACCGGTTGCAGGGCCGGGAGGACCCCGCCGTCTCGGCCGGGGTTGATGCCGCTGTCGTCATTGGGACGAGGTCTAGTCTATGTATGTACCCCTCCGATGAAGATTTCTGGGTTGGGTGGAGACGGAATTTATTGAGGATAGAGAAGAATACTAATTAACGGCACAGGGATGACTTAGTCTTATAATAGCGTTTAAGTGTTGGTAGTAATTTATTTATCAAGTTGGTAGGTTCGGTATATTAACGTTAGTATATAAGACTTTAAGACCGTATTAATACCGTATATTCACGGTATAATTATTTGAATAATTGCGCATTTTAATACGAAAAAAAAACGGTAGTTATATTTATTAACGATATTATTTTACAACGGTATTTTTAAAATTAAACGTTTTTTTAAATTAACGGTTTTTTTATTGCGAATGGTTTTTTTTAATTAACGGTTTTTTTTTTAACCAACGGTTTTTTTACGGTTTTAATACGGTCCGGGAAAATGTAATAAACAAAAAAAAATTATATATTATATATTTAAATAAATATTTAAGTAAATATTTAAATAAGTATTATTTATTATACGTATTTATTTTAAGTTAAAAAACCGTGGTAATTAAATCATTATTAAAATAAACATTGTTTTACATTTAAATATATTACGGTTATAAAATTATTATTTAAATATATTATTACATTATATACGAACGCGTATAACTTGTAATTATTTAAATATATAAAATGGTATTTATAATTTTTTTATTTAATTATTATACTTTTTTAAACCGTAAAAAAACCATTTGTTAAAAAAAACCATTTATACACATATAAACCATTTAAATAATTAACCAAATATATACCATTTAAATAAATACCGGTTAAAATATTAAAATATTTAAGCATTTAAATAGTATTAAAGCCTTAAACGGTAAATCTACGGTTTAGTCTTTACTTACTGTAAAAGTACGGTACTCAAGCCTTATATCCTGACGCTAATGTAGTTTTGAATTTGACTTATTAAGAAATCTTTCGCGGGAGTCACGTGGGTCCGTGTTTCTTAACCTATGCTTTGCCCCTGATATTCGGTTTACAACTTTATATATAAACACCAAGCGTATAGCTTATAGAATCCATTCTTCTTTTATTGTAAATTCAAATCTATATTTTTTTTTCTTCCCTTCCTAAGAGAATTGACTTGGTATCACCGCTCATCGAGTCGTACTAAACAGAAAGGCGAAATCGCTCTCTTCAAACCACCGGCGGTCCTTCTCCCACGCGCGAGTTATCATATCCCTTCCAAGGCGTCCGCACTCTTCAACCTGCTCTACTGATCCCCAACCCGGGACTATCATCCCAAATGAGACCAGGTGAGCGCCGACTTGTATCGCCGTGCGGAAAGCAAACTCTTCGCTCACTGGGCCATAACCCTCCATGAATCCCTGAGCCATAAGTAGGCCGGCTGATTTATCCTTGTATAGCTTCAACTCATACAGTTCTGCAAGCATTTGGCCGACGTCGAGGTTAGGCTTTCCTATCTGTGACATCTCCCAGTCGATCACGAACATTGGCACGTCTACTCCCTCCTGGATTCGGGCCTTGGGAAGAAGAATGCTAGTGAGGTATCTATCAGCATATAGGTCCCAGGAAATGAATGGGCCTATAGCACTTACTTTCCTGTCCAGAAGTCTCCATGTATAACCTGGAGCTGATTATCATCCTCCAGCTCTGCCGCAGCCATCTTCCCTACCTCTTCGAAGATCCCTTCAGCGCCTCCGAGGACATTTGGGAACTGCTTGACTCGGTCTAGAAGCCATGAGAAATTAATTGTGTGCTTCAACTGCTGCAACTCCTTATTTGCGGCCACCGCCCGTCGCAGCCCGGGCTGTTGCGCCGCCCATTTATGAAAGCCTTTGAGCCATCTTCCTAATGCCTTGCCAAGCTGGAGACTTTGGTGCTTTGTTATCTCTAAATCAGGCCCGGATTCAACTGTCAATGTATGCATTTTTAAATCAATGCCGTTCTGTAGATACTCCTGGATCTGGGTGTTGTTCGTCTCGTCGAAATAGTAGAACTTGGGCGTCCTGACGATGAAATTGTGAGGATCGCTCTCGTCTGCCTTGCCAACGATGGGAAAGGCCGATAGTGCTTTGAGACATTCTTCTTCGATGCGCTACCAAGAGTTAGTGTTGACTATTGCAAATATGTAAGGCCAAAGCTTTATTTAGTAGATCCAACATACGCAACGAGACAGAGTCAACTTGAAGTCCGGGGAGGTCGCAATATAATCCTCAGAATGCTTGACAGCAACTTGTTGCGCACCATCCTCAAGTGGTTGTATTAATGATGCGCGGTATATGAAGTTAGCAGTGCCCCCTGATAGTACATCGAGCGCTGATGCTTCATAAGGTGTTCCTTTGAGACTCTCAAGGACTTTGGATGTGATCTCCACACGGCTTGCCGAAGCCATGTTTAAAGTGACAAACCCCTTTTGCAGGTGAATTAAATATGTTCGATTATAGGAACGCAATGGCTTTGAGCACCGTTAAACTAAGCGCGGTACGAAAATCGTGGAATAAGGCTGAATAGATGACCAAGATCAACTGCGCAACATATTTTTTTAAGGATATTATTAATGGAAGACAAGTTTAGATTGATATATATATATATAGTCTAGACAAGCAAAAATTCAACTCTTTTCATTTTCATATCTCATCAATCCTAAGCTGCTCAAAGAAAATCGATAGTTATGATGCAGTTGAAGCTCTGATTGGACTAAGTCGCTTCGGCCAATGACTCAAGTCTAATGCAGTGATAGAAAGCGAGGAATACGAGTAGTCTTGATCCGCGGAATCCATGCAAGTAAGGTATGTAATATAAACTTCAACTCCATCGCTCTCGCATGTCAAATGCTCACTTGCCGTTACTAGTTCTTAATTACGGATACTAATAACTCTATTTCTTAAGAAATAGAAAAGATTCAAAGGTGCCACAGGTGAGCTTATGACGGAAGACAGAATTTGACAAGAAAGTACCCAAGTATCTACCCCAATTCCGGGCACCGATTGGTCAGGTACCACTGTATAACCTTTTAGTAAGAGCAAAAGAGTAAGAGCAAAAGCTCTTCCCACCAATTAAATATAAGACAGGGATCAGTTAGTCGGCATCTCAAACACGCACCTGTTTCGTTTCTCCTCCTTGACATCATTTCCCCTTTTCCATTGGTTTACCTCGACAACCTGCAAGAGCCTATGACAGACAGAACACCTTATGAGCACCCCATGAGGCAATGGCTACGAGGGGTTTGTGCCGATCGATAGGTTAGATTGGTCGGCCGCTTACGATTAGCCCAGGGGGTTAGCTCGTGGGAGCATGGGAACTAAAGGAAATCTCGCGTGGCCGGGCCCGTAATAACCCAAAATGGTCCAAATGGCAAGCTGAATCTGGAATAGGCAATAGCCCAGGACTTGTAAAATTGAACTTTGTTTCTCATACATAGTAAAGTGTTTATCCCCATCTGCCGTCTTTTTCACTAACCTTGTTCACTTTCTTTACATAGTAAGGAAGAAGCTATTGTTACCGTTACTATGGCTTTGGCTTAACATTGTCGCGAACACGACGTGCCAAAAATAGAGAAGCTGCGCTTCGTTCTCTTCAGCATACCATTTTGAAGTGCTTGTTTCGCATTGACTGCATTGGTGGCTTAATATTTTGTTGGAACCGCCTTCAAATTTCCGTTTGTTGTCTTTTGCATATAATTGGCGTCGAGTGGCTGCTCCCATCATTCTGCACGCCTATCCGCCTTGTGGCCTATTGCCCGACCCTCTCACAGATCTGCGTCTCGCGCCGTACTGAAAAGGTCTTCCGTCATTTGTAGCCTCCTGATACAACTCGCGTTTCGGCGTGTCTGCTTGTTCGCTCTAGCCAGATCCGACTGTGCCGACCTCACGTTGTTTGGCTAAAACGTCAGGCCACCTTATATGCTATCAAGCTATACTCTCGGAGAATAACCGATTTCCTCAATTTTCTTTGGTTCTGTCACTTTGGTTGATAGCGCTCTGCTGCGAAGACACCGGAGTATCGCGAAAGGACCCTTCTCCGAAGATGGTGCATCATCGGCAACGGTCGCGATGGGTCTTAGATCTCACGGCGGTGCTGGCTATGGTCTCGACCTCATCGGCTGTCAACCTATCCCAGTTCCAGCTCATTATATCGAACAGCATACCGAAAAGCTGTATTCGTGCCTATCAGACGGAAATAGAGGGCTGCAATATTAAGGACTTCACAGGTGGAAAACAATGTTCGGCGAGTTGCGTGAAGGGAGTCCAGGAGGTGCAGGATCTTATACGAGAAGCTTGCGGAGATCTTAATATCAGTCACAAGTCATTGCTCGGGATCGTATTGTCGGGTGATTTAGTAGATACCCTCTGCCCTGGTCAGGATCCGACGACGGTCATTACGACTGTACATCCATCATCGACCAAGGGGGAATTCTCAACAATTGTCACGGCGCCGACAAGTTTCCCGACGGACACGAGTCGCACTACCAAAAAGACGTCATCCACGACGTCAAGTAAAAGTACTAGTACCAGTACCAGTACCAGTACCAGTACCAGCGACCAATCCACAACAACTCAATCTACAACGGATCAAGAAACATCATCACCAACGGCCACGGCTAACGACTTGCCTACCGATACTACATCAGCACAGAACACGGCACAGCCTACTGCGCCGAGTGAGTCGACACAATCAACGTCGTCTGACGATGGTGCGCCAACACCCTTTCTCGGCGGTACGCCATTCGATCCTTTACCTGCAGAACAAGGCTTGGGCACAATTCTCTCACCGGGATATGGCAAGGAAGCCTTGGTAGTTGCGATATGTGCTGCTATGTTATTGTTACGGTAGCGGTTCAACTTAAAGCCTTAGAATGTATATCCGAGCATGTAAGAATATTTGTAATGTTTAAAGGGGATGGGAGCGATAGGACAAATGATACCAATCACGGGGTGCTGGGGACGGGGTACTGGTGATAGCGATACCATGAGCCATTATGACTTCGGGGTAAAGTGTCAAAGAGGCGGCATGGGTGATCTGCGACTGGGATCAGTCTACTGGAATGGAGGGTATTTCGAAATTCGACGTTGAAGTTTTGTTATGGGAGATGTCACTACTGAGTGGCTTATAAGATTAAGCTTGGTGACTTTTGTATACTAGAAATTTAGGACCAGAAGGCTAGAGATGAGAACAAGATGATATTTAAGCAGTCACTTGACGCTTTACTATTCATACGGTTTGCACCTATGAGTACCTAATGACATTACCTAATGAGTTGCCTGTACAAGTTGCATTCCTGTACAAGTTGCATTGCATAATGATGTCGGTAAAATGAGGGCGGTGGAATTCTGCCAATCTGGCTAAACCTCGATTGGCTAGGGGCATTGGTTAGCAATTGGCTAACCTAGGCGCATGTTAGCTTTAGAACTTCCCTGAACCGGAGTGCCGAGGTAAGGAGAGAAGGTGCGAACTACGCTTTTAAATAATAACCACCGGCGCCGGCGTCTCGTAACCCACTACAGCACTGCAGCACCTACTGTCGTACTACAGAGATATAGTCGCTCTGTCCTTTGTTCGTTATTGCGTTTCTTGCTTTAGGTACCTAACCTACCATTCATTTCGTTGTCGTCTTTTAAAGGTACCTCACTAGTCATTGTTATTGAACCTCAACGTCAGGTCCTACGTTAAACGTACACATTATATATAACGTATTAGGTTAGGTAGTTATCGTCAATTTACTTGCGGTAACACTTTTATCGATACATGGTCCAACCAGCCAAGAAGTTCGCCTAAACACAGCAACCATGAGCACCACCGAAATCACCACATCCGCGACCGCGGACCTGCCCTCGGGCGATCCCGTACCATCCGCCATTCCTCTACCCGTAGCAAAGCCCAAGCCCTTCCCAATTAAAGAAGTCATCACAGCGGCGCCCTCGAACATCGATGCTTTTCTGGCCCATCTCCAGCGGTGCTTGCAGACGCCCTCGGGCATTGACACCACGCTGCTGTTCCTATGCTACTCCTCGCGCTTCTCCGCCTCCATCCTCGAACACCTGAGCCGCCCCGCCATCCAGCGCAGCGCCCAGCAACTCCTCGCCCTCGCAGCTAGCCTGCCCCCCTCCGCCACCCTAGTATTCACCGCCAAAGCGTTACCTGGCCGCGGGGCAGCCCTCGCTCTGATTTTCGCCAAGCGGTTGCGCGCTCTCAGCGCCATGGTGACCGACGCTCGGACCTTCCTTCGGCTGTGGGGGTTGCTGAATATGTATTTCTGGCTCCGTCGCCTCGTGGCTAAGAAGACGCAGGGAGACGTGGAGAAGGAGGCCGAGAAAAAGACGGATAAGCTCGAGACGGCTATCTCCTGGTTCCAGCTGTCTACGTGCATTATCTTCCAAGCTCTCGAGAACGGCGCATACCTCTCCTCTAAAGGCGTCCTGGGCTGGACCCCCGCTACTCAACGCCGTGCTTCGCTCTGGAGCGCGCGGTTCTGGGCTGCGTTCGTGGGCGCCGAGGTCGGGCGTCTGCTGTATGAGAACCGTAAGCGCGGGCAGCGGACTCGCGCCGAGAAGTTCGCTGACGGGAAGACGGCGTCAGATGTCCAGGCCGAGGAGACCGAGTGGGCTGCTACCTGGCGCAAGACCCTCCTTCGCAACCTCGCTTGGGCCCCGCTTACACTCCACTGGAGCTCCGAGACAGGACTTCTGAGCGAGACGGCGGTGGGGGCCCTGGCTTGTGTGCCGGGGGTTATACAGATGAGAGATTTGTGGAGGAGGACTGCTGCTGAGTAGACACATTTTTACTCGCATGGGAAGATGCTAGTCGTTTTATATAGGGCGTGATCTGTCCAGATTCGTTTGGGTGGCAGTGTAGGTTACGGAAGGGCAATATTGCCGTTGCTACTTTCTCTTTATTTTTGTTGCGTGGGGAGATAGCTTATGGGGGTATGACGACGGAGACGTTGCGATGAAAAAAAAAGCAAGGGCAATGAATGACTTGAGCGTGTATTGGGATTTAATGGGCTTTTCGTCTGCTCTCAATGTCGATTGATCTATGAAGATGTTATAGCGTGCGTAGATCCGAATACATATAATACAAGAAAATAGAATCTAAACCTGCATTTTACTCCAGTTGTTCTGGCTAAGATCTCGGGATATTAATAACCTTTATCGAATACTATAACAGGTACCTACCTAGGTAGTAAAATAAGCATTTATTGCTTCGTTAAATATATAGTTAGGTACTTTATATATTAACTACATGTATGTAAACTTAACAATTCTCTTTTCCAACAAATCGCCCCTTTTATGCCAATATGATAAGCTCATTTTTACCCCTATCCGTAAAGCTTGATATTTTAGTTTCTGCTAGCATAAGGTACCTAAGGTAGTAATAGCGCTTCGAGTTCAAGATAAGTTTCTAGTAACGGGTAGCTATGGGTTACCTATTTTATTAGTTAATTCCTAGATGAAGAAACGTAGGTGCATAAATTATAGACTTTGTTTAGGGTAAGGTGAACATCGACCAGTATATACCTTAGTAAGAAAGAAGACTAAGTGTATCGTTTAATAGCAGTGTCTTCTTCGTAAGACTACTTCATGTATTAACTAGTTACAGGAAACGATAAAACTACTATATGTGCAAATATATTATTATTTATCATAATTATATTATAACTATATTATGTTAAACTGATATTAAGTATTAGGTAGTTAATTGTTTGATGGTATTAATATAGTTTGCAAGCTTTAGGGGGGATTGGATAGCATAGACGGGTCAATGGTTTGACCCTATTGCTATTTGAGGTCATAAAGGGGTGATACCCTTTGCCCTCCTGATAATCTCCATAGTTGATTGATATAGAAATCAAAGCAGCTACCTGGGTATTCATCAGGTGTGCTTAAGAACCAAGGTAACGATTAGAATACTAAGCGTTAGTGTATTCTGGTCCGAGAAGCAATCAATATCAGTATCCTGTAACAACTTCATGTTGTATGTATGTTCGCCCTGATGAGTTCGGGATTTGCTGCCGTTAGGTAGGTAAACCGCCTTCCTATAGACATTTGATAGCACGGTTGTCTGTGCTTCCGCGATTGTGTTCAAATACGCAATCTGTTGTTAGGTAGTGACTAATAAAGCAGCTTTCACTTCCTTTCGTTTCCAAGCCATTTGTTTCCCTAGCAGTGCTTAGCAGCACGCTCGCATCGTGTCTCAGGGCCATATATTCCTGGCCCGTGGTCAATTAGGCCGCGATATCGCTTTCACCCGTTCATCATTACCATCACAGCCACCTCTTGTCTTAGCCCTTGATAGAACATCAACCGGCAATATGGCTGATTCCATAGTATCCATTCCTGATGTTATCAGGCTGACTGCTAAGGTCGCTAAAAGCTTTGTGGAGTACGGGAGACAGGTCAAGGACGCCCCCAGGCTAATTATGAATATCCACTTAGAGGTCAATGCTCTAAAGACTATCCTAGAGACTCTTTACATGACTCTAGGTGATAATGAGGCGTCTACCCAGAAGGCAGGACTTTCAGATTCCCTAGACCAGTGCAAGAGATTATTGAACGAGCTTCAGTTGTTGGTGTCACCGGAAGTAGAAACGGAGTCTGACGACGAAGAACTCCCCAACAAGAAGACACCACGGAACACGCAGAGTCCTTTTCGTAGATTTGGACATGGAAGAACAACACCCACACCATCTCGCCACCAGCGTAATGACAACTCTGGCGTAGACCATCTGCAGTCTTTGCTGCAGGCCCAGATCAGTCACGAGTACCATATCGCACAGCACGAGCTGCATACTTCCAACATGAACCAAAACGTCCCTAAAACACCAACACGGTCGCCTCGTAGGCGCCCGATAGTGGATCTTTCGACGCGGTTCAAATGGCCGCTGTTCCAAAAGGGCAAAGCAGAGGAATTGCTAAAACAGCTTGAGAGGCAGAAAACCCAGCTAAGTTTGGCGGTGCAGACCGATAATGCGTGAGTCAAAGCTGTGCTAATTTGTAGCGTGTTAACTGACTTCTTCTGACAGCATGAACCTCAACTCTATCGCCCATTCCATAAAGGATATTGAGGCTAATCTGAACGGTAAGGTAACCCCCCAAGTTATTCCAAAATGTGCGCGCCGGCTAAGATTGGAGGACGAATAGATAACGAAAAGAGGGCAATCTTGGCTTGGTTATGCCCCAGAATTGACATGCATGAGTTCCATCGTGAACAACACGACAAGCAGGAAGACGAGACATGCGAATGGATAACCACCTCTCGCGGCTGGAAGCAATGGCTCAACGGAGGCTCATATGAGCCCAACGGCTACCGTCGTTTCATATGGATCTACGGCATCCCCGGCGCTGGAAAGACGGTTTTGGCCTCGTTTCTCATCGATAGCATTGCGGTCCACTGTCGAGCGACGGGATATTCATACTACTATTGTCACAATGAACGAAACCAGGATGAGACAATCCACTTCCTACGTTGGATAGTAGGAGATTTGAGCCGACAGATTGATCGCTTTATCCCTAAGGAATTAGATAAGCTCAGCCAATCCCAAGGTTTCACTATCGAAGGCCTTATGAACTGCTTCGCAGCCATTTCTAGAAAGTTCAAGAGCGAAGGCCGCCGGGTGTACCTAGTGGTCGATGCCGTGGACGAAAGCAAAAAACCGCGGAAGAGGTTGCTCGACGTGCTGATCGCAATGGGCACGGACATAACTTATGAGAACGTCTCAATATTGATGACGAGCCGTGAAGAGGAAGATATTGGAGGTGCGATGGCTCAGGCTGCGAGCAGCGCACAGCGTTCGCTTCCAAGCACGTTCCGTGATTCAGATATCTTGAACAGTGCCTTTATGCCTTATACGTCTATCACCATGTCGAATAGCGATGTTATGCGAGCGATCCAGAAGTACGTTGAGAAACAGTTTGAACGAAACGCTAAGTTCAGAATGTGGCCGCTAGATTTTAGGGCACAGATAGAGAAAAAGCTGGCGAGAAATGCTAGAGGAATGTGAGTACCCCTGAAGGCCATATTTTCAAGAGAGTCCAGTTGACCCTTTCCTAGGTTCCGATGGGTTGCATGCCAAATCGATATTCTCGAACGTATCTATATGGACACAGACAAGGTGTCTAAAGCACTGGATGATTTGCCGGAAACGCTGTTTGACACGTACGAGAGAATACTCCAAAGCATAGTATCAGAACAACACGCATTCGCTCGCACGGCTCTGGCGTTAATATGCAGCAACACCTTCAAAGTCAAGAGCGCCGACGTATTAGTGCAGGCATCGCTCCATAATGTTCGACATGGCGCAATGCACATGTATGATGTCGAGACATTAAAAGATATTCTCGGCTGTCTGATCAAGGTAACCAATTTGAGGAAAAGGCCTCAGTCCAAGTTCAAACGCGAAGATGATAATTCTCCCCTTCAGAAAGTTGCCGTCGCTCATTATACCGTCAGGGAGTTCCTCTTTGCGAAATCAAAAACAGATGGGGGACCAAGACCGGCCGGCGAATTTGCTCTGTCAGATATGAGTATCCGCGTACTAGAGACACAAGTCGTGTTTAATGGTTTGCTGCAATGGGGGAGAAATCGTCCTTTAAACATGAAATTTCCCACTCGCTATGAGGAACACTGTCTGGAAATGAGTGAATGGGCCATGCGAGGAGCCCGGCAAAACTTGCTCATCAAGAATCATGGTGTATGGGAATCAGTAGTGCAGTGCTTGATCCCTGGCAGACCACACATCAAAGCCATTACAAATTCAAATCTCCGTAAACACTTTCCACGGTGGGCAAAGCTGAGTGCACTCGACGAGCTGTCACCGGGACAACAGCCTCAGGCAGCTCCTAATAGGCGGTTCCGACAAGAGACGGGTATTTTGGCAAGCCTCATCTTGCTCAATTGGCCGGAATTTGCGCAAAAATACATCAAGGACACCAATTTCCAGGTTTTATCACCCGAAGCAAAGCATGCCGTCTGGACGAATAAATTCACCATCAACCCGCCGGATAATATGGATATTCCACGCACGTTTGAAAAGGGGAAGCCGATCACACTTCTCCAACTGTGTGTATCGTGGAAACGTCCGGAATTCTTAGAGCTCTTCATTGATGCCGGAGCGAATTTTACTCATGAACCCGATATCATATTTATGGCTCTTGAAAATCCCTGGGGTCTCGATGAAATCGAAAGTGATGGATCTATTACCAGCCAGCTCTTAAAGATGCTCCTCGAAGCAGGCGCAGATCCTAACCCACCCGGCTATTTATATACGCCTCTTCAATTTGCGGTACACCACCTCGAAGAAAGCTGGGTCCAAAGTCTGCTTATTGAGGCCCGCGATGCCAATTTAATCGGGGACCCCAAGGGAAAGGATCCATATGGACTTAAGGACAGAGATCCTAAGGACAGAGATCCTAAGGACAGAGATCCTAAGGACAGAGACCCTAAGGACAGAGATCCTTGGTACAGCTTACATCCTCTTGAGATCTGTCGTAAAACGCTGCCAGGACCAGACAACGATGGATCAGAGGGCCTAAATAGCAAGGCCAAGAAGCGGATAGAACAGCTATTAATTCAGTATGGAGCAGAAATCGAGCCCGACGTGATCGATGTCTCGTCAGATAGTCCAGATGAAGTGTAGTACCAAAGTAGCCGTCGTGCACTCAAAATCAGTTTCCCTTCTACGACGGATAACAAATTTTGGATAGGCTGAATAAGCTTGGTATAAGCTAAGATAGGTGAATAGTGAGGTAGGAAGTGGTCTAGACGATGTAGATAGTGCAAGGAGAATATATGATTTATATCTCTACCATTGAACTGCGCCTGCTCTTTCCCAGCGAAGTGTACGCTCGTGTTGAATAAAGTTTAGAGAGAGGATATTGTTGAAAGCAGCTATCACTTGTCTGGCGCAGTGGCATAGTCGACCACAAGTGGGTGCTGAAAAGAATATGTGAATTAATAAAGGTGCGTGATATCATTATGATTGTTTCTGGCCCATCTCTTCCATGCCGATATCATCCCATTCCTCACTCCATTCGCCAATCTTTCCACCTAGCCAGATTCCTCCGGCTGTTACTACGCTTGCTAGAAGGAACCAGCCCTCAAACCATCTATCCACGAAACCCGGCTCCAAGGCACTTTCAAGCGCGTCACCGACGGCGCTGCCTACCTCTTTGGGAAGATTACTTCGCAAGAGTAGAGCGGCAGAGATCACGTATATAGCGCTAATCTGCCCAATCAACAGAGCTAGATTGGCTTGGGCCTGGTATAAGAGTCCAGGAGTCCACTTGGCGAAGAGATGGAATGTTTGGAGCGCACTGTTGGCGCTCGCGGCGAGGATGACGCCGGATAGTAAGAATGATATCTGTCTAGCCCAAGCAATCTGGTCAAGCTTCGGGTCCCAATGTTTCGCTAAGAGGCCCAGGAATCGATTAATGGGATCTGAGGAAGAAAACGAGGCAGTGGGATAATACAGCCGCCGTAGAGTAGTCAGGGTAGTCGCTATGATACGATAAACGCAGTATACGCTGAATACATAAGTAGGTATCGAAAGTAATTTCCCCGAGAAAGTTGCAGCACGAGCCGAATTGGCCTGTCGAGAGCGAAGCATAGAGAGAGAGGACGATAGATTTGCTTCCATAGCTTCCAAACCCGCGATCTCGAGACGTAGTGTGCGGATCTCTGCTGCATCACCGCCCCCACGGATGGAACCGATGACCTTAGTGACGAACCCGCGCTTCTCAGCCGATGGGTTCTCAGCTGCCTTACGCAGTAGGCTCTGCAAGCGGTGTCGTTTAGTTATGAGCATCTCATTCGTAGCATCAAGACCCGCTTGTTTCCGGGAGACATCGGCGTCCGTCACGGGACGCCTTGCACGGCTGCCAAATGTGTGCCACGGTGAAGAGACCGAGGCGAATCCAGATAATAAAGCCATAAGTGAAATGCCGATGACTCCAATTCGCTCAAGACAGGCACGTGCTAGACTGCCTGAAAAGGCGGGCTCGGCCCGGGCCATCTCCATCTTAGCGCTCGGGCGCACTGCCTCACTTCCTACCGGTACGAGATTTCCTAACGACCAGAACGCGCATAGCCAGACACTAAACATAACAAATTGAAGTATCCAAGCAGCCCGAGGTATTCGACCTTTAGAAGTGCGTTGAAACGACCATCCCGATCCAGCTACAAGAGACTGAAGTTCGAGGAATGGTATGAGTACGACGAGGAGGAACAAGAGAGTGGGAACAGTGACTCGCAAAGCCAGCGCTCGGGCATAAGGGTTGATTAATTCAGAGATCTCGCATAAAATCAATTCGCCCAATACAACCGCTAACCCAACCGTCGTAGAAAAAGCGGCTTCAGCTATTCGCCTTCGCAGAGATTTAGAACCATGCTCGGCATGCGCTTGCTGGAGTGATGGGGGCGCATCGGAAGGGAGGAAATGGTCTTCGCCATCGCGAGAATTTTGGATACGGGCCAGATAGGGAAATATCTTTTGGGAGACCAGGATAGAGACGACCACAAAGGTGATTACGAAAGGTGCTAATGAAAATGTCATTGACGTCGCCGAGGGCGCGACAAGGCTCGGGGCCATACATGCATCGTCTGAGCAGCTGAAGAGTCCCATTGGAAATACTCTTGACGACAGTGATTACGAATGATTGTTCTGTGATAGCATTCTAGCTCATAGAACAAAGTATGGATTAATACTTATCGACGAGTAAGTAGTGCATTCGAGGTGGGTGTAGGCACGGATCGAGGATCGAGGATCGAGGAAGAGATAACATGATTAAACTTTCACAAATCGGAGTTGAAACTTGAACGACGAAGTTATAAGATCGATTGTTGGGATTCCCCCAGACAAATGACGACTACCCTTGAACCTAAGCCCCACCTTCCACCCAGCCACCACGCGGCTACTAGCCTAGGTACCTAAGGAATGGATCTCCGACGCATCCGTGCGCGTCCCGACTCCCGTGCAGTCTGTACTGTACGTTTTCAGCCATACCTATATAGGTACGTACTCGAGGGGCTCTCTAGAGTGTGGCTTGAAATAAGAGGCGCAAGTCTAAGTCAAACCAGACAGGGGTCCATGAAAAAAGTCGAATATCTCCAAGTAGTCGCGCGACCTGAAAATAATCGCCAGCAACTGCAGAACCTCTGCCATTGACGCTGGGAGAGGTACTGTAATCGCTGCCCCTGACTATGGCAGCTTCAAGTAGAGGTGGCAATGCTGCCGCCGCTTTATTACGAAGTAAGTTGGCTTCTGCGGATTCCGGAATCCCAAAAATCGCACATTTGTGTCGCTTAATACTAAAAACTACTAGAAGGACAATCCAGCATATGCGCCAGCTGCAGGAATGCTCAATTCCGATCGTACTCTGCCAACGCCGAGGCCGCCGCGGTAGCTGAAGCTCACCATCTTAAGCCGACGGAATCACAACCACATCCACCCTTCACAGCGTCCCGCAAAGCAGAATACCGCATAAAATCCGGCATCATCCTAACCCGGGCACCTCTACTAACCCGCGCCCTCACTCCCTTCGAGAACGCTTTCTACTTCTACCAGAAACGACTGAACGAGCGATTGGTGTTGCCTTTCCGGCACACTCTCTTCTTCAAGAAGGACACGGCGGCCGACCTCGATTGGCGAATCAAATTCGAAGAGCGGGGCCGGATAGCGGCGAAGGAGCTGGGCAGATACTACGCCAAGGGTCGCAACGCGTGGAACGACGAGTTGTTGGTGGGGAGCACATTGAGCAATGAGGAGAGGATACGAGAGATCTTGCTCAAGGATGCCGAAAACCGGGTAACTGAGGATGGCGAGGAAGCTGACCCGGATGAGGTCCTGCCTGTCGAACAACCGATGGACAGGATCACGGAGGCTGATAAGACGAATGACGTGAGGCGACTGGACCGCAAGCTGGACCGGACTCTCTACTTGCTTGTTCAGAGTAGCGATGGGAAATGGCAGTTCCCGTCAGAGGATGTGCCGACAGATGAGCATTTACACGAGGTTCGTCTCATATAAGCAACTGTGCATACTATAGCGAGTCTATTCATACTAACCATACCCACAGACCGCGGCAAGAGTCTTAACGTCTGCGGCGGGTGTCAACATGAACACCTGGTTAGTAGGCCGCGTGCCTGTTGCCCATCTAGTTACACAGCCCGAGTTCAACGAGGATACGTCCCTCAAGCAGAGAGGCGAGAAGGTATTCTTCCTGAAGGGGAGGATCATGGCCGGCCAGGCGGACCTGAAGGGCAATAAGTTGGGACTACAAGATTTCAACTGGCTCACAAAGGAGGAGTTACAAGAGAAGCTACCAGAGGAGTACTTCCACTCCGTAAGGAATATGATGGCGGATCGGTAGAACGGGTAGACATCACGATACGAAGCCTCTGTAGTCTACGACCGTCAATGTAAAGACAGTGTACTATATTATACCTTACGTAGAAATAAATCGTCCCCGTATATTGCTAGTACATACATACATGCTGACTTTTAACGTAACTCATTTCTCGTGCCCAGGTATTCAGTCAGCCTACTACGTTTATATCCAATCACAGCCAGATCGTCTGATCAACAGTAGCAAATCTCCTATCTTGTGGGAAAACTCAGGTTTATTCGCATATTCTCTATGGCAAGTCTCCTATGGCTATCTCGAAACTACCTAACTTACCATACTAGAATTGCGACTGAAATGACAAGATTCTGAATGAGTCATCTAGACATCTAGAATAATAGCTGCCTTGAGTACGTATAATCACTAGTTTCCGTAGCTTAGGTTTGTTGTCCCTTGCGTAACAGTGAAGTTGTTCCCACGTTTTCTGGATCCGCCCCATGACACAAACCAAGGCTCAAGTCAACGTCTTAGTACGCGAATATATCAGATTACTGGTACGGCAATTGGATCTAATGTATCGCCTGTTGCTCGTGTAAACAGATCGCTGTTGGCCGTCCTCACCTCGGCTTGTCAGAGGCAGTAGTATTCTTAAGGGACTGGTTCAAAAGAGACAAAGCCTGCCCCAGGGACAGAGCACTTGTTGCCATAGGCTCTCCAGAAGTCATGTGTCCAGAGGGGTATCATGTGTGTTTCCTCCTCCGAGTATGTTTCGCCCGATGTTGGCATAGGCTCTCTCTGTGTAGGTCCCTCCCCGACCGATGGCATTGCCTTGCTATGCCCAGGGGTTAATACTACCCAACTCGAAGCTGCCTCGTCGAGGATGTTCCATCTCTCTAAATTTCTCAACATTTGGTTGTCGTCTTGGTCGAGGAGATTGATGGCGCTTGTCTTGGGCCACGAAGTCATACTATATTCTGTCGGTTCCTTTTCGTCCTTTTTGTTTTGGTTGTCCTGCTTCTTCGGTGCGTAGAACTCTTTCTCGAACGGGACCAAGTGTTTCTTAGCTCTGAACAGAGTGTAGGTCTGTTTTAAGAATAGACTGGCGGCCATACAACCTAACGAAGTAAGTTACAATATTCTAGCAGTGTAAATAAATAAATAAAGGGGACTTACTATCAGATCCGGCATGATGAGGACCTGGCAAGTTGATGCCGGATTCTAAGCCGACTACAGGAATTGGATTTCGCGCGTAGAAATGGTGGATCTTTTCTAAAGCTCGATCCGGCTCCATCATATGTCTACCCCGTGCATACATGAATCTTGTGTCCGCGATTCGTGGGAAGAGTTTGTTTATCTCAATAAGGAAGTCGTCGACGTTGGCGGGTAGAGGCTCAAAGAACGTTCGATATATATAGGCAAGGTCCATGAATAAGTTATGGCCAACCAGGATCGGTCTATTTTTCTTCAGGCTGGCCTCGCATTTTTTAAAGTCGAATGTCTTGTTGAGTTCATTCCACGTTCTATGGCGTTCTGGGACATCGCTTTGGTGATAAACGTATTCCTGTTTCATTCTGTCGGCAAAGGATCCGCCTGACAATGCCTCGAATAATATTTGAAGTCCTATAAAAATTAGTGATTTAGAAAATCATGCGTCCTAGGGAAATACGAACCAGATAATCGATTAACCTCCGCCAGGTTCCATCTCTTTCGTGCCTCAGTCTACTCCAATATGACTTGTTAGTCGGATACTCGGAATAATACTACGTATAAGATTCCTTGGGGGATTACAGACCTTGGCTTTCGCAGCATCATCAATTATAGCAATGGAAGCGGTTCCCGATATCGCGTTTCTGGTTGCCGCATAGGAAGGATGCTCTTCACGGATGATTTGGTGTATCAAACGGATCTGTAATCCATTCAGCCTATCTCCATACGGGTTTTTTATGGTAGTTTCCGTGGCCTAACAAGTCATCAGCTTAACGAGTATTAATCCGGAGGGGAGCGTCGTACCGGTTGGAATCTTCCAGCAACAAAGTCCGCAATTTGCTTCTTAGTCCTCTTGTAAAATTCTTCAGTCTCGTAGTCCAGCGCTGAAGGGTCAAGATGTTCATTGTTGGGATCTCTCGACACACAGAACTGTTTTGCGAATCTCTGTTCCTCTCTATTGAGGTAATGAGCTCCAGTATCCAAAGCCTTGTTGAAGTTGAAATTATGCTGTTGTAGAAAATCGTACGCTCTCACCGAGACGCTAAATTTTCTATCAAGACGTCTAGAGAGATTATCAAAGAATGTAGATTTGGGAAACAAGGGAGAAACAGAGAAAGTGAATGTTCTCGTCATATATTTAGCTGGTCATACGAGTTAGTTATAACGCGGTCTCTTTTCTCAGTTGTTGTAGACTGACCTAATCCTTCGTCATAGCGAACGAAAGTGAGCCCGAGTTGTACTACTTGAAATTGTTCTGCCGCTTCTTTGATCTTGGCGTATGAGTCTTGGGCACTGTTATGACCATGAATAAGCGCGATACCGCTCATCTCAACGTCCACCGCTACAAAACGAGCATTCTGTGCCTCGTGTAGAATAGGGGGTAGCATCCAGAAAAAGTTACTCCTGTTGACCTCCATGGTGTTGATGGTTATATGTTGGACTAGTGTTGAAGGTGATGCGGTAGTAACTAGCTGTTGTATGTTGAATCAGAAAATTAAAGAGGTGGAAGGGAATCTATGTTTATGGTAGAACACGAAATGTTATATACTCCTAGTTATGAAGCTATGGCTGCAAGTGGGTTGCAACCTCAGATAGATGATATCCACGTCAGGTATCCTACCTCGTAAGAATTTTATACGTCTCCTGACCAAGAGACATGTTCTTAGGGAAGGTACTGATGGTTTGTGAGTTGGTACCTGGCAACGTCTCTTCGAACTAGAGTAACGGACGGCTAATCGTCACACGCAATCACTAAATATCTGTAAAAAGGTACCTAGGTAGGTACCTAAAATACGCACGGTTGATTCTAACGGCAGCAACGTCGGGAATGATTCATACGTTACTCAGTTAATAAACTACTTCTAGGTAGGAAGCTACGACTCATTCCCTAGAGTCATTATTTTGTGTTTAGGTAATTTTGGTCCCCTTGGGGAAAAAAGGATGAGTAGTAATTATAGGAGGTACCTTAAGAGGTAAACACTGAACTTAAGGCTATTTGTGTCTGGTCAGAGTTTACTATAAGGTACGTACGGGCTGACCTCTGTCTCGTAGACCCTTAAGAAGTGTACTTCCCGTTCAGGTTTCCCAAGTCGAGTGATATCGTGATTATTAGGACTATATATCAACACTCATAACTACCTAACTATAGAAGCAATGCCATACTGTTACAGCTGGGTCTAATTTTTATTTATTTCTTAGTCTATGATCATATTATTATCAACATTAAGGATACCTGATAATGACTGTAGCAACACTGGTAATAGTTAGGTCACTGAAAAGACTACTGTCTTAGTCTACGGTTATCTGTATCTAGATCATTAAAATTATTATTATTTCTTCCCTTTGCTTGTATATCATGGCTAATACCAAAAGTGCTAACTAGCTAAACTTGTAGTCTTAACTCTACGAGTTAGATTGATCGTTCATCCTGATCTAGACTGAATAGTTTGGCAATGGAAAGCTGGAGTTGTCATTTAAACACTGAGAATTAATATAATAAAACTGAACTAAGTGTTATATACTCCGGAGATGATATATGTGCGAGCGATCAACTCTACGGTCTCTACTAAAGGAGGTTAGAAAGTGATTCACTTACCGAAAAAGTACTTAAGTACCTCGACCCAAGCTAGAGTAGACCGAGCTAACTCATCAATTAATTACGGCCTAACCTATTGAGGTACTTTTAAATGGAAGAACATGTGGGGCTCGCCTAACGTTATTCGCATTTGTCGGCCGACGACCGATATACCGAGGCACAGCGCACCTACCTAGGTCGGCTAGGTACCATCAAAATACCTAATGATGATCACACCAGACCTTAGCAAGTGCAATCTTCCCGCATACCAGACAATCACCGCGAGGATTTCCGACCTCGTCAGGTCCCACATGCTTGTGTTGTTCTTGCATGTGCAAGCTCTCTACCACTACTACTGTAATGTCATGTTGGCATAGCTATTGATTTCACTATTGATTTCATTATCTTATTCTTGTTAGTGTCAATTGTGCTGTTGGCATCCTATCGTCGCGTATGTTAGCGTTTGGTCCGATTCTTATCTGAATTGCCTACCTTGGGTAAAAAGAGTATTCGCAACTATGTCGTTCGATGGTTCTTATTCCGCAACATTGAGTCCCTCAGTGTCCGAGAGTTTCGGATCCCACGTTCTGTCGAATTCGATATCGTCCTTAACATCCTCAACAACATCTCGTCCATCATCGAACAATATTTCTAAGACCTACCGACAGGCTTCGCAATTATTCTTAACGCGTCGACTTCCCGAAGCCTTGTCAACAGTCTTACCCTTGATTACCCCATCCACCGAAAGTTCCAACGTAAATGGATCGACTGAACCGGCACCCGTTGCTCGAGCTTCGAGATCCACAAGGATAAAGGTATGGAGTCTTTATCTGACGATTCTTAATGCGATATTGGAGCTGGATGCCGACGAAGGAAAAGATGCCTTTGGCACTCAGGAATGGCGTACTATATGTAAGAAGGTTCGGGACAGCGATGTCTGGGAAGAAGTAGTGCAGTTCGGATATCATGGCGTCGAAGGGGAGGTAGATTCCGATGTCGTTATAAATCTGTAAGTTTGGTCTTCTACTATGTATTCCAAGTTATGATTAGGCGGCTCGAATTTGATGTGGAACGAGTATTGACGAGTCTCTAGGGCGACTCTTCTGCTTGCACATGCGAAATCACAGGCAGTCAACCAGAAGCGGCTGGAGAATTACCTAGCCTCATCAAGTACCCCAAACCTTGATATATCTAAACAGCTTGAGGCAACTAGATCTCCGCGATTAGCATCACGAAGTCGAAGATCTCACTCTAAAAGCGGTGCTGCTACTCCTCGGGATCTCAACGCTAGAGTTAAGATTCTCGAACTGTACACTCTCCACGTCTTGTTACGTAATAACGAATGGGACTACGCCAGAGAGTTTATTAGCTCTAGCGCAGTACTAGACGAAGAGCGGAGGGATGCTTTCTTACAGGCTCTTCAAAGCTTACAGGAAGAGCAACAGGAATCAGAACGGAAAGAACGCGAAGAGAAGCAAAAGCAGGAGGAACAACTGCAAAAGGATATCGAAGAGGCTAGGAGATTGAGAGCGGAGAATGAAGCAAGAGAACGACGTCGAATAAACGAAGAAAGAGCCAAACGAGAAGGTACTGAGGTCGACTATGGCATCGAAAACACACCAAGTACTTCGGGGGTGAGGAATAAGGCTCGGAGCGGTTCTAATGGCTCTGTATTATCAAGGTCATCCAAATCATCCAAGCCATCCGCCCCCAAGGAGAAGAAGGTTGTAGCGCGCCCAGGTCTCGGTGCTCGAGCTATAATGATTCTATCAAATCTTCGTAACATCATCGAGCAGATGAGCGCTACATTTAGAGCAAACCCGGTATTGCTTATGAGGCTGTTAGCCTTTGTCATTGGTGTAATTGTTATGTTTGGTAGGAAAGGTGTTCGCGAGCGGGTTCGGCAGATTCTTGGTACGGGCTGGAATAAGGTGAGATCAACCGCTGGTATGGGTGTTAAGGTGAGCTACATCTAGTTGACGGGTTTATAATATGGCTTTCTGTATATCATCCTCTTTTAGCAGGTAATAATCACTCGGGAATACCGGATAGTATCTTGAACGAAGTATGTCGCATACGTTTCAAAGTTTTTAACGAGAATCGATTTATAAGTATTGGTAATATGTTGGGTAGTTAAATGTCAATTTCATCTATGTGAAGACTGTCGTAACCTCTAAACGCCACCCTGAATGCTGATCCGAAGTGTAACTCCTTTTCCCACGTAGGTATGTGTACATTAGTGATTTTGACCTGTCAGATACGCTAATAATTATGAATTTCCGAGGCACAAATAACCACAGCCCAGACCCGGGCATCATGGAGGCTAGTACCCTGTCCGATTTGTTTTCTTTTGGTAAAATAGCTGTAAAACGTGTAAGCATAATTCGAGGTTCGATGAGGATTCATGTGGGAGAGATGGAAACATACATCTGTACGTGAACTGCCTAAATTTATAATCTTGGGGCAGCCGTCTCTATCCTTCTCTAGTCGCGTACATTCGAAGCAGTAAAACGCGTCCGATATGCCCTCGCCGCCGCACACGACACACTTGTTCTGGTAGTTACCGAAACTACATTCGTCACAGATACGCACGAGAGTGGTTGGGCGCACGTAGGAATCGCATACGGGACATTTGCCGTCGCACTTGTCGCAGAGGCGGCCGATGGCGATGCCGGATTGCTTACGGCACATAACGAGATCTCTGGGGGATGGGGTTAGCTTCAGCTTATCACGAATAAATAGTTCAAGTTGTGAGTAAGGGAGGTACTTACGGATGATGTCGAGACATTTTGATTGATCGCGGACCTTACGATGGTTGAATTATTAGGAAGAGAGTGTTGTAGATGGTCGGAACGTAGAGTATTGGTCGCTAATGCAATAATAATAATAATAATAATAATAGCTTTCCGGGCAATTTCTCAGCCTTGCCACTTGCAAGTTGCTTCTGGCGATTTCTTTGGTACGAGCCAGCAATCCAAGCTGCACGAGGTTGGAGCTTCCCTGCCTGCTAGCCTGCATATAAGGGAATTGTTACATGTATAAAAGTGGATCATTATATGCGCAATTGCATAGAGTGGCACCGACGTGCATGCGTTAGGTACATAATACACTAGCGTGGGGTACCGTACCTGTTAGTATCCACCTCTTACCGTTTAAGTAAACTTTGAATGTCGCGCCCGTCGCACAGAGCGCTTTGGCCCTTCAGCCTCGTCCGCGCGACAGTCTGGTCAATCTCTCATCTAAGCAAACAATGCTTAGCAGTATGGTCTAACTTAATAGATCGCCCGCTGTGGCAATCATCTTTCTAACATTGCGCATTTTATACATAGTCTCATAGATCTTTTCGACACCCGGGGGGATCGGCACAATGTCATCTAGTGATACGTGAGAGACCGTCTTTACTCTAATCTTATTGGTCGCAATTGGCTAATGATAAAGCAGCTCTCTCAATGGTCGTAGCCTAGAGCACGAAACGATTGCTACTGAAGCAGACAAGGACCAGCGTAGTTCGAATAAGCGCAAAGCTTTGTCGCCTTCACCAAGCGAAGACAAATCTAGCCAGTCGCCGAAAAGATCTAGAATTGGTGATGGCTCGAGGGAAGACAGTACTGTCAAGCCGCTGCCCACACCAAAGGAGCCCTCTACAGACCGCCGCGAAAGCGCGCTGCAGGAGGAAAGGAGACGCGGGAAGCGCTTATTTGGTGGTTTGCTAAGCACACTAAGTCAAACCACTTCTAGCTCTCAGCAAAAGAGACGTCAAGAGATTGAGCGACGACAGCAGACAAAATTTCACCAGCAGAGGGCCGAAGACGATAAGCACAGAGAAGAGAAGCTAGCAAAGCTAAGAACCGTACGGCAGTTGGAACAGCTCAAGTTTGACGAGCGAGTTGTATGCTAAATCTCTGTTCTTCTAGTGGTCACTCGAGCTAACAAGACGGTCAGATGCAAAATAAGCATTCCAATATGCTAGCGACGGCACGTTTTTTAGAAACTAAAAGTACACCTAAGATAGTGAGAACAGCTCTACCACGTGGCCGACGCATCTACTAATCACACTTCTAGTATTATCTGCCGTGGGACCCCACAGAAGAGCAGGAAGATATGATTAAGGATCAGACCCGAGAGGTTGAGGACATCATCGATAAGGAGGTCCTCGATTTTAAGCAACGCAAAGAACAGAAGTTGAAGGTACTGGGCGTCGCAGTTAGATCCCCTACGCCCGAACCCAAGGACACAGTGGGTAATAACCCTAATGATGAACGCCCTGCTGACCCTCCACAATCTAACCCTACCAATCGCCCGCCTTCCCACGCTGGTAAGATCGGTCATGAAAGGGAGTCCGATAGGGCGGATGATGTTGTGATAGAAGAGGTTGAGGATACGGTCATTTACTGACACCTAAACTCCTCGGTGCGGTTTTTGATTTTACGTTACGTCTTTTTAGGCTCTGGTGATGGACGGCGGCATAGGCGTTTTGGTGTGATAGGGGTTTGCGAACCAGGGATTCCCGCCGTAAGTTTCGATTCCAAGGTTGAATTGTTCATGTGCGTTACGTATATGCATTGAGCATGAATTTTTAAGATTCCTGATGAACTTGATTAGAAATCATAACTTCTATCATATTCTTGAGAAGGATGGACTATCTTCACCGGGGCAGCAATGTTTCTCATGTATAGCTGTGCCCCTGCTAGCGATGATCCCTCATATTACGTCGGGGGATGCCTAGTCACCACATACAAAGTGCAATGACCTACAAACACTACTTCTAGATATATACTGTCGCACGGTGTAATATTCACGATACGCGGTGTAGTCATGGAATCAATGAAACCGGATTGCAACCTCGAACTCCCACGGAATCCGGGTTGTTCGGATATGCCTCGAGAGCATGCCAGAGCGAGACGTATTCGTATACATCATGCGGTTGGTTATGTATATACTTGAAGAAGTTCTCTTGCAGCAATAATATGCCGTCTATATAGTATCAGGTGAACAGTATTAAATATCCTCAACGTGCTCGGCAGTCTACCTAGTGTATGAACCCCCTTTTTGCGGAACCGCCTCGGGAGCCGTTACCGCTCTTGATGTATGCCGAGGCACACGACACGCTAATTGGCCCACTAGCGGTACCTATCACACAAGGAGTATATGGCATGTTGAAGTCCGTAGACTCATAAACGGACGGTTAGACAATTACACCGAATAACACCCCCGATCTCTTGGCCCAGGCATCACCTTGAAAGCCATACAGGTCTTTTCTGACCTCGGGATATTATAGGATAATAAGCATTGTGGGTAAGTCTGTACGGACTTGTTGATATCCCAGCGTCTCCAACTCCGATCAACCGGGTTTCTTAAGTTTAGACACGTCTGTTCTCGCCAACCCCTATTAATAATACAGTATCTGCATGAAGCAGCGTAGTTCTACTATGTGGTAGCTTGATTGGCAGCTACTAAGTTTATTATGTTAAGCATTCAGAATGAAATTTAGGGTCTATTTCATGTTAATATGATTTTTAGTATTTTTTCCGCTTGATATATCTCGAGGGAATCTTTTGCAAAGGTATTCCGTTTGTTAGGGACTTATTTTGACGCCACTGACGACGTGCATTCAACAATGCGTGTCTAGATAGGCCATGTGCTCGACCGAAGTGGGGATCGGCTCTCCGGCAGGCACATAAAAGGGTCCAATAGGTCCCGTCTGTTCTCTCTCTCTCTCGCAGTTCCCACCAACTTTGTGGAAGAAGGCCTTATAAGACTCACCCATATACTATATCGAGAAACCCCCAAATTAAGTCAACATGACTGTCGATGCATTGGTCCCCAATGACCCTCGGGTTGAACATAAGTTCAAGTCCTTTGGAGATATCAAATACCACTATATACTAGCTAAGCCACAGGGCAAGCCTGTTGCCACTGTTCTCCTCACTCATGGCTGGTAGGTGTCCCCGAACTTGAGGAGCTTCTATATTACTCACGGAATATCGACAGGCCAGACCTAGGTTTTGGATGGCGGTACCAAGTCCCTTACCTACTATCCCTGAACTTGCAGGTCATTGTCCCGGATATGCTAGGATTTGGGCAAACATCTGCCCCTGATGCCCCCGAGGAGTACACCCTTAAGAAAATGACCGCTCAAGTTGCAGCCATCGTTAAGGATCATACCGATGAGCCTATCATCCTTGGTGGTCACGATTGGGGCGCGGCTTTCGCTTGGTCAGTTTTCGTCCTTTATGATCTTCCTGGATGGGTGTAACTGGGGATATATGTTCTATTCCCTGATTTGAAAGTCGTATACTGTGATGGATGAACTAACACTTATCTATCATAGGCGCCTGGTTAATTACTACCCGGAGCTAATCCGCGGAGTCTTTAGCCTATGCGTGCCTTACGGGCCGCCGTCGCCGGTCAAGTACTCGCTAGAAGACTTCGTCAAAAGGCTGCCGAATTTCACATACCAGCTACAACTAGCCAGCCCTGTCGCAGAAAACATCGTCAACAAGTCGCCGGCGCACCTCCGGGGATTTATTAACGGTATTTTCGGCGGCACGACGCCGGAAGGCGAACTTGCCTTTAAGGTCTCTATAGGCGTCATCGAGGAAAACCTAGAGAGGATTGGGCCGTCCCCGCTGCTCAGTCCGGAGACCGTCGACTTCTACGTCCAGGAGTACTCGCGCCACGGCCTTCACGGCCCATGCAACTGGTACCGTACCTTCGACATCCGCGTCGAGGACGATCAGGAGCTTGCGAAGAACATCGACGGCAAGATCAAGGTGCCGGCGATGTTGGTCATGGCCGAGAAAGACGCTGCGCTCCCGCCGCAGATGGCGCAGGGCCAGGAAAAGCACTTCGAGGCGGGACTGAGGCAGGAACTTGTTCCCGGCTCGGGCCACTGGGTCCAGGTCCAGTGCCCTGAGGTGGTTAACAAGTACATCGGGGAGTTCATCAAGAGCGTGCTGGGGGACGAACTTAAGGCCTCGCTGTAAAGCGTTAGCTTGGCCCGTAGGATGCTAACCCCACTAAGGACTCTCTCTTGGATATGCATTTTGGTCCAAAATCTTTATACCGGTCTCTACTGGCGGTGTGTGGTAGTTTGAAATCTACGATATTTATATGACTTGAACTATAGTAACTAGTTAACACTAGTGTATGTAACTAGCTAGTTATGCGGGATGTAACATCTAGCCTAGCTTTATCTCGTATGCTATTACTATTCTCGTCGTGATGAAGAAAGACCGAGTGAATAATGCTACCATCTGCTAGCTGACAATTAATAATGTGTTACGAAGACGTTAGCCCGGGTAAGACGTGGAGGTCTGTACTGCGGTCAGCGACGCCGCCACGATGAGAAGCTACGAGCCCCTGAATTTGGCTTAAAATAAGGTAAGATTGATGAAGGGCCCTATTAAGACTTTTTGCGACCGTATATGTACGCAGGTTTCTTCTTGGCAAAGCTCCGTAACAAATGAGTTACCTAGGCTAGTTAGGCACTTTCCTTGTGCTTGTTATTCTTTTCTTTACCATTCTAAGGTTTGTGATGGTTGGTTATTTTATTTACGTAGGTGTGTTTTCCCCCGATCTTTTCAGATTGTTTGCATGCGACATGAAAAAGAGGCGCAAAAAAATACCTCCTTTTGGGGGCTACCTATCACAATATCGCGATCAGATTCTCCAACTTATGATTGATGTTACACTTGAAACTCTAAATATTCAATGCTTGTAAAGGTCGGGTACGTACCTCTTACGTAGTTTGCGTTAGGTTAGGTACCTATTCAGATCAATGGCACATGTAGAGTACATAATGTAGCCTTGTCAGCCACGCATGCATTTTCTTGATGCCGGCTGAGATCCCTGTTGATGCTGCTAAACTGAAAGAAAATTCATTGGCGCCTCCTTAAAGAGCTTGTGTTACTCACGCCCCACAGGCGATTACTACTGGCCAGTAACGGAAGGCTGTGCAGAAGAAAATGGATGTAGGTACACGAACACGGGAATGGGGGATCCACTTATTATCTACACTGATGCTTAGGCCTGGCTTGCTTTGGATGAATGAATGCTACCAAATGCTACCCTTTTACATTTCTACGTTTCGACCAACTTATAGGCTGTCAGACTCTAATGCTTTGCATCGTAGCCACGACATCCGAACACTAACATCATTCATCATATTTGCGACTGTTCCATTCTATCTTTCTCTCACCACTGCCTGCATTTCATCAGGCCTGGTAGCTTGACCTTTTCTATTCTCGTCATCCACGAGTTGAGCCATTCTCGTATTTTATTACCACCCCCTTGCTTGATACGTTGGACCAGGGGCGACTTCCAATACCATTTCTTCAAGAATAAGCTGCAAGGTCATCTCTATGGAAACTTTATACGAAAGTTAAGATTGCCCGTTACTAAATGCAAACCTGAACCGAATCTATTTCGCAAACATTGGTTTTCTATTGCGCCCGTATGCCTCCGGTCCTGCTCCCTTTGTAAGACCCATTCCTTCGCGACATGGCTGGCAGGGCGCCTCCCAGAGGCACCTCCAGCTCTAGGAATGATCTTTTACTAGACCTCGACGAACAATCCCCTTACGATGGATCGAGGCAACCTATACATGATGACCATTCAGCTAGACCATCCGTATCCTACGACGACTTTGTCGGTGGTAGCCAAACCACTCATCCCGCTGTAAAAAACCCTCCTCCCGGCGCCGGCGCTTTGGGTCCTCGACCGCCCTACCTAGCAGATGCCGACAGGCAATACAGCCAAACGTCTGGTCTAAGCAATTACCAACGATACGCAGACGATTTCGACGACTATCCCGACGACGGCCAATCGTATTATCAGCACGGGGGAGCGACGAACGCAGCCGGCGACTCGTCGAGTCGTGCCAATGCGCGGAATCGCAATAGTGTACTCGGGTTAGGAGGTGGATTCCTGGGTAAGGCTAGGAACATGCTCGGGATGGGTCAAAAAGGGTATTCGGAGATGGATCTACCTCTTACGGAGCCAGGACATGGTCGACCGGATTCGGGTCATGAACAGCCGAAACAAAAGAAGAAATTTGACTTTAGGTTCGGCTTTGGTGGAGGTAAACCAGATCCATCAACTCTTGGTCCCCGGATCATTCACTTGAACAATCCGCCGGCGAATGCCGTGAACAAATACGTTGACAACCACGTCTCCACTGCCAAATACAACGTCGCAACGTTCCTACCTAAGTTCTTAATTGAGCAGTTCTCCAAATTCGCCAATATCTTCTTCTTATTTACAGCTGCCCTACAACAAATCCCGAATTTGTCACCGACAAATCGTTATACTACTATTGGTCCTCTCGTGGTCGTGTTGCTGGTGTCCGCAGGCAAGGAGTTAGTTGAGGATTACAGAAGGAAGCAGGCCGACAGTGCGCTGAACAACTCGAAGGCTAGGATCCTGCGAGGATCGAGTTTTGAAGAGACAAAATGGATCAACGTTTCTGTGGGAGACATAGTACGAGTAGAATCAGAGGAGCCTTTCCCCGCCGACATCGTCTTGCTTGCAAGTTCCGAGCCGGAGGGCTTGTGTTACATCGAAACTGCGAATCTGGACGGCGAGACTAATCTAAAGATCAAGCAGGCGCTTCCGGAGACGTCAACTATAGTCAGCCCGGCGGAGTTAAGTAGGTTAGGGGGCAGAATTCGTTCTGAACAACCCAATAGTAGTTTGTACACGTACGAGGCTACCTTGACCATGCAAGCTGGTGGCGGGGAAAAGGAATTGTCTCTCAACCCGGAACAGCTTTTACTGCGAGGTGCTACTCTTAGAAACACTCCTTGGATTCACGGGATAGTGGTCTTTACGGGACACGAGACGAAGCTTATGCGCAATGCTACCGCGACTCCGATCAAGAGGACTAAAGTTGAACGACAACTTAACACACTGGTCCTCGCGTTGATCGGTATACTCCTTGTTCTTAGTATTATATGTACCGTGGGAGAGTTAGTTTTCCGGTCCGTTCGGAGAGACTCGATTGCCTATCTAGAGCTGGACGCCCTTACTGAGCCCGGAGAGGTGGTGCAGGCGATATTCAAGGACCTCGTCACATACTGGGTATTGTTTTCTTCGCTGGTCCCAATCTCGTTGTTCGTGACTGTCGAGATGGTCAAGTATTGGCATGGCATTCTGATTAACGACGATCTTGATATTTACTACGACAAGACAGACACGCCTGCTAACTGCCGAACATCCTCCTTAGTTGAGGAACTCGGCATGGTCGGTTTCGTCTTTTCAGACAAGACGGGAACTCTAACTTGCAACATGATGGAGTTTAAACAATGCTCAATCAGCGGAATACAATACGCGGACGAGGTACCGGAGGATCGAAGGGCTACAGTGCAAGATGGCATGGAAGTTGGAATTCACGATTTTAAGCAAGTGCGTGAGAATATAAAATCACATCAGAGCGCCGAAGCGATTCACCATTTCTTGGCTCTTCTCTCGACCTGCCATACCGTTATTCCGGAGCGGGACGAATCAAAAGGTGGCAAGATCAAGTACCAGGCTGCATCGCCCGATGAGGGTGCGTTAGTCCAAGGTGCTTTGACCCTAGGTTATACCTTTGTTGCTCGCAAACCACGATCGGTAATTATCGAAGTCGAAGGCAAAGAGTACGAGTACGAACTTTTGGCTGTCTGTGAATTTAACTCCACAAGAAAACGAATGTCTACTATATACCGGTGTCCCGATGGAAAAATCCGGGTATACTGTAAAGGTGCCGATACGGTCATCCTGGAGCGTTTGAACGAAGACAACCCCCATGTTGAGCAAACCCTGGTCCATCTTGAGGAATATGCCTCCGAAGGTCTTCGTACTCTTTGCCTAGCAATGCGTGAGGTCCCCGAACAAGAGTTCCAGGAGTGGTACAAGATCTTTGATAAGGCTCAAACCACCGTTGGTGGCAACCGATCCGAAGAACTAGATAAAGCGGCCGAGATACTCGAGCACAGTTTTTACTTGCTAGGCGCGACTGCTATTGAGGATCGTCTTCAGGACGGTGTACCAGAGACGATTCATACACTGCAGCAAGCGAACATCAAGGTTTGGGTTTTGACTGGAGATCGACAGGAGACGGCTATCAATATCGGCATGAGTTCTAAGCTGCTAAGCGAAGACATGATGCTCCTGATCGTTAACGAAGAAGATTCCGCATCAACTCGCGACAATATTCAAAAGAAGCTAGATGCCATTCGGAACAATACGGATGGGTCGGTCGAAATGGATGCTTTGGCTCTTGTTATCGATGGCAAGTCCCTTACTTTCGCTCTGGAGCCAGACATGGAGAAGATGTTTTACGACCTAGCTGTGATGTGCAAGGCAGTTATCTGCTGTCGTGTCTCGCCGTTACAAAAGGCTTTAGTTGTGAAGATGGTTAAGAAGTTCTCGCCGGAAATCCTCCTCGCTATTGGCGATGGAGCTAACGACGTGTCTATGATCCAAGCCGCTCATATCGGAGTTGGTATTTCGGGTGTCGAAGGTCTTCAGGCCGCACGATCAGCCGATATTTCAATTGCACAGTTCCGGTTCTTGCGCAAACTTACACTCGTTCACGGCGCTTGGAGCTATCAACGTATCAGCAAAACCATCCTATTCTCATTCTATAAAAACATTACTCTATATATGACACAATTCTGGGTAAGCTCACGGCATCTCTTATAGTCACCTCTATCTTTTCCCTTAGCGCGTCATCCGTCCATGTCAGGCGTAGTGTTAGTGATTCTTGAAACTAATACATTGGCAGTACACATTCCAAAACGTCTTCTCCGGGGCTATCATCTACGAATCTTGGACATTATCCTTCTACAACGTCTTCTACACTGTTCTACCCCCCCTTGTCATGGGTATTCTAGATCAGTACATTTCCGCCCGACTACTCGACCGTTACCCACAACTATATACTCTAGGACAACAAAACCAATTCTTTAAAGTCAGCACGTTTTTCGCGTGGATCGCAAATGCCGTATACCACTCTCTCATCTTATACATATTCTCCGAACTTATTTGGTACAGCGATCTAATCCTGGGCGATGGCACTATGGCGGGCCACTGGGTTTGGGGTACGGCTTTGTATGCGGCTACCCTTGCCACTGTTCTCGGAAAAGCGGCGTTGGTGACTAGTAACTGGACCAAGTACCACATTATGGCCATCCCAGGCAGTATGGTGATTTGGTATGGGTTTATTGTTGTCTATGGAATTGTAGGCCCAAAGCTTGGAATCTCGAAGGAATACGACGGGTTGGTACCAAAACTCTTCGCGAACCCTGTCTTCTGGCTACAAACCCTCGCTCTGCCCCTCCTCTGTCTTCTGCGAGATTTCGCCTGGAAATACGCGAAGAGGATGTATTACCCACAGACGTACCACCACATACAGGAGATTCAGAAGTACAATATCCAGGATTACCGTCCAAGGTATGCTCTTACCTCTCATGCGTTCTATCATCGCGTATTGTATTGGCTAACAAATGAAACAGGATGGAGCAATTCCAGAAGGCGATCAGGAAGGTCCGGCAGGTGCAGCGGATGAGAAAACAGCGCGGTTACGCTTTCTCGCAAGCGGACGAAAGTCAAACCCGCGTCATCAACGCTTACGACACGACAAGGCACAGGGGGAGGTACGGCGAGATGCCGGCATCGACGCCAGGCAGGTAGTTAGAGGCTCGAGAGGAAAAGGGCTTTGGTTGTGTATTTATATAGTCGGACGATATGATTACTACGAATCTCGCTTAGAGCCAGCAGCGGCGTTAAAAACAATAAATGAGCAAAGGTCGCGAATGACGATCGAATAATACGTCCTGACGCTACTAGGTATAGCAGGCTTGTAGGCTGGTTAACGGCCTTTTGTGACATGGTGCTGGAGCGTTGTAGGTACCTAAGTATCTCAAAGGAGATGTATCTCATTGGCGTTGATTTGGATGGGGTATATTTCATGTCCTAGCCATCTACTCGGCTAACATTTACTTACACGTGGCGGACGACTGAAAGGTCTTGATTAAATTTCCTTTTTACATCATCCAGAGGAAATCCCTTCCTATCCATAGGGTAAAGGTGAAATTAGGTGTCTCTAGGACGACCGCCCATCTCACAAATTTCCATCTAATCGCAGGCTCATCATGCGTGCTCAATAATCCTCCAGCTTGATGACGTGGTAGGCAGGTTCCTCGTAGGGATGAGCGCTGGAAGGAGATTTCTCGGTCAGCGGAGTTGTTTCGGACATGCCATATCTGCCCTCCCCTATACATCAATCTTCACCGCTATAGTATACCACAGTTTCCCACCATAACAGCCAGCTTCCAGACAGCTACAATCTAATAAAACAGCACTTACCCCTTAAGCGCCTTGACAGCGCCCTTAACGACGTCCTCGCCGACGCACAGGGTCTCGACGCGGACCTCGGGGACTTCCTCGAGGGCGCCGACGGCGCCGATATGCGGGTTCGCGGCGTCGCCGGGGCGGAATTGGCCCGTGCCTAGGGTGGCCCAGCAGCACTCGGTGTAGTTCCCCGGCCCGGGGTAGCGGCCTGCGCCGGCGGCGAAGATGGCGGATTTGCAGGCTGCTAGGGCGGGGGTGGGTGCGTAGAAGATTAGGGTGAAGCGCGGGAGGGGTGGCATGGGGAGAAGGAGGGGGGAGCTTTTATGTTGGATTATAAAATAAAATTGTATAAAAAGGTTTGAAAAGAGGATGGTGATAATGAAGGTGAGATTAAGAATGATGATGAGGTGGGGTTTAATAAATCTAGCCCCGCGTTCAATATGATTGGATATTTAATAGTATAATGTTTCTTGAGCTTTTCTAATATCACATGCTAGGATAACCCATGATTTGCCACGTTTAACCCGCCGGTAATGATAAATAAGTTTATTTATACTTAAGTGGTATTCATTAGATTAGTACATACTGTGATCAAAGAAAAGACTATGAGCTTACTGAGCAAAGCTTGACAAGTGAAATGTTATGTCTTTGTATACTAGCTGCGTTACCCGTTCGCGCAGGCGCTTACGGGGAGTGCCTAGCTTCAAGAGTGCCTTTTACGCCACAAATAAGTCTGGCCTCTGATTGGATAGCCACACCTCAGCGCACGTCCGATGAATTTTTTGTAAAATCAATTGAATAGCCTTAATATTGTTTAAAAGATTTAATAATTAGTATCGTTGGATAGAGCGCGTTTTGCATGACCTTTCTATCTTATTTGCATGTGTTTTAGACCTTATGCGATAGAATGGCAAAGGGAAAAGTCGCCAACTGCGGGGCGATTCTAAGGATCTGATTGGCTGGAAAAATTGTGGCAGTACTAATAAAATATAGAAGAGTTGATTGGCCGGAATTGATGGGGGTTAAATGGCTGAATTATTTACATAAGACTTAAAAGGGAACTACTTGCGTGGCTGGATAGGTAATATCAAATCTACTAAGCTAAAGTGCATAGGATGGGATTAATAGGATATCCGTGTGTACATGAGCAGGAACGTTCAAAAGCGGTTGGCCTAGAACTATGGAGTCTAAAATACCTCAATTTAATCTCTTATCATTACGTCAGGGCTGAAGTGACTAATTAATTTAAGGTCAAGCTCTTCCTGTTTTAGTCTAGCGTTCTATAGTAAATCAGGAAATCCCATATTCCCGGACGGCCGGACTCCTGCAACAGGTTAAGACCCTTGACGCGGACTTCACGACCGATATCTTGGCCTTTGGCCCTAGCGCCCTAAGCTTCTTTCCTAAAAAAGTAACAACTAGAAAAAAAAAGAGCTGACCCGATCCACCTAAAATTTCATCATATTCTTGTCATTTTCCTAGTTCTAATTGGCGATAGGTCCTGGCCAATTTTTTGTGCGCTGCTTTTTTTTTTTACTAACCCCCTAAATCGACTTTGGGCTGAATCATTTTGTCTACCAATTCCTTAACCATTCTCACGCCTCTTTGCCCTTTTCCTAGACGGTGACTCCGTCGTTAGTTAAGACCCGATGGCGTCGTCCTCACGGGCCTTGAGCAGGCTCACTAGCCCAGCTAGTAGACAATTATCTGTGCCCGCTGCCAGATTTACCACGACGTCATACCCGAGACAGCTAACCTCCGTTGTCGCAAGAACACGAACAAGAACTACGGTTGCTCCCCGGCTTGCCAGGTCCTATGCTGATGCAGCTCCGCGCCCTACCAAGAAACCGCGCAGAATCCGGAATATCATTAAATGGACATGGCGCTTCGTTTATCTGTCCATGCTCGGTGTTGTTGGTGCTGTCATTTACGACGGTTACTTAGACCGTCACCCCGAAGAACAGTTTGACCCTGATCCTCAGAAGAAGACGTTGGTAATTCTTGGTGAGTAATCGTTACTAATTACCACTTACTGCTCTGTTTCTAATAATTGGGCTTCAAGGTACTGGTTGGGGCTCGGTTGCTTTACTCAAGAAGCTCGACACTGCCAACTACAACGTTATTGTTATCTCACCGCGCAACTACTTCCTCTTCACACCTCTACTGCCGTCATGTACCACCGGAAACATCGAGCACCGCTCCATCATGGAACCCGTGCGCCAGATCCTACGTCGCAAGAAGGCTGCTGTCAAATTCTACGAGGCCGAAGCTACCCATATCGATGTTGAGAAGAAGATTGTCAAGATTACCGACAACAGCGAGATCAAAGGAAAAGTCCACCAGACCGAAGTTCCATACGACATGCTTGTTATCGGTGTGGGTGCCGAAAACGCTACTTTCGGTATTCCTGGAGTCCGTGAGCACAGCTGCTTCCTAAAGGAGATTAAAGATGCGCAGGCTATCCGTACCAAGATCATGGATTGTGTTGAGACCGCTGCTTTCAAGGATCAGGAGCCAGAGGAGATCGACCGTCTTCTCCATATGGTAGTCGTCGGTGGTGGCCCTACCGGTGTCGAGTTCGCCGGAGAGCTGAGGGACTTCTTTGATGAGGATATCAAGAGGCTTATTCCCGATATTGCTCCGCGATTCAAGGTGACTCTCATCGAGGCTCTGCCCAACGTCCTACCTATGTTCAGCAAACAGCTCATCGACTACACCGAGAGCACTTTTAAGGAGGAGGACATCAAGATCATGACTAAGACTATGGTCAAGAAGGTGACCGATAAGACGGTCGAAGCTGAAGTTTCTAGTCCCGACGGCAAGAAGTCTATTGTTACAATCCCCTTTGGTTTACTGGTTTGGGCCACGGGTAACACTTTGCGCCCATTGGTCAAAGACCTCCTAGCGCAAATTCCTGCTCAGAAGGACTCGAGACGTGGTCTTGCCGTCAACGAGTACCTCGTTGTTCAGGGAGCGAGAGATATCTGGGCTGTTGGTGACTGCGCCGTTGCCGGATACGCACCAACCGCTCAAGTCGCTTCTCAAGAAGGTGCTTTCCTCGCTAGGCTATTCAACAACATGGCCAAGACTGAGTCTCTGGAGCAAAGAGTCCGCGATCTTAGCGCTGACTTAAACATCAAGCCTGGTGACGCGTCGGCCGTAGCGCATGAAATCGAGTCCATCGAGAAGCAGCTACGCCGTATCAAGGATGTCAAACCCTTCCACTACTCGCACCAGGGCAGTTTGGCCTACATCGGTAGCGAGAAGGCCGTCGCTGACGTCGCGTGGCTGAACGGCAACGTTGCTAGCGGTGGCAAGCTCACTTATCTCTTTTGGAGGAGCGCTTACTTGAGCATGTGTTTTAGCAGTAAGTCAAGTCCCTTACTTAGATCTTCACCTTGTAAAGAAATTAATACTAACAACTTCTAGCGCGCAACCGTGCTCTCGTCGCTCTTGATTGGGTCAAGGCCAAGATCTACGGACGAGATGTCTCCCGAGAGTAGACGGATCTAGTCCATAATACCTAATCGCATTAAATTACTCTCCCGCCTCGTTTCTGAGGCCCCCCCTTTTTGGATCAGAAATGGCGAGATCCATTTCTACCCCTATATCCATATAGCACCACCCCACCCCGCTCACCGTGTATTATTTCGTCCCCTAGAGAGTTTTAGAGAGAGAAGTGAGAGGTGCCCAGTCGCGATATTACGAGGACGGACAGGACAGATCGGTTTTTTTTGTTATTTTGGTTGTTGTTTTCTCGAGGGGACATATGGTACACGGTACACGATACACGACGCTCGCGTATAGAGAGCGTTTTTTTCTACCCGTGAAAATTAAGCTCGTAGACTAGGATAGACTTGCGGTAGGCGATGGGCTGGCGCCTGAGACGTGCTTCCATTTGTATAAGTAAACAGACAAGTCATCATTAAGATAATACTTCATGGCCATTTATTGATGCTCATTGGTGATCTGGAGTATAGGTGATATTTGAATGGTAAGGTGTGAGTGTGCCATTAGGCTTATACTTTCTCGTATTGAGCTTACAATAGTATAGTATTGTGTCTTGATCTTTGCCTTAGAGTTCTATTGGTAATAGCGTATCAAAGTCAGACCTGTCTATAAGCTCAATCGGCTATATATTCTCTAATAGCTACGCTCGAAAGACTACCTAACCTATGTAGCACCCTATTGTCGTAACAGGTCCTCCCGGATTCTTTACCACATGCTTAGCTTTGCTGTCTCTAGTTGACCTCGGCTATGCATAATGCATTTGTGTATGACCATAAATGACTTTGCGTATGTAAAAAGAGAATTAGGTGAAGTCTTGATCTGAGAGCATTGCCGACCCCGACCAAGCAATTCATGTGGGTGCGGGAAGCCAAGGATGATAGACAACTTCGCTAGTGGTGGGTAGAAGTTCTTTTCGTTCTATTTTTACTGCGTTAACTCACCTCATGTGGATGGATGATTGGCCTACATAAGGCTAGGTAGGTAATTAACGTCCACATAGATATTAACGGCATCAATTTCCAGCTCTGCGGACTCGTGCGGACTTGTGCGGAACCCACGCCCGCTGTGATCTAGTTGCGCTCGGATTCTACAAACGAAGTACGCGCGAAATGGTATGGTCAATTTGTCTGCGGCTTGGCACTGGGTTCTCTGACCATAGCGTAGAGCTTTATAGCTGTGCCGTCGTCGTCGCATTCTAGCTCCTTCACAAACTTGAACCCGAGGCGGCCATAGATTTGCATGTTGGGAACGTCCCGGCTGGACTCGAGGTAGCAATTCATACCCGCAGCGTCGGCCTGGTCGGTTACAGCTTTCATCATGAGTCGGCCTATCCCTTTATTCTGGGCTTTGGGTAGCACAACCATGATGTTGAGAAAATAGTAGCCTCGTGAATCCGTCCAGACGGAGGACTGTGCTTTGGCTTGAGCCTCTTTCCATATGTAATAACGCTAGATAGTCGCTTTTAGGTTAGCAGTCTTTTGGAACTTGAGGCTGTGAAGGCTAAATAGTCGGTAGGCAGAGCAGAGACCCTGATCGCTCGACTGATACAAACGCTGAAACGGGCCATGGGGCGGAGCCTCTCTACGACAGCACCTCCTGCTCCGACCCGGGCAATCATCGTCACCCTGCTTTCACGTGTAATTTAGAGAACTCGCCAGATGCAGCCAAGTCGGCAGATCAAATGCTTGTCTTGAAGCGGAGATTTCCCCCGCGCCCGTAATCCATTGAAATCAGACTCTTACCTTAACATTGAGACCGCCTCGGCCGTAGTAGAGGTTCATCCCGACCTGGCTGAACCACAACCGCCAGTCTTCGATCCAGTCGGACCAGGTTGGTGGCTGGCCTGCCCTTTGTGGCCTCAACCAGCAAGCGACTCCAAGTACCTCATCGCTGCCCTCTTCCTTCGCGACGTGGAAGATGCCGTTGCGCATACCCCATCGGCACCGAATACTAAGAGAGGCTGCATTGCGTTGCCGGTTGAACTAACGGCCCGTGTTAGTATGAAGTGCGGAGACTAATCGCCATAGGAATTTGGCCTTGGTAATCCAGTGTATTTGCTTAATCAGTTGGGTGGTACGCAAACGGAATGTATCTTAAAGGTAAAATACCAATTAAGTATCAATGCTACTCAGCCATCCCCGCGCCCTTGAAACGAATCTTGGTGTACACAATGTTCGGTAACGAAAGGGCCATGCATACCGTAGATTTTTCAAAGACCCAATTGTTGTATGGATCGTCCGCAAAGGCTTTTCTTCGGTGATAGGGTAGTTAGCATGGATGATACTATTACACGGAGCTGAGGAGGTTCATCAGCCGCAGCGCCCTCTCTTCCGCTCATGTCACACGCGGTATACCGACCCGTTGTTCCGTTACTCCAGACTGTTACCCACCGACAGGCTCCTAGGATGAAAGGGAAGATACTTACTGGATGGCGGACACAGCGCCTGGGATGTCTGCCTCGGCGAGAGGAGAAACTCGGATTGGCATGATGATGGGGTATCCGATTCGGCGGAATCAGCCGACTTACACAAAACGTAACGCTGGATGGCTCGGTAAGGATTAATCAACAATTACGTAGGTAGCGTCTATACACAGCTAGCCCGGTATATTTTATAATTCCAATAAAAATAAAATAAAATAAAAGTAAAGTCAAATTTATTGTCTTGATTTTAATGCGTACATATATGTGAGTTCGGCTTAACTAGGGCGCGATAAAATGGCAGTGATAAACCAACATAAGTACCTCCTTTAGATAAGATTAGACCTATTCGGGAGTACCTCGGGATAGCAGTCAAGATTCGGGCAGTCGTGGTTTGTTTGATAAACCTTAACTTTTATTCTTATTAAACTTGGATAGTGCTATCATGTACAGAGTATCAACTTCCCAACTTTCTCAACTTACACACTCAAATACCCAAAACAAACCTTGTTATTGACAAGGTCGATTCGGATGCGGCCGACGTGTTAAGCTGGGATGAGCAATTACAAAAAGCTTGATAGAGTAACAACCAGATCTTCCTTCCTTCTTGGGAAAAGCTTGCGATGGCTTGGGTTGGGTTGGCGCCGAGGCTTCCATTCAGCTCTCATCTACATATTCTATTACGCGTCAAGTTACGTATATTACTCCCTCACGAATGAGAACTCCCAATGAGAACTATTGGTAGTCGTAATTCATTGGAGCATTTGTTATCTATCTCATTTTCAGCATAGAAGACTAGTAACTTAGAGTTACTGAGGACGAATGAGTAAATAGGTCATACTTAATAGTCCTATGAACTTGTTGTTATTCTTCCCAAGGCAAACAAATTTGTCTTTTTCATTCAACTATGTCGCAACTATCGCCAGATACTTCCAGCTATCGCAAGACTCTCGAACGACTGCATTATCACGGCCCCGAGCACAGTCCACCGTAGGACTGAAATTCGATATGCCAGACGCTGATCTGTATCAAGTTTGGCGCCGTCGTCTATTATCCCTGTCTGAAACCCAGCAGACCCCGCAATTATTCCTTGTTCGAGACGGGATGCCCCGGTCATCTTGTCACAATATCAACTTCAGGTCAAGGCGGTACCATCAACATCGACCTTACTCGTCGGCGTTCACCCCTAAGAGACGACGGCGAAAACATCAGTAGTTTCGCTGTGCTACTTTATACGAGCGGCATTGGTCCCCTTCAAGTGAAAGGGAGCCTCAAATCTCAACCGATTTTCGGACTTTCGGACTCTTGCGCCGACATCGACGCGCTTCTATTTGGCTATGGCCTCCGTAATTAATGTCAGCACAGTAAATTCAATATGCTACGAAGTTATCTAATATTTGTTCCTCTCTACAAGAAGTAAATGCGTCTAACGTATTAACTATCATATCTGAAAAGTTTCAATTGATATAGCTTATGTGAGTCGTCGTATAAGTAAAACCCCAGCAGCAAACCGTTAATCCCCTTTCGCGAAGACCCTATTGGCATCGCAAGCCTAAGCAAGAATACCACATGGGATAGCTATGCCGGTCAGGGATATGGCCGTCCGGGGCTCGTTGAAGGTTGAAGGGGTCCAGGGGCCCTCATTACATCCCTGAGACGCGTTGCACTAGTTGAGCCTTGGTCTCCGAATCTCAACTTGGAGACCTGAGATCTAATACGACTCTGAATTGCACTTTCTTCTCTACTATGTATTACTTCGTACCTCCGTTACTCTTGGCTTTTTCGATCTTTTTTCCCCTTCTTTCCTTCTCTTTTTCTTCCAAGGCGGGCCTTCTTGTATTCTATTAGTCAATCCTCAAACTTGGGTTCTTGGTATTCAGTTCATTCCGTCCTGTCGTTTTCGGTGTACCCAACCAGATACGTTTTTGGGTGACTTTAATAATATTCGTCTTTCTTTTATCTTGTTCGCATACTGGTTATGTTATGAATTCAGGAAAAGTGCTTGGATGCAGAGCATTTCGGCGTATAGTAATAGCTTCTGAACGATAACATGCCGCCATCTAACAGGAGACGACAATCCCAGGACGCTCAACCATGGAGGGGGTCACCAAAAATGGGTCAGCGGTCGACGTTATTCTCGCGTAGGAGTTTGGAACGTAGGAATACCGAAGACGATGCTACTAGCACTAGAAATTTGAGAGCACGACGGATTGTTATTCGAGGCGACCACGAGAGCGACAGTGATTCAGACGATGATCCTAAACATGGTCTGGGAGACTTGAGTGACGATGACAGCGATGACGACGAAGACGATAAGATCAGCGATTCTCCACAGAAAACAACTCAGTTACCTACACCAAGCTCTTCGGGGTCTATTGTTACTCTGACTGCGCTACCAAGTCGAACTACTACTCCGTTAACGATCATGACCACTACTCCCATATCTCAATTATCGTCTACTTCTATACCACTACATGTTCCGGTATGTTCATCTGTCAATTCAATCTTGTTAGAAACGAACTAATAACTTGCCGATAGGTTTTTTCAACTCCTCCTAGTCTAGGGAAAGCATTCCCTCCACAACAGGGTAAAGAGGAGCACGATGACTATGACGATCTGGAATCACCCATCACTTCCCAGTTTGTTCCCACAGTCACCACTGGGCAGTTGTTTACGGAACCAACGTCAGTACCCGTAGCCTCAGATACTGTGGGCGATAACGATGGGGGCAAGTATAAATGGCATAAAGACCCTCAACAGCAACAGCAGGGTGTTTTGAATCCTACAGCAGAGCACCTCCTCATTGCCGCAGGTGCAATAGGTCAGTAGTTTTTTTCTTTTCAGCGAAATCAGGTGACTAATACGTCCAAGGTGCTTTCATTTTATTCTGCTTTATCGGATGGATTATCTACAAGGTCATAAAGAGGACGAAGGGTCAGGGCATTGGTATTAGCGGCGGTATGGGATCTATCGACAAGTTCAATGAGAAACGGAGAGGATCGATAGATGACCGTACGTTATACATGGCTAACGAGGCGCCCCCTATTTACGAGCAGGGAGAGCATGGTACCATGCAATCAGGCAACTTCTATGGCCCCAGTAAAGCGTATTCACCAGGACCTGGGAGCATAGTACGTTCAGTCGCCTCAAATTCCGAGGCAGGAACCCTTCGGCAGTCACCAGAAAATAACCCACCGCTTGCGAGTATCATAAACCAATATATTCCAGGAAATGGAGGCGCCTCAAATAATGGCGATATCAACCTGACCATGAGGTCTCAAGTAACCCGGCCATATTACAACGAATCAGACCTTCCTCGACAACCACCAGAAACATTTAATGCGCCGAAACGGGCTGGAACCCGAGCTAGCGAAATATCGTCCATATCTTCTGGATTTGGGGACGGTGACATTATTATACCTCCGTCCTCAGGAGCGGACAATCCCGTACCTGGTCTGGACGAGGAGAACCCTGCCGCTCGAGACTCATGGATGAGTCGGCCAGGCGAAAGGAGGGAAACGGTATATACGGAAGCGAGCGAGGACCGTCCAGCTCGGTTTCGCTCTATAACCAGCTGGGTCAACCAGCAGGCAGGACGAGCGAAGAGAGCGGGTTCGAGGGCGCGGGAACGTGGAGAAGTGCCTGTTATGCCAGCAATCCCAGGCGCGATAAGTGCAACACAACAGACCGCTTACCGGTGATGGACGATACTACTTAATACCAAAAGAATCCAACACGATACTTTTACTCTTTTCTTCGTTGTCCCAATCCAGGAACCCCCAAGGAACAGGATCTATAGCGAGACCAAAACGAAAAGGAATTATAATCTAACTTTAAAAGGGGTACATGACCTTGCGTTCATTCGTGTTGGTCAATAATATACATAACGATCCACGCTTACAATATCGTTACCGAGTGGATGGTGAATTACAATATCACCTAGCGTCTTATACAATTAGGACCCATATCCTTCTTGGGTTTGAGGACAATGCTGTTTCAGCACTTATACCATGCATTTCCCATGTTAGCAGGAGTCGGGGAGTCACATGAGGAGGTATTACTATAGAAGAACGGATGATGATGAATACTTATTACATAGAATTAACTTATTCCAGTCTAAGTTAACTACTTACATACCGAGTTCTTTTTTGGAAGTTGAAAATGAACTAGAAGGTAGAACTAGTACGGTTGACCAGACAGGCCACTGTGCCAAAATGAAAAAAAGTCTGTGAGCTTAGCTTAAAAGGGTAGTTAGCCACAGGTTAGCGCAATTAGCTCGATTTATTGCGGTACTTCGCACTTTTATATGGGAAAAAAGGATTATTCTTTTTAAATACATACGTTATAACGTTATATATAATATGCTTTAAAAGGATATGTTTATTTTTAATCTTTTATTTAATCAAAAGATTTATCTACACATTTAAATAACTTTACAATTTTAGCAATTATAACATTACAATTGGTATCATTTTATAGCCTCAATTAAAGCGAAAATAAATATCCAGGTTGCATGCTTATACTATGTATTGTTGTTAAGATATCTAAAGTCTTTTGAAAACGGTCGTCTTAAAGGGTATCACGTGTACGTACAGGTCTCTGGAATGATAGGTGTCATATATCGTCAAGTACCTCCCCCACCATACAAATTTACTACTATACACTTGTACTTTTGGAATAGTCCCAACCTCTTACTCTTTTTAAGATGCGCGCCTTTCTATTGGCTAAATCTTACACCGCCCGTCTGGCAATATCCTTATCCTTATCCTTATCCTTATCCTTATCCTTATCCTTATCCTTATCCTTATCCTTACACCACATCTCTGTTACAGCTTCATGTTCAATTCAATTCAATTCAATTCAATTCAATTCAATTTAAATGACGATGCAATGGCTATCTATCCTTACATATTGCTTTTACTTGGTCGCATACATTGGTTAAAGACTATACGGTCGCATACAGTCATTCCGAGGCAAAAAGGCTGAAAAACGAGGTCTTTTTGAATGATCTCTGATATATGTATGTATGTGTATGTATGTATGAGGCTGGCTGGCCAATCAGGAGGCTGTACGGATTATTGTATAAGGCTATTTGATTAATACCCTTTGAGACGACCGTTTTCAAAAGACTTTAGATATCTTAACAACAATACATAGTATAAGCATGCAACCTGGATAATTATTTTCGCTTTAATTGAGGCTATAAAATGATACCAATTGTAATGTTATAATTGTTAAAATTGTAAAGTTATTTAAATGTGTAGATGTGGTAGTTGACAATTGGATTGACAATTAAATCTTTTAATTTAATTGGCCAATCCTTTATATTATATTGGTTAAATCAATATTCTTATTACAATAAACCGTAATAAGGCTTGGAAGTACACATTTAATATTTTTTAAATTGTGGCAAGTGACCTCCTACCAACTTTAGTTTAGTGTGCGATTATTTTTTTCATTTTGGCACAGTGGCTTGTCTGGTCAACCGTAACTAGGCTCTCCATAAATTTGGATACGTACATAGTTGAAAGATGCAAAAATCCCTCTTACATCAATAGGAGAATCGGAGTTGCCTAGATCAACCCCGGTTTTTGATGCTCGTCTTGGATGGCAAACTTGCAACATATGACTAAAGTTCAAGGTCTCGACGATCATGACAAACGTCAGAAATTTCAAGTGATCAGTTTTTATTCCTGCGAGTACGACGGACGATCTTATGTGGAGTGGCTTCCCATCGTTACTAATTGTGGACGAGCCGTGAAGACTCGTTACCGATAGATCAAAGGTGGGTATATACTATGCTCAGGAAAATAAGCTGTTGATATTGATTTTCATACGGAATAGTTACATGTTTTCATATGTGTACATGTAATCACCTACACAGATCAAATCACTCGTAATAAGCCTTTTGTGTAGGAAGATTTACCAGACGCGCGTTGTATTATGTCGAAGCTGAGCTGGCTGATATCGTTCATGTAGTGTGTTTAGTAATGAGAAAGGAGCGAATGGATTGGTTCTCGTTACCGGTGTCCGAGCTGAGTCGCACAGCCCTCTCGCCCTGTGGCTCGGCGTTCCTTCAACCGGTACTAATTAGCGGGGTGGTCCCCTGTAATATTCACAGCAAAGTTCCCTGTAGATGCCATAATTATAGCAGGGTCGAGTCCACTTTTAAGGGAATTCTTGAGTGACCCAAGCTGCAAACAACCTTGAGCACATGACGACAATGAGACACCGTACAATAAGGTGCATCTCACGCGCATATTATATTAGGTATCTAATTCATACATAATTTATTTCTGTTCATATCCTCATCTTCTTTCCGTCGCATTGCAGTCTTGATGTTTTAGTCTACATTCAACTATATACTTGGAAGTACGTACATGATTGTCATCTTGGCCCTTTTTGACCCTTGGCGCGCTTCCATTGTTCTCGGAAGGCATAACGACGATATCGAGGCTGAGTCTATTGTGCCGACCCGAGCCTAGCTTTTTGGCTTCGTCACCCACTACTGCCACTTCCTTCTTTTTCATACATTGCCCACTTAGGTCAGCTGCGACTTGTCTTGGAAGTCACTTATTTAGAATTCTAGCTTTCTACCTTCTCTTACTTGGAATCTTTTATATCTTGTCCATCTTGACTAAGCTTTGTACACTACATTACATCATATCACCTACAAATTATCACCTACAACCGACAGATGAGCCAGGACGTTGGAATACTTGGCGCAACTTTTGCAAAATGCTCGACGAGAACTTACCAACTTTCTTCTTCAGACCCTCTAATAATCCGCTATGTAGGATCTTATACTTCTCTCAAAATGGCTCCGAGCCGGCACCTGAATACTCACTCCAGAAAATAAACCCGGACCTTCCCCAGTCTAGGAATAAGTACGCTGTGGCCTTGGGAGACGCGAGCTTTCAGGATGTCATCTTGGCAGAGGTCCTGATCGAGCCCGAGTTTCAGCAGCCTACTCTGTCCGCTGCCGAAATCAGACAACAGAATGGTGTTCCACCCCCACCTGTACCTTTGATCCCTGACGGATTCGCCATACAACTCTACAACCCAGAGCAGCAGGTTATGGTAAAGGGTGAGAAGAGCACCTGGACCGGGAAGGAGTCGTGGGAGTTTGAAATGCCTCAGCAGAGCTTCCGCATGCCCTCGGTGTCCAAAGTTGATCGCCAGCAGAATGACCCGGTCGCAAGCAGTCTCACACCCAAAATAATGTTTAGGTGGAAGAGAGATAGTAAGTTCTCTAAGGACATGACATGCTACATGACAGGCACATCAGTCGGTGGCAAGAAGAGCAAAGACCCGGATATCACAATAGCGTTATACAAGAACGGGAGGGAACCCAGCGTCACCATTTACGAGCCGAATCTTCAGAGGGTGGACATAGAGGATCGCAAAGGCCTCGAAGTCGTATTGCTGCTCGGCGCTGAGGTCATTCGCGAGATATACTTATTCCCCAACCGGGACTCATTCAATATTGCAGGCTCAGCAAATAGGCGCAAGAACTCGCGGCCCAGTCCAACCTCATCCACATCACCACGTCTCATGACCGGCGCATTCGGCAACCTCCCTCCCGCAAAGACCACCTCCCCCGTCACCCAACAGCCCACACCTCCTGCAGAATCTAGCATCGACGTCGAGACCAAGCGTCTGCAGGCCTTAGTCCAGCAAGAACAGCGTGAGCGCGAGAAGCGGGACCGCGCGGAGCAGAAGCGCATCAAGAGGATGCTCGAGGAAGAGGAAAAAGAGCGTCAGCGCCGCGATGCTGAAGTTGCCAAGGAGACGGAGAGGCTGCGGAAGGAGTTCGGTATAGAAGGCCAAGACTTCGGCCCGAAACCAAATTTACCGCCCCGACAAACCGTCGCTGGGCCCAGCCGCACGCAGCTACAACCACCGGTCCCACCGCCGCGGCCCGTGAGCGCGGGACCCAAACCACATTCGCATGGAGGAGGGTTCGGCAGCTGGTTCCATGCTGTGGGACCTACGCCTGGTGCTCCTATGCCGCAGGCTTTGGGATATGGGTACGGGTACGGGTACGGGCAGCAGTTGCAGCCGAATTCGGGGCGGAGAAGAGGCGGAAGCGCGGATAGTGGGACTGGGAGCGGGAGTGGGAAGATGTTGAAGAAGAAGAGTACGTTGTTCTGAGGAGTGTGTAAATAAAACTGGATTTGGGACTTGGGACTTGGGACTTGGGACGGGTATTAGGTGGTATTATGTAAATTTAAATTTGAACAGGCTGGATCTGGGTCTGAGGAGGTTAGGACTGGGAAGGAAGGCGAGTGCGTAGGTATAAGGAATACGTGATTTGAATGATACCCATGATAAGTTTAGGTTATTTTATGTCTTCTGTTTTCTTGTGACATTGCTGTGGTTAGGTTGAATGGTACCGTGGATTATGAATTGGTAGATACTTGAAAACATTATCTTTAAGGGGTGTGCTAATTATGAGTCTACGCAGTAATTACCAAGAATTCTTTCGAGAAACACTTTGAGGCTCTACCTAGATGGTAAATCCACCAGTATCTTACTTCCTCCTGGGCACCTAGGTAAGTAGGTTCAAGTCCCGGCTTCGACGGGTGCCTTTACTATCACTGATTCTACGATTACACTTCTGGTTTGCTCTGGACATTTGCTACAGCTCATCTAAATGGCCTGAATTTTCGATTAAATAGATGGGCATAAGATCTCTAATGCCCTATGAAATAAGGTGGCTTCTTGTACTATCGAAAAATGGTCTAGTTCGGCCCTTAATGAAGCTATTTACTGTTATATATTCGACTAGTACTTTAACTGTCGACTGTATCGAACATATTGTAGGATTAGGGGGTACGTGCTACTGGTCGTTGATTGCCATGTATCAGAGAAAAAGAATATTCGAGTCTTGCAAGTATCAGTACTCTAGATCTTACTCCTCGCCTTAGTTGCAACAGACTACGGTTTGCAGCTTTTAACGGATGGGTTTGAGGATTTTTATATGATATTTTTCATGTTCTCACTTATCGACGGGAGTTTCTCAGTAATAAAGTGCATGGTGAATTTGTCCCAAGATCATTCTAGCTTAGAGATAGTCTGATTTATTATCTGTGGTCTTGTGACCGATGAGTACTCGCAGCGGTTCTGTACATTAGGTACCTATCCCCCACGCCGTCGCCTCATATCGTGAGCCCCTCACCGCACTAAATTACCTACTACAACCAGCTACTCGTGACGATAAAAAGTCTTGCGGTAAATCAACTCCCTCCTGCCTGCAAAAAAAGAGACGGGGTGGCCAATGCAACAAGTTCTTACCTCAGGTACTCATTCCCTCTTCTCGTCCCAGCCACCACTTATTTTACAACTAAAACCTACAACAACTCACAACTCACGACAACTCTACTCAATATTGAACATCGCACACTACATTAACATTCAAAAAATCCAACTCTTATTCTATCTTTTACAACCATCATCCGCCACAATGTCACGCCCTCAAGGAAAAGGTATCTCCTGTACGCTGTCCAAATGTGACATCACCATAGCTGGGCCTCTCGGTGACGATTGGACCTACGAGAATGTTGCGCGCTGGACGACGTACAACGGCGGAATCTTCTGTAACATCGTCGACAAGGATGTGACGCATGTCCTCGCTACGCCCGAGCAGTACAAAGCGAGGATCCCTACTATCAAGCTGGCTATTAAGTACAAGGCACATATCGTGACCAAGGACTGGTTTGAGGATTCGCTTTATAAGAAGCGACGCTGTAAGTTTTTAAATCGTTTGCTATCTCAATGGATCATTATTTTGGCCTACGGGAGTTACTTGTTGCTATGAAGTCTCTTGCGGAATAGGAACTCACGACTTGAATGGTGTTTGATACTCATCTATGAGCAACGATGGTGTATGCTGACACTATGCTTTTTTTTTAATAGTGAACGAGGAAGAATACTCACTCAAGCGTATCGACCAAAAAGCCAAAGCCAAGAAGGAACTTGAGGTGAAGGCGCAGAAAGGGATTGAACAGGCCGAATCCTTCATTAACACAAGTGAGTTCCCACTCCAGAACCCTCATCTCCCCTCCCCTCCCCCCTATATCCACAGTATCTGGAATATAATAGCTAACACCCACTCAAGACCTCTATCACATCTATCGAGATGGCACCTACTTCCCCTACGAGATCACCTTAACTCGTAACGACAAGGAGAATGGAAATGTTGGTCAAAAGTACCAACTTTATGTAAGTCCCTACCTTCTAGACATTATCCTCCCACCCCTCTCACTCTCAACCACTCGCCACTAACTCCCTTCTCAGCTCTGGGAATCCAACTCCAAGCCGCACCTCTACCAATTCGCAGCCAAATTCTACAAAAAGCCTCGCGACAGCCGCCCTTCTATCCATCGTCCGCGGGAGACTCCCGTACTCCTAGAGACAGCATTGAAAGACTTCACGGTGTTTTTCCACCAAAAGACCGGTATCCACTGGAACGACCGCATCGCCAAAGCGGGAACCACGGACAAGAGCAAGTTCCAGTACCAGCCTCCCGTAAGTCATACATTTACCCCAAGACTCTCTAATTACTAGTGACTGACAAGATGTATTTTAAAAAAAATTAGATCGGCGGAAAGCCAGTAGGCACCCTCGACGACCCGGCTCCCGAGAGCTGGTCCATATTCGGCAGCGGCACTGACTCCCCGTCGGCCACGGATTCGACGTCGAGCACCAAGAAGGACCAGAAGCAGGAACTAGATAAAGCCGCCAGCCGCAAGCGCAAGAGCCCCGCGGAGCCTGTCCAGCGCACCGGCGGCGAGAAGCGACAGCGCAGGGAGAAGGAGAAGGTGAAGGAGGACGACAAGAAGAAGGAGGAGGAAAGGGAGAAGGCCAAAGAGAGGAAGGAAGAGGAGCCGAACTGTGAAAACTCGGTTTCCGCTCGCACGCGCGGCAAGACCGCGGTTAACAACAACAAGAGAGCTCGTGCCTGCGAGGACGACGATCTTGCCGTCAAGCATCACGAGACGACCAAGCGCCAAAAGGTTGAAGCAGCCAATGCCGATATAGACGAGCCGAGCCAAGGAGAACAGCCTGAGATCAGCAATCTCTCGGCGCTAGTCCGCACCATGAGAAAGAGTCGTAAGCGAGAGGTGTAAGTGCCGCAGGGGCCCGACGATAGCGAGAAGAAGGAGTAGGAGGCGGACAATGTCGTTATGACACAAGATATCGTCGACGATATACCCGACATGTCAGAGGAGGAGTAGCGAGCGAGTGAGCGAGTACGTGGACTGCTAGATAGATGTACGAATGTAAGAGGAAGCGATGGATTTCGAATACTCACTGACTGACCCCCTTTAGCGGTCATTTACCATACCATAGATACCCCTGCTCGAGCAAAATACTGCTACATATTTGCAAGCGTTGATTTTTAGATAGCCGTCTCGCCCTCGGGGGTAAAAGAACAATGGCAATGAACTCTTACAGTTAAAAGTCGAGTACCTGTCTAAGCTAACATAACCGCATCAACATACCATACCATACCATACCATACCATATCGCAACACAGCGTAAACGCAAACGCCTTACTTGCCAAGTAGACCAGCTCGCCCAGCTACCTACCTATGTAAATGCATCATCGCCAAAACATCGTAATATCATAAACTTGTCCTATCAAGTCAACGCTACCAGGGTACCCTTTCCTTACTCCCCTTTTCCCTTCACCCCCCTTTTTTCTTTTCCTTTCCTTTCTTTCTTTCTCTCTCTCAACCACCTTCTCCCCCCCCTAAAACCGCAACTTAGGAAACACAAAAACAAGCACCACCGCAAAAATAGCCAAGCCCGCTATCCAGAGATACAGCAGCATGCGTCCCCACCAGCCCTTCCCCTCCGTCAACCGTCTCAGCGCGCCCATGCGTCCCGCGACCGCGCCCAGCCCGCGCTCGTTGCGCTCGAGATTGGTCCCGGCCGCGCGCACCACGTCTTGGTCCTCGCGCAGCGACGACGCGAACCGGTGCGACGACTCCTTGAGCGCGCGCGCCATGCCCACCATCGACTCGGTGAGCTTGTCTTGCTCGGCGCGGTGGAGGTCCATGATTGCTTCCGTAGTGGAGGTTGTGCTGGTGCTTGGGTCGGGGCGGGTGCCGAAGAGTTGGGTGCGCAGCGCGCTGGTCTCGGCCGTGTCTGGCGGGAGGGGCTGTTGCGAAGCGGCGCCGCGGGGGCGTAGGGTCTGCGATGTGCTGGTTCCTGACCCTGACGGTGTTGGTTCTGGTGCTGATGAGGCTGTTGTTGTCGCCTGATGTGATTGCGTTGCACTGGATGACTGCTGACGATGGTCTGGAATTTGCGACTCTGGAGTAAGAGATGGCGACTCTTCCGTCTCTATCTCCGCCTCCTCATTTTGCTGCTCCTCTATATCTTCGATATCGTCATCATCATCTCCCTGCTGGCCCGCCGCTGAAGTCGACTCAATACTCTCACTTGGGGTATTAATGATATCGCCTAGCAAATCCTCGCCTTCGGAACTGTCATCGTCACTATCCACGCTGATCTCCTCGAGCTCGCGGAACCTCTCGGTGATTTGCTCGAGGACCTCCCGCTTGCCATTTAGATCGTTCTGCACCTCCTGCCGTCGCGTGTGTATTTTGATCGTAAGCGCGTCATGCTCTAGCTTTGTCAGGAGCGATCGGGCGTAGTCGATGTTCTAGAAGCAGTGGTATGCCAAGTTAGCTCCTCTAATCTCTATTAAACCAGAGGTAAGCAATCCAGATCAAGTACATACGACCCTAGCTTTAGCGCGCTCATACTCGCTTATTCTCAGTCGTCGCTCTCTCTCAGCATCGGCATGGAGAATGTTCTCTTGTAAGCGGTCGAGGAGACGGTTAAGGTCTGGCAGGGAGTCTGGGTTGGATATGGTTCGCTTCTGGGTGATGGGCGCCTGGGCTAGTCGCGCCATATTGGAAAGTTGATAGTGATCTTTGGGGTTTGGGGTTGTAAGTGTGCTGGATTCAATTCAAGAAGGAGAAAAACTGAAGAGTATTAAGCTTAGAAACTTTGTTTTGTTAAAGTTTAGACATTGCCGAGTTGGTGACACGGAGCACGCGTCTTTGTACATATGATGTATGACTGGTTCCGTTGGTGGGGCATCCGGTCCGCAACTAGTGTAATAGAACTTCTTACCCCATAGCCATAAGCAAGGAGTGCCTTCCCTCTCTTCTTGTCCCATTGTAAACAAATCAAAATGTTTTGAGGTGACACGATATACATGTATGTAGGTACCTACCTCCTATTATACAGGTACTAGTCTTATATTACGCTAATACCTGGGTTACCTTAGGTACTTAACCTAGTATTTACCAAATTATCATCAATTTTTAGAGGAACATATCACATGTAACTTAGGACAAGTCGCAGAGAAATAGATGCTTATGGTAAGAATATACTGGCATATGGTTTTATCTTGGACAGTTATAAACAAGATTAAACTCACAAATGCAATCACATAGAGAAATATAAAATCATGGAGTTCCCAAAATTTCAACGCCTATATTAGCAATGCAATTTCTAGCTTGCATCGGATAGGGGGTATAATGATAATTATCGCTAGCCCCTTAAACTAACCTTCCCATGATTCTACCTCCACCCAAAATTAACCCACCCCTAGATCATAAAAACTTCTATTCTACGACCCTCCTGAGCAAATGTGCACCGCTAACGTCTCGCGCTGTTAGATGCGTTTTCTAAGAAGTTCAAGAGGAAATTCCTATCTGCGGGGGATAAAGGAGCTTGACTCTCATGCCTCGACGCGTTCCCCCGCAATCCTGGTCTCCCTTCGCCTCCACTAGAAGCAACTGAGCCCAACCGGGATCGTGGCGCCGCGCTGGTACTGAACTGGTCGAGCGTTGCCGGCTCCTTCCCTTTGCTCTGTTCGAAATTTGACGGCGACTTTCCGAAAAGAGATAAAAGTGCACTCTTTTGCTCGGCAGTTGAGTCTTGCCGGAACTGCACGCTACCAGGAACCGGTAGTGCTGACGCAGAAGGCGGACCTTGGAGCAGCGACAGCGGGTTGTGTTGACTCCCGTGTGAGGTACCGTATGGATAAGAGTGTGTCGAGTCTGCGTAGGTCCTCGGTGACGACCGGCCGAATTGTTCTGCCTTCTGTGGTACCAGCTGATATGGCTTCGGGGACGGATTCGTAAAAGGCGATCCCTTACTGAACGACCTATGGCTAAGCTGTGATGCCGTGGCTGGGTACTGACCTGTTTCTGACCCGGCAGCTGAAGCTACTCTGTTCTGACTTGGTGACTGTTGTCCAGGTTGAGGGCGAGATAGTATAGTAAGTGCCCGGAATGGAAGGTTTGCTTCAGGATTCATTTGTACAGGACGACCATTTTCGTGGGCTGCAGATCGCAGGGAACCGGCATTAGAATGAGGCTGACTGGACCATTGTTGTTTCTCGCCTTCGCTCAATCGGGAAGAACGTCGCGTTACTATTTCCCTATCGGCCTCATGTTGCGATGCCGACGACTCGGTCTTCTTGAACATATTGAGTAAATCTGAGCGATGTTTATCGGTCGGGAGTCTAGGCCGCGCCTCAGGCCCCGATGGCGCTGCATGGCCATTGTTAATCGACGTTTTGTTCAAATCGGAAAGCATGGCTGTAGCTTCGTATTGGCTAGCAAACGCATTACCCGGTGCAGAAAACTGATGTTGGGGGTTCTGCATCGTTTGCATGTTCGCGACCTGTCCTGATAATTCCGGTACGAAGCCTTGGTTCATATCTGGCTGTTTTACGCCACCCTTAAGGACATTCAACAAGTTGGCCGGATGCGCAGGTAGTTCAGTAGGCAGTGTCCTTTCAGGATACCCGCCTTGCGCGCCATGATTGTGAACCTGAGGACCGTATGCGCCGTATTGATGTCCTTGTGGTAATCGGGAAAGTCCTGGCTGGGCAGTCGTATTGTCCGTGACCTGTGGGGAGGAGGCCATCCCACGCAGGAGCATAGCCTTTTGTACCTGCGGGGGTAATGGTTGGGGATGTACAAGTTGTACCGGTTGATTCCGGGATTGACGCGGTTGTTCTGAAGATGCTGGAGGACCAGGAAGCTCGGTAGTGACGTTAACGAATGGGCGAGCCCGGTGTTGTTGTGTGTAGCTTAGATTTGGATTTGCTTCACCTGTCAACCGTGCTGCTCCATAACTTGAGTTTGGATTTACATCAGCCGTTAACCGTTTCTCTCCGTACATTGCATTTGGATTTGCATCAACGAGCCGTGCTGCTCCGTAACTGGAGGCAGGTCCATGCTGCTCGGGATAATGGTGATGCGGAGCCATGGGTTTGGGGGCATTGATTGACGCGGGATCAAACGAGATGCGAGTCTTCCCCCCTTGTGCTTGTCTAGATGCCTCCTCGTCACTTGATACCTTTGGCCGCAAAAGAGATAGGAGGGCTTGCCCTGCCTGCTGGTCCGAGGATGGCGATAGTATCTGAAGGCCCTGCGTAGGTGGCTTCACCTTCAACAACCTATGCAGCTCCTTCGTTGCGCTATCAATAAATTCTGAGTTTGTACCTGCGGATGGTACCTGGACTGGTTCGTGGACGACATTATCATCCGTCAAATTTTCCTCGTAGAACTGGGGGTGGTGGTGAGCGCTAGGGTGTCCGAGTTTCTGGGCGTCCAGCTTCTTTTGTTTCATCACCCATTGTCGTAATTGAACCATGAATGGAGCGACCATATAAAACTTATCGTTAGAAGGACCTCCGACCCCGTTCTTCCCGGCACCTTTCCTCTTACGAAATGCTGGTAATTCTTCGACCTTGTACCACTTGATGCCCCCAATTTCCTTCCTGGTTCTTGTTTCAAAGACAGTATCTTCCGGTACGCCGCGAAACACATAGAGCCGGACCTGTTGGTCATGCATAGTAACCTCAAGGGGGTGGACTGGTTCATTCTTGTCAACAAGACCAGCTTCCCGGAGATCGTACCCTGTCTCTTCGTAAACCTCACGGATAGCGCAATCAAGGTCGTCTTCGTTTTTATTTATCTTCCCTCGTGGAAAACTCCAGCTCGCTCCTTTCTTGTAACCCCGAACAAGGACGGCCGCATCCATATCGTCGTTGAGCATAACTGCTCCTCGGACTGGTACTCTTGTCTTATATTGCATGAATTCTTCGAAAGCTTTGATATGACTTTCCGCAGAGAATGATGCGAGTAGAGGACAATGCTGGAACATCTTAAGACTAAAACTCCGCAACGACATGGACGGTAAGGCAGGATCCAAAGGTCGGATGAAATCTTCGTAGAACCATTGTGCTTCTTCAATTTGGAAGCAGATGCGTGCTACTGAGGACAGGTCTTCTCGGGGGAGGTTTATGATGAATCGAACGCAGAGGTCGTCCAGCCCTAAGGAATAATGTTAGCTAATATCTCATCAATATATGACGCGCTTAACGCCGCGCCGGAATCAACCGCCAGATCAAGATCAGACAGATACCATCTCTAGGAAGCGATAGTACGTACAATCTTCTAATGTCATTTTGTATTGCGCCATACTGGACTCTACTTCCTTGCATGACCACAGGTTGGGCAGAATGTTGTGTTGAGCTGGAAAGCCGGCCAATTATAGGACGGCGCGACAAGCAGGCGACAAGTGAGGGGTGGCGTGGGTGGTAGCTCTCGAAGCTTAAGAGGCACAACTGCGCTGGGAAATACTAGCTGTCAATTAAATGATATTGATGAGTTATGATTTAATACGGGATCTGATTGATTGTAGGTGAGTAAGGTTATGGCGTTGGACGAAACGAATAATGAGAAATGAATGAAAGCTGTTTGGGAGTTGTTAAGTTGACAGTTAGGTAGGATCTGTCTGCCGATGTGGGGATCGAAGGACGATATGTAATAAGGTTGTTGTGGCTGATAAGCTCACAGTTGTAGAACGTGGCCAGTGCTGATTGCATCTGGAACTTGCCAAGCCCCCAATATGTACTGTACAAGCACATATGTACATGCATATATGTACGTACCGAGATACTCAAGAGGTACCCACCTGGGCAGCTGTGCAGTGAGAATTTTCAGTTGGACAGTAAAACTTTTAACAGATCAGAGCCTCAATATCTGAATGTATAAGTTGTGGCTACCGATGGGCAAATTTGCCACCTATACGTGTTTTAAAAAACATACGCATTTGCCCTTCAAAGAGCCAAGAGGTAATTGAATCGTTTAGTACCTTAGTTACCTAACATATATTGTTAAACTGCCAGGTTACATAAATATTTACCTCATAAAAATAGCTATCCGGTTTAAATACCTAGGACGTAGCGACTTTGTTTAAATCGATAGTAGAAGGGGCAATCCGATGCCTTTTATAATAGGCTAATAGGGAGTTGCTACCTATGTTTTTTACTAGCAAGATATACAATGCTCATTCTGATTATTCCAGCCAGCATACCATTAACTCCACATACTGGAATAGATTTTTCTGAAATCAGATCGGTACCAAGAAAAATCGATAATGTTATGTTTAACCGGGCGCCAAACTCCAGATTTGAAGTATACTTTAATATTAGATCGATATCAATAAGCATGGAGCAACTTATCTATCCCATAGAACCTTTACGTACCTCACAAGAGTCATTATTGCGTGGCAAAAATCTCATTGTTTGGAAGTACATAACTACCTAAGGTTAGAGATGTGCTTGGTTGTGCTTACTATACTAATGACTTAGATGGGCAGGTACAGTTATGGATCGAAGGTATGCTTCCACATATATCTTTCCCATAATCTAAAAATAACTACCGAAATTTAGCGTCCGGGATTGTTACACGGGCTCCACAGAGGTGCCGTAGCCTCGGGACCAGGTGGGTAAGAAGACAGGGGCTTTAATTTTGGACAAGGATTATGACCGCCAATAATCATTCTAAAAACTGCATTGGAATAACAGGTAATGAACTGTTAAACGGATTGCAATTAACACTTTCAAGGACTAGTATAGCCTTACTACATAACTAGTGCAAGTCTGACTAGAACATATGAATTAGCTACCTAGAGGTAGGTATAAAGAAGGCACATCAAACACTAAACACGTTTGGGATGCCACAAGTAATCGGTGTACTCAAGCCAACCCCTCACAGAGCTCTGTCATTAAAACAACTGGACTGCAAATGGTCAACCCTGAAATCAGATGGTTTTCTTGCAACTAACAGCTCATTCGTGGCTCATGCAAGTTTGTGAACTGAATACAATACAATCAAAAACAACCAGCCTCACTAACCCTAAAACTCTTGCGTAACCTAAACTGTACAATAGAATTGTGGCCCTTCGAAAACATAAAGGATATTGATCTCATCGTCACTAATCATCACGGTTGTCGGTATCATAACCGTTGTCATTATAGATGGCATTGTTTTTATCGTCTCTACGAAGAGAGGCAAAGCGATTCTGACCGCGGGCAGCGGGCTTCTTGCTGGAAGCAGCCTTCTGCTTTGGAGAACGTGACTCTTGTGGGCCGTCAAATGGCTCGGAGCACTCGTCGTGGTCCCATTGGATCACCCACTTCTTGTACTTTCTAGATGAATTTTGTTAGGCAAGGCTATGTTATCTGAAAGGCTCAGGGGAGCTTACCGTCTACTATGCATGCACATCTTGGTGGTCATTGCGTCGAAGATCGAGTTGGTCTTGATACGGCAATGGCCATCTGAAAATATGATCTTGATGATGACAAGTTTCTCGATATGCTCCGTATCCTCTCGAATCTCGCGTTCGGTGAGCTTTCCCTCGCAGTCTCGGATGATTAGATTTCTGCTTGCACCCTTACGAATCTGAGCAGCAAGATCGCTGTTGATGTGCAATGGGCGATCAGCCCATGCGACGTGAATCTATAGTATCGTTAGACAACCCAAGAAAGAAGGTAACCAACATAACTAACCTTTTTCTGCTGAATGTAGAGGCCATTTTTCTGTACATGGTCATAGAATGACATGGCTCCTTCTTCCTGCACAAAAGACAGAAAAGCGACTTCAGCGCCAGATGTCCATCGCAAACCCGACAAAGAGCCGCCGCGAACGACACTGGTAATATCCCAATAGGTCATACTGCTCGACAAACCCTTCAAACAAAAGGTAGTCTTGCTCCCGGGGGGAAGTTGTGGTCCATCTGCATCATGGCGCCACGGCTCTTTGAATCGTGGCTGTATACCTGACGGCAAGAATTTCGACTTTGCTGGATTGTCTGATGCTTGCTTGTCTGGGGCTTGCTTGTCCGAAGAAAGCACACGGCCATCCCTAAGCTTCCCAGAGGTGGTAGATGCATCCTTCTGCCCTAGGTGAGGGACTTTGCTCTTGGCCTTGCTAGCCTGCACACCTGGAAGATCGTCCTGACTCAAAGCCTATCAACGGTTAGCCTGTGCCAAAGTAGTTCTATATAGAGCAACCACTGCATATTCCTCAAGTTACGGTACTATTGTACAGCTAGAGAGGATTCAAGTAGGTAGCAATACTTACCGTAATGCGTTCGTCAGTCATACCTCCTTGCACAAGGTGACGCGTCAAGTTTGCTAGTAAGAGGTCAGAATAAGTCTAAAGTACCGTAGACAAGTCAGAAGGGGGAGGGTATACCGTATTGACGTTGAGAAAGCACAAGTTCCTCATACTCGTGCATAGGAAGGCACATCAGCGGACCTATCTCGCCAGCGGCGAGGGTATCCTTGAGTTGATAGTCATTACTCTATGAATTAGGTCAGAAAGCTGGTGATCTGATCAGGTTGTAAGCAGGTACTACTTACGGTGTGGGCTCTATTAAATAATAACATGTTAGCTTCTAAATCGAGGATAAAGCTAATAGCTACCTAGGTAGGGGATTCTCCTGTCGAGAATTCTATAATCACATAACAAATAGGACAAGGTTCTATGTTAACATACCGTTTCACAAGAGTCTCAAAGTTAGCTTTATCGAGCACAACAGTATTTCGCGGCGTTGCCATGGTATTGACACTTCAGACGAGACGGAAAAGAAACGAAAAAGGAGAAGGTGAGCTGAGAACCAAATGTTTCGATAAAGGTATGAGGGAAAGAGGTGTTAATTAAATCGGCGATGGTGGCGCGTCAATAAATAAATAAATAGGTGGTGAGGAATTAGGCAACTCTTGGGAATCAAATCGACGTGCTGTAGGTTATGCTGACCGCCAATTTCTACCCGACGGCAACTAACATGATAGCGATTACAAACCCACCAATCTAGGCATTTACAAATGCAAACAGGTAAGCACGGGGATTTAACCAACGTTTGATATAACACAGTAGTTACCTCCATTTGATAACAATTGTTCAACATATCTGGCTGGTTGTCTGTTCAAGTTAATCAACTATGAGAAGACTGCCACAAAGACGTTAAGGAGCCAGAGGAATAAATAACGGAACAGGTCATCAATGAATATTCGTGAAGTACAGAGATGCGTCATACCCAAACAAAGCGTAAAGAGAAGAGCTCAGTAATTACTAACTGTTGGTGACTCCATTTCGATAATGGCCATAATTCATGGAGCTTGCTTCTCGATAAAATACCTTTTGAAACTAGGACACACAGATCATAGTATTTCACCTTCACGTGGAGTAATACCGATAGCTGCTCCAAAGGCCACGACATCTGCAATGATTTAGCTAGAAATAAACAATTATAGGGTATAGTGAAACATAAATTAGCCTAGGAAATGTATGTGGCATATATATATATTAGATCCCGTGGGCCTCGAAGGAGTCATTCCTGCAGTGTAGCAAACCATCATCTGACTTGATAGCTTGCTTCAAATATGATATGGACGTTTCAGTTTACACGTGGAAGGCGTCTCTGTATACCTATCCAGCAAACCGGCATTTGCTGAAGCCGTATTCTATCCCTCAGTACTGACACCTCATAAATAACAAATCTGTAGAATTGCTGACTAGAATTACTTGAATAGGATGATTACTCTGTCAGCTGTATTTCGTAGTACCATAAGTACCTAATATATATATATATTAAATAACATCCGGCGTGTCCGTGAGTTCTATGTTGAAGACGAGGTATATATGAATGCTCGTGACACTAAGACTCCCTTAGAAGTTGGCATCTTGACTAGCAGAATTCTTGAATCTAGAATAGGGGTATCTATACTAAGTGGTCGTTATAATAATATTCTGACTACAGGCATTTATAAACCACCCATAGCGTTGCTTACTATAATAGCTTACTTACGTACTCTTACGGTTTCCAGCTGACGGCGTATTGGCTTGCCATATTCACAGCCAGTCGAAGTCTAAGCTGACTGATTATGGGTGTTAGGATCGAAGAAAGAAACCCGGTATTACTTTTAGGTAAAAAGAAGAAGAAAAGTTGACGGGGTTTAGAGCATTTCCGACTCGCATAGCGGTGCGTCTTCCATATATGTATGTTTCGGCGAAGCCGCTGAATCAAAGTTTGATGTCCACGTACTCGTTAATATCTCCATTAAGGGCAGGCTAAGTTAATCTATCCTAGGGCCGTATTTAACCCTTTAATAGATCTCTATGAACTAAAAGCCATGTAGTAGATAAAAAGGTTGATATGTGGTAAAATTCTCGGATGTGAACTAAGCTGAGGTGTAGTCGATGACAGAGAGCCTCGGGTACCTATTTGACTAAGACTGAAAACCGTCCTATTTTTAGGTTTAACAAGCATCTACACAGTACCTATGTACGCGATGTTGGTGTGGATCCACCAAGACAGAGACATATCACCCGATCTTACATATGTAGAGGGGGCACACCTCGGGATGGTGACATATAACAAATATTTAAAGGTGGCTATCAAACCTTGAACTGGTAATTGCTAATTGTAAGGTAGACTCGACATCATGTTTAACAAGTTGTCGGTATGTAATATGTAATATGTAATATGTAGAAGAGAAAAATGATGGCATCGATAGCCAGGGTATATACTTCGTACAGTACTTGATTTGGCTATTGTAATGGAAATCCTTTATGTAGAAGCAGGTTCTGGATGCAGTTCAGGTCCCCCGGGTACTTCTCCTACGCCACTAATACACTATGGATCTCATTGGGCAAGCCAGTCATCGCCCACTGCAGGCCCATGTAGTGTAACCCGATTACCGCACCCACCAATGCCGCCATACCTTTCCTGGCAGAGAGCCCCATGTTATGCTGCGTACCGCTGCTGCCAACACTTCGTGTTCATCGCTCAACCCTGGGCCAATCGAATCGAATCTTCTACACCATTACAGGTAGGCTTAGCGGGAAAATGCAAAGTACGGTACCCGTTAGTGAGCCCATCATCTCGTCTTTTCGTATCCTCTTATCCTTCTTTCATCCCATTCTTTCCCATCCTCTCGCTCTCGATGAACTGACAACCTTTCTCATCGTTCAATCCGTCGTTCGCTTTAATACTGCTACCTAGCTACTAACAACATTCGCTTAGTCTGATAATAATTGCCCCCGCCTAAATACGTTATTGAGGGAATCCGAGTTTGCTGCATTTTGGTTTTTTGTCCTGTTTTCCTCGGCATCCACACCTCGTATCAACAACAACGGGAGGAAAATAGGGGGATCTAGTTAACGAAGCGGGAGCGGGCCAACGAGCAACAACTTTTACGCCCACGATAAATTCTAAAGAAACGAAATAATTACTATTGTTGGATTTCGAGTGTTTATTTATTTGCGGCGTTCTGTTCCCTGCAGCTTCGTCGGAATCAATCGACTATTTAAACGTCTATCGGCATTCCATCATTTGAAACAAGATGAAAGGAGCACAAAGCCTGGGTCAATTTTTGACCATTGCCCTCGCTTTAACCCCTCTAACATCGGCGTGGCCTGAATGGCTTCCGGATGTAGATTCGCTCGTAGTTCGGGCAGACGACGGCACATCGTGTATGTGTTATATTCCGTGGTAAATGGTGATGAGGTTGGAATTGAATTTTACTAACAGCATTGAAGCAGCCGAACCCACACCAACTGCCACTAAAGCTGACGATAAAGATAATTCATCGGACGATTCAAAAACCATAACAAGCGATGTTAAGACGACTACTGCTGCCGACTCCGACGAGCCTCAGACTACAAACCTTAATACGGCCGTAGTAACCACAAAAACTGGAGGTCATGGCAATAGTACTGCTTCCCCCACACACCAAACGTTCGACCCGCAGGATGGAGCTGGTGGTGTCGCTATGATTACGCCGGCCACTACTGCGGGAACAACGCTTTACAGAATCGGAGACCCGACACCAATCACTTGGGTTTGGAACTACACCTCCCTGCAAGGCACACCCACCGCTATTGATGTTCTAGTGTCATGCTCCACGGCCTCCGCCACATGGACCCTGACTCAGAACATGACCTTCGAGCCGACCGCAACCTTCACCTGGGACACCGAGAAATACTCAGAGAGCGCTGTCGCTAGCCCCCTGCTAGTCGCGCAGTACACTCTGCTAATCTACGACTCGGACTCGTCTGCCGATGCGACCGCTGAAGCCGGGTACCTGGCACCATTCGACGGCTTCCAGTTCGGTTTGTACACGTCCCGACCGTACCAGGACCTCGGAGAGTGGAAGTGCGCAACCTGCAGCGGCGCATTAGGAGATCTCGACCGCCAGGCCCTAGGTTTCGCGATAACTATGAGCATCATCACCGTATTTAGTTTCACGTGGTACGTGACAGGATTCGCCGCGATGCTATAGTCATTCCTACTACAACCTATGCGTAGGCGTAGTAGCACATGGGGAGATAGTATATCTCTGACTGCACATATTTCGGAAATAAGGGACAGCATCTTAATGGAGAAGTTCTCGATACGGTAGTTAATCTATCTATCTATCTGGGTTTAAGGATACATCATCATCATCATCATGTAGTGGCGTTTTTGTTGAAATGAATTGCAAGGGCCGAAAGGGGGGGGAACTTCCGGCGTGGATTCGGAAATGGCGAAGATCTATCATTTACATAGAAATCTACGGCATCGGAAGGGTTATTTATATATCGCTATATAGCTCTTAATGATTACACACCTAGTCAGGTTGCTTAATACTTTCTCGTCTCTCAATGACTTCGTAATGTCTACCTAATAAGGTAGTATAGATCTCATTCTCATATATATATATATATTACTTAGTACCTTCGTAATTCATACCATCCGAAGCGAGAACCCACCTCCTCGCTCTTCCTTCTCCCGCGCCGCGAATAGCCCGCTGAAATCCAGCGACCCCAGATCCGCGGCCTTCTGTCCCCTACCCGGCGCATTAGGCGTCGATCTCCTGCGCCTGCGCTCCTGGCCTGCCTTGCTAGGGAACGTCGGGAACATAGCCTCGTGCTTGGGTTTCGGGTCCTGCCTAAAGAACTCGTGGTCTAGCATCTCCTTTGCCGTGGGTCTTCGATCCGGATTCAGCGATAGTAGACTGCTTAACAGCGCACTACCAGCGGCTGTTAGTAGTGGAAACCGGGCGCGGATTATAGGCCCGGTGTTGGCGCCAGAACTCTTGGGTAATCGTAGATGCCGTGCGTTCGGCAGGCGGCGGAAGCCGGGCCAGGACTCATCTGTAGGAATACCGCATAGCTCGAAGATCTTGCCCAGCTCGTCAACCTCGTTCTTGCCCTGCAACAACGGCTCACGCGTCAACAGCTCGCCGAAGATGCACCCGACGCTCCACATATCCACCGCAGCGCCGTACGTCTTCGTGCCGAGCAGCAGCTCGGGGGCGCGATACCAGAGAGTAACGACGAGCTGCGTGAGCTTAGGGGGCGGGGGATCGCCGACGTAGCGGGCCATGCCGAAGTCGGCGATCTTGAGCTGGCCGCGGTTATTAAGCAGCAGATTCGAGGTCTTGAGGTCGCGGTGCAGGATCCAGTGGTCGTGGAGGTAGGCGACGCCGCTGGCGAGCTGGAGCAGCAGGGTCTTGACTTCCGAGGCCAGGAACGGCTCGGGCATGTCGCCCAGCACGGACATGAGGTCGTGCTCGAGGAACTCGAGGACTAGGAAGATGTGCTCGATGCGCGAGGTGTCGTCGCCGACTACGACTTCGCGCAGCGCTACGATGTTTCGGTGCGAGCAGTCTTTTAGGATTTGGATCTCGCGCAGGCCCGTCTCGGGCAGGCCTGATGTGTCGGTCGGGTCGAACTTGAGCCGCTTTAAGGCTACGACTTGGCCTGTTTTGATTTCTTTTGCTCGCGCTACCCAGCCGTATGCTCCCTCTTCGATGTCGTTTAGCTTATCGTAGTTCTCGACGCTTCGTGACTTGCCCCAGCCGCCGGTCTCGAAGCGTAGAAGTTTTGCGCTGCTCCCATTTTCTGTAGTTCCGTCCTTTTCTTGCTCGTCTTGTTCGGGTGTGATTTTCCGCCGTTTGGTAGGTGGTACGGTATCGTCTGGTGGTTCTAGGTGTTGTTGTTGCTGTTGCTCTTGCGCGATTCGTTGTCTGGCTGCAGCTGCTTCTGCCTCTGCTTGGGCGCGACGTTCTGCTTCCGCTTTTTGTGCCTTCTCAGCTTTTAAGCGCTTCTTCTCTTCCTTTTCGCGTTTCTGTTTTGCCTCTAGTGCTGTGTCTTCTTCCGTATCCGCCCAGCGAGATTTACTCGCCATGGTTGTGGTTGTCTCGATGGTAGCTAGCTAGTGTGGTAATTGAAGGGCGGTGCGATGAATTGGTAAGATTACCTAGATGGTTTCGTGCAATCGTTGCGCATGAAGTAGGAAGACGTCAGCGGTAAATTTAGTATTGGTAGACTAGAGAAAAATCCTCGGTATGTGATTCTTAAATAAATTGTTAATTGTTTGTTAGGTAAGATATAATTAATTATTCACGATGGAGGGAAAGTTGGACCTACGTAATTTCGAGGTCCGGAGAATGCTCGGAACTAAATTTTAGAGCTTTTGGAGCTTTAGAGCTATGCTTCAATTTGGAAAGCAACTTAACCTAGAGCTCAGTCTTAAATTATACAAAGCGTCTGTAAGTTTCAATGTTAAAATCACAAACATGGCTTATTAATTTTTAGAATGTCTCATGCATCTTCATGATGTATTAATTCCCGATTCACAATGAGGTCGAACGTGTTAAGAACGGCCCAATGCGGGCTCAGATACTTATCACGACGACCATTATCCCATGGTCCCAAAGTCGCATATCAATGTTATAGAGGCTTCGCAGCAACACCCACAACCAGAGAAGAAAGGCAATGGTCAACACCTCTAGCTAAACAATTGGCCGAGGCCATAAATGTAAGTATGCAAATATATCGTAATAAAATCTCATACTCATAGTATACAGATAACTGGTCCTATTCCTCTGGCTAGCTATATGCGCATGTGTCTTACAGGGGACATTGGTGGATACTACACAGGGGCCATAGAAGCCGGCCGCGATCAATTTGGTCGGAAGGGTGATTTCATAACATCCCCTGAAATATCTCAGATATTCGGCGAACTTATTGGCGTATGGTTCGTAGCCGAATGGATGTCTCAAGGTCGCCCGAAGCAGGGCGTAGAGCTCATCGAGGTTGGTCCGGGCAGGGGAACGTTGATGGATGATATGTTAAGAGTGAGTATCATAATCGATGAGCGAAACTGGTATTTTGATAAAGCTGACTTGTAAATAGACTATAAGAAATTTCAAAGACATGGCTTCTAGTATAGACACCATATATATGGTTGAAGCCAGTAGTGAATTACGCACGGCGCAAAAGAACCTCCTTTGCGGCAAGGATGCTGTGATGACCGAATCTAAAATTGGTTGGCATAGTACGTCCAAATATAATGGCCTACCTATCGTGTGGACAGATTCTATCAAGGCCATCCCGCAGGACTCTAGCAAAACTCCTTTCATAGTGGCCCACGAATTCTTTGACGCTCTGCCAATCCATGCCTTTCAGTTGGTTGACTTACCACCAACCCAGCAACCCACTACGACAGAAAGAAGCAACAAGACCTCAAGTCTAGACTCCGCAGCTACGCCTAATCGCCAATGGCGGGAAATGGTTGTCTCCCCCACGCCAAAAGGGACAACACACGCAGACCTCGGAACCCCCCAAGCCGAACGACACGACCCCGTCCCCGAATTCCAACTAACTCTCAGCCCCTCCGTAACCCGCCACGCGCAATACCTCCCCGAGTCATCCCCGCGCTACCGGGCCCTAAAATCCATCCCAAGCGCTCTCATCGAAGTATGCCCCGACTCCTCCATATACGCCTCCGACTTCGCCACCCGCATCGGCGGCTCCAGCACCTCTCCCAAACCGCGGCCCTCCGGCGCCGCCTTGATCCTCGACTACGGGCCCACCGACACCATCCCCGCGAACTCGTTACGCGGGATCCGACAGCACCGGCGCGTGAGCCCGTTCGCCGCCCCGGGACTGGTAGATCTCAGCGCGGACGTAGACTTCGGCGCGATAGTCGAGGCCGCAACGATTGCTAGCCCGGGCGTTGAGTGCCACGGCCCTGTGGACCAGGCGTATTTCCTTGAGGCCATGGGCGTGCAGCAGCGCGCTGAGATGCTATCGCGGAAGCTGGGGGCGGGGCCTAACGCCGATGAGAAAAGGAAGGAGATCGAGCGTTCGTGGAAGCGGTTGGTTGACCGTGGTCCCAGTGGCATGGGGAAGATTTATAAGGTCTTGGCTATCCTGCCGGAGAACGAGGGTAGGCGGAGGCCTGTTGGGTTTGGAGGGGATGTGAGTCCTTAAGGGGTTTATTCGCAGCTTATGGATGTTGGATGGTTTGTACATATGTAGTAACATAGAACTAGGGCTGATCTGATGTATACTTGCGAACCCCTAATTTGTACAAAATCGAATTCACATGGTCTCTATTTCTACCGTTGTACGCAGCGATGCACTGAGTACCAGTTATAAATACAGAGACACAACCTTGAAAAACGTTCTTTTCGTATCCGTACGACCTATTGCAATACATCGCAAATAAAAACAGGTCCTGAAGCTCTCCTAAAGACCTATTCGTGTGTGGACTTGTTCTTCTCGCCTTGATGAGCTCATGGAACGAACAATCCAGAATCCAACGCCATGCGCAGAGTCTATAATAGTACAGTAACGAGGGTGTGCTAATCCAAGTACAGCCAGTGCCGCCTTCCCCTTGCCGATTTAGCAGTCCTAAGAGGTCCTACTATTTCCTTCCTTTGACTAGATTTGAACCTTCACCACGATCCGTTTCATCTTCATCGTCGTCATCGTCATCGTCATCATCGTCATCACTGAACTTGTCACCGTCCTCTCCGACGGCAAATATCGTCTCGCCGTCGAAAGAATCCCGCGGCGTCTCCGCCTTAGCAGGGGCTTTATTTTGTGCGGGTTGTGGCGTCGTAGAAGTGACGTTTGCTGCCGGTGTCGAACGTGTGTTCGTGATCTTGGAGCCAATGCGGGCTTCCTCGTCTTCATCTGAATCATCCGGAGCGCCCACATCAGCGAACTCGAACCCTCCATCCTCATCCTGAGCGATCTCATCGCTCATAGCGAATCTTCTGTTGTTCGCCGTAGGCCTCCACACATACGCGACCCAGGCTACATCGGCGAAGTAGACCAAGTTGAGCCATCCGTCAAGAATGAACCACCGCGATTTCCAGTGGAAAGGAACATAATCCGGGTCGGAGGCCGAGGCAAATGAGAAGGAATTGAAAAAGAAGAAGCCGAAGATAACAAGAATACTGATTAGGATGCACCACCAGAGCTTCTTGTACATGGCTTCCTTCACGGTCTGTTTGCGTTCGCGCAGATCCTTAAGGGTAGCGTTGAGCGAACTGAGCGTCCACACATAGAAGCCAGTCAAAGTACCCGCCAACGGGAGTACGATGAGAAGAACGAGAGGCCCTGGGAACTTCAGTTAGCATCTATGAGTTCTAGATTGTTAGAGGAATCTTACCAGCCGTATCCGGTGACACTAGAAGACTAGTAACGGCGTAGACCAAGCCAAAAATGAAATGGGCAATGGCCAACCACCGAACATGTACCATCGTCTTGCCCAGGGAAGGCTTCACAACTCCGTAGCCCATACACACGATGAGGAGTAAAAAGAAAGAGAACGAGTTACGGAAAGCGTTCAAGACGGCCACAACAATTAGGAGAACCTTAGCTCCAACATTAGAGCCGTTTCTATTCAAGTAATCTATGCCAAGTTAGTCACACCTAGCCAGCTTAACCCTCTTAGAGGTTCAATAAAGAGCTCACCATAGAAACCCCAAGTCATCAACATCTCAACGACCAGGAAGACGAGAATAGCAGTGATGTAATTTTGAACGGGCACTACGAACATGTTAGCTTTAGAACAAAAGGGGAGGCTTGCGATAACTTACAGATATCGTATCTGTGCTGATAGTATAGGAAACCCCAAAATCTGAACGCCATTAGCGAGGAACTTCGTTTATAATGATTCCGAAACATACACTACGACTACTCCATAGAGGATAGTGATTCCACCGTAGAAGGGAAGCTTGGGGATCTGGGTTGCAGGAAGTTCGCCATAGGCCTCTCGGAACTCTGCGACGCCCATGAACTCCTTCGTATTTCCAAACCCATAGGCGGCAATACAGTAGTAACCCGTCTTCTTGATTTCATATTTGATCGGATGCGAAGAGTTCAAGTGTATAACTTCAGTTGAAATGAAGTTCTCGGATTTCTCAGTCGCATTAGGCGACAAAATCCATTGACCTATCTCCTTGCAAAGGCCTGCCTTAATACTCTCTTCTTCGCAGATTAACACTTTCTAATTTTCTTATCAGCCTTGTTTCTAGCACACGCATGGAGGATCGTACCGGGGACGTATCGTCATCAGGGTTCGAGGGGACGCCGATCAAATCTTGGTCTTTCCATTCAAATATAACCAAACTAACGATAGGGTCGTCATCGCCCTCGACGGTCTGATTCGGGAACGTAGTAAGGATAAACGGTTCTATCGGACCTCCCCAGTCGCTTCTGCTATACATGCCTAGTTCATTATGGTCAATAAGGCTCGGCCGGATAGCTAGTATCAACGGAGCATACCGGCGCATTTTTGGCGATTCTCATCGGTATGGTCCTAACGAAAAAGTATTAGCGATATATTATAAGTAGCAGTGACTAGTCGTATCGTACTATCTGCACTTCCAATGCCTGAGCTGTCCATGAGGACAAGCCCAGAAGAATTAACGGAGATAACCAGCTCTTCATATTTGGCTCGTTGACTAGGGTAGTCGCCGCGCGAGGCAGCCTCGGCGAGAGAATCTGTCGTCGCTATTCCGAAGGCTAAGTGTAACTACGATTAGGTACACAACACACATCAAACACAAACTCGAATCGGAATCGCGGGTCGGACTAGAATAAGTCGAAAGCCCTTTGAAGCATCGGGGAGGAGCTGAAAAGAAAGAGTAGACGTAATTAAAGATATCTCTAGGTTAGCTCCCTAATGTATGTTTGCTTTAGATACGCTAGCTACTACGTTTATTAGAAACATTGAAATGGAACAATTGCGCAGCCTCTCCAGCTAAAGCCAGCTAAATTGTTAGGCGCATACGTGTAAGGCAATTTTTGAAACGGAATACCGGCAAGTTAAAATACCTAGGTGCCCTAGGTAATTACATAAATATATGTAACTAGCCAGGATATAGATAAGATAAGAAATACTTTGACCAGTTAGCTTCAAAGCCGCCAAGTCAATTCTAGTTGTATGCATCACTGGGGAGACTTTCGGTTTGTTTGTTTGTTTTATTTATTTATTTATCTTTGCTGTCGCATTACGAGTGTGAGCCATGGGGAAAGGTACGGATAAGCTATATATCACACACTCCGAGTGGTCATCTTCAGACGCCTACTCGGCAAATACAGGTTCGCGAACCGGTTCTAATGGCGCATCTTTCAAACGATTACCCTTCAACTTTTGCGCCGCCAGTCTTCAGCCTTTCAAGAATCCCGTCTGTACCCCCGATGGAACCATATTCGACGTCGAGATTATCTCAAAATGGCTTAAAAGCCACAATACCAATCCCGTAAACGGCGAACCATTAGCGGCACGCGACCTCATCAAGCTTAACTTCGCGCGCAATGGAGACGTTGACTCTAAGGGTGCAGACGGGAAGGGGGATTTTATCGACCCGGTCACCTTCAAGGTGCTCACCGACAATACCCACGTTGTCGCGATTCGACACGGAACATACGCAAACGTTTTCGCTTGGGAGACGGTTGAGAGGATGAACATCAAAGCGAAGATGTGGCGAGATTTAGTAGACGACGTAGAGTTTAGTCGCTCGGACATTATCACGCTTCAAGATCCTCAGAATGCCGCTAGCAGAGATTTAAGCCAGTTTCAGCACTTGAAAAACGGCGGAGATGCGCTCCTGACCAAGGAGCAGGAAGAGGAGAGAAAAGAAGGCAACGTTAATATCAACGCCTTAGGTAGGGTAGGTGACAAGGTCTTGAGAGCGAAGGAGGCCGTTGAGAAGGCAAGGAAGGAACGTGAAGCTGGGGGCGACATCAACCGCTCCAAAGCAGTGACAAAAGCTTCAGGAAGCAATAATATTCGGCCGTCGATGATACAGGATAAGAAGCAAAACTATAATTCTGCAGCATATACGACGGGCAAAGCCGCAGCTAGTTTCACAAGTACAGGATTGACACCCGAAACCAGTGGCGAACGGGCCACGCTAACGGATGAGGAGTACATGTTGAAACCGAAGAGGGTGAAGATAAAGGGCTACGCACGAATTGAGACGAATCTAGGCGATTTAAACATCGAGCTACAAACTGAATATGCCCCAAAGGCAGTGTGGAATTTTATTCGATTGTCGCAAAAAGGATATTACAGAGGCGTCTCCTTCCACCGAAACATTAAAAACTTCATGATTCAAGGAGGTGATCCGTCAGGTACCGGGCGAGGAGGTACTAGCATATGGGGCAAGAATTTCCAGGACGAATTCGAGGGTCCGTTAACGCACGATTCTCGAGGCGTTCTTAGCATGGCTAATAAAGGGAAAAACACAAACTCGAGCCAGTTCTTCATCATATACCGCCCAGTCAAGCATCTGGATAGAAAACACACCATCTTCGGAAAGGTTGTAGGCGGCTTGGATATCCTGAGCAAGATGGAGGCGGTACCTACAGATGGTTCGGATCGCCCCCTAAATAAGATCTTTATCAAAGACGTCGTCGTCTATCTCGACCCGTTCGACGAGTTCCTAAGGCAGAAATCCGAGCGCGACAAACTCGCGGAGACTCAGGCGGAGATTGAGCGGACAGGAGGTACCGAAGACGACCAGCTGACGTGGACGGGAAAGCGGGTTAGACGGGATGGAACGGTCGAGCAGGGCGGGGGCGGCGGAAACGTGGGTAAGTATCTTCAGGCCGCGATAAAGCAACAGGGCAACGAAGACGAGATTATCGAGGAGGATGTCGATACGTGGGAGGAGCCGGTGAAGAAAAAGGCTAAGGTTGGTGGGTTTGGAAATTTTGATAATTGGTAAAGGGATTGCATTGCGTGGCGTTGGGTGATACCCGGAGTCTGTAGAATACTATCGAGGTCGGACTCTAAACAATTTTCATGAGTTTATGTGGTTGTTGTATAGCCATTGTGAAGAGTAATTATAGTACATCATAACATTGTTGTCTCTTTCTAAGATTTGTGGTTAACTACATGATTTGAAAAGACTGGTCATATGAAGGCTCGGATTTTTATATAGCATCTGTTTAAAATGGACTGAGGTGTAAGTAAATAATTTTGTGTTTATTATTCTCGAGTCCTGAGGTTTCAAGTCTTAGGTAGCTAAGGTGTAAGCTCTTCACGGTGATGATAGATAAAGAAACATTAGTAAAAGCAATGTTAGTTCGTCTATAAACTACAATGACTTCAATTTTAGACGAGAAACTCCTGCTAAGATAGCACATTTTTAGTTCCTGGATCTTGGGCAAATTTCACATGGTCCATAAATACAAAAGTGGTGGACTATTCGGAGAGAAGAAATGTCCGAGCTTACAACCTCCAAAAAGAAGATAATGACACAGTCCTAGGCAACAGTTTCAGTTTCATCGCGGCCCCCTTTTACAATAATCCACGGCATGTCAACAGAAAAGCAGACTGCCCCATCTAGGCCGCCGCGGGTGCTCTCGTGTGTGTTGTGCCAGCAGCGCAAAGTCAAGTGCGACAAGATATTTCCCTGTGCGAACTGTGTACGGCTCCGCGCTCAATGCGTACCGGCTACGCTTGCGCCGCCTCGTCGCCGCCGGCGTTTTCCTAAGCGAGAACTTCTGGATCGCCTCCACCATTATGAGAATCTACTCCGGGAGAATAGCATACCGTTTGAGTCACTATATGGTGAGGAGAGTAAAGCCTCCAGTCCTCAGACTCCGCAAGATGCGTCTTCAAAAGGATCAGCGTCGAGAGATGACGCGGTAGTCAAGCCGAAATTGGCATATAGACCTAAGTACCTATGTTCTCCCAATACTTACGCTGGGGAGGTTATTAATTTCATCGCAGAGATATCTGGAGGGCTATGAGCCGGAAGGTATGATTCAAGTTCACCAGTAGGTAAATTTCTGCTAATAATCGAAAGAAAGACCTCAGATTCCGAAGATGATGATATCGATGAGAGCGATGACAGTGACAGCGATTCTCCCTTCAAAAAGGATGCTCTACGTCAGCCCATGATCACTAAAGTATGGGATCGTATATATGAGAGCCAAGATAACAGCCACCTTCTATTTGCCGCACCTCAAACAAGTGATGATATTTCTACTATACACCCGGAACATATACAAATCTTCAGGCTCTGGCAGATATACCTGGAAAACGTCGACCCCTTATTGAAGATCACGCACACGCCTACTTTGCAGGCGCGCATTATCGACGCCACAAGTCATATCGGTACTATTGATCCTACAATGGAAGCTCTCATCTTCAGTATTTATTGCGTATCCATATTTAGTCTCACCAACGATGAGTGTCTTACCTTCTTTATGGCGCCGAGGGATGATCTTCTGGTGCGGTATCAGTTGGGATGCCGGCAAGCTCTGCAGAACTGTAGGTTTTTACAGACTACTGACCGAGATTGCTTAACAGCATTATATCTCTATCTGGTATGCCCTCCCTTCTAATCCAGGTCCACGATATCTTTATCATCTAGTATCATCCCTAATGCTTTCTAGATCTCGGTAAGACCTAAAGTAGATCCCCGATCTCTATCCTCGATGCTCAGCATCGCTGTCCGTATAGCGCGTGGTATGGGGATTCACGACGAAACCACCTGTGCTAAGTTCACGGCTCTAGAAGCTGAGATGCGCCGAAGACTATGGTGGTCGTTAATAATTTTCGACAATCGGATCAGCGAGCTTTGCGACTACAAGACTGCGTCACTGGCTCCTACTTGGGACTGTAAGACTCCCCTGAACGTGTATGACTCTGAGATCCGGCTGGAGATGAAGACCCCCTTGGCGATCCACGAGACACCCACCGAGGCCATTTTCGCCGTCGTGCGCAGCGAGCTAGCCGATTTCGTCCGGCATAGTTCCTTTCACCTTATGTTTACCAATCCGTCTCTGAGTACTATTGCCAAGAGTATGCGGCAAGGCTCCGCCTCGGAAGGCGATGAGCTGGATGCTTTGGAAAAAACGATAGAAGACAAGTACCTTGCCTTCTGCGATCTGGATAACCCGCTTCACTTTATGACGGTCTGGACCGCGCGAGGCTACCTTGCAAAAATCCGTATCTTGGACTATTACTCGAAACACCTGACGTCGACAGCGCAGCTGACAGAGCTACAACGCAACACTACCATATCCTCGGCCCTGAGGATGCTCGAGTGTGACACGAATCTCACTACTTCACCTCTAGTTAAGGGGTACCGTTGGCTAATTAGCTACCACTTCCCACTGCCAGCTTATATCCACCTTCTTCAATGTCTAAAGAAGCGGCCCAATGACGACAAGGCCGAAAAGGCTTGGGAAGTAATGAGCGACAATTACAAAGCTCGATTTATGAGTGCGGAGGTCAACGAGGCCTTTTCCCAGGTTTTCTTCCCAATTGTTCTTCGGGCCTGGGAGGCGCTGGAAGCACTATCGAGACAAGAGGGCAAACCCCTAGTTCCGCCATTGATCGTATCAGATATTCGAGACAGAATACTGCGGATGAAGTTAAATCACCCCCAAGACAGCGAGTTGGAACAATTGGGTGGAGTTACAGGTGCCAACAACGTCGACTTATTTCAAATGTCCGCACCCATGAACTTTAGTAGTGGTTATGACCCGTCATACAACACGAGAGAACAGGATTTCTCCACGAGCGCGGGACTCTGGGACAGCTCTAACGTACCAGCCCAGGCTACGATGGACGTCATGAATTTTGACGATATCGATTGGACGAATATAGGCTGGAATCCTATGTGATTATGTGGCTCTGAAAAGTGATGGTGTTGTTTAGAGTGACGGTGTAGATTAATTGTAAAATAGCAAGAATCTACACTAGATCAATACATTTCAAATCCACTCCGCGTTCCCTGAATATATCTGGTTCTACATTAATATCTGCCCAGGGATCGTCTTGTAGTTCTTTGCGAAAGTCTTTGAGATCTACAGGCAGTGATTTCAAACGCGGGTCCTCGTAGAATATCTCGCCCGAAGAAATATCTCTAAAAGCCGGGGCGTCGCACTCAAATCTTTTGTCATAGGATTGGATTGCCCGAATATTGACGGGGAGAGGCCCAAGAAGAGCTTCGTCATACGTTAATCCAAGCACAAGACATTTACCAATTACCTGGAATTTGTTATTGCCTTGTGGGCGTAGCAATAACGGATCCGAGCAACCAAGTAGGGTATAAACCTCATCACCAGGCTGTGCTGGTGCCAAAGAAATCCCTATATAACCGCCTGTGCACTGAATGCATTGGTACCCCCCCATATAATAAGCACTATTAACGAATTTGTTAACACCCAAGGACCGCACGAAGTCTTTATTGTTGACACCGTTGATGTCACAATTAGACATGATGAACTCCACGCATTGTTTCGCTTCTTCGAAATCCGGGTAATCAGAATCAGGTGGATCAAAGTCATTAGCGAATCTATCGCAAAGGAGTAGCCTGGTGTAGTCTTCAGTTGTGTGCTGCTCCTCTGAATCTACTTTGAACAGCCAGGTTCGTATTTGCTCGAGCATGGTGTTATTGTAGCGTGACATTTGCGGCGACTGATGATATTTTGAGACAGCACATTTGTATACGCCCATAGCTCTCAGTACGACAGGCTGCGGGAATTCATACCAGGCTGTAAACGGTGAATAATATAAGCGTGACTTGAGTGCATTGAATCTGGCGTCCGATTTCGACCAGTCGGGAACCCAGCTCGGGCATGTATCACCCTGAAGCTGACACTGACGTAGTATATTTAAGGAATCGTAGTATTTAATCCAGTTTATTATGACAGTTGTGTAAAGTTTATCATAAGGTTGAGTGTAGTCCGGCGATGGGATCAATGCCTTGTCCTCGTCGTTTAACAAAGCCAAGACCGCATAGAGCCGGTCTCGTGGGTCCAGGCACCGTGTATAGTTAAAATCATAGTCTGAGCCTATTAAGTTGTTTGTTTTTCTCTGAAACATAAATCCTCGAAGTGAATTTATTTGAGTCTTACATTGATCAGTGAAGTCCGTCGCCGGGGTGGGTTTTAAGTAGATACATGCTAAACCTCGTCGAAAACTTGACCACTTGACTTGATAGAGGCCGCACATAATAACGGCTTCCGGACCAGCTAAATGAATTTCTTGTCTGATCCACAGTCTTTCAAACCACTGTCGGGACAGTAGATAGTAAATCGAGTAAACATCTCGGCCTTGGAAAGGAAGCCCAATGTCGCCGTCGCTGATGCCAGGATCAATGCAACCCACCGCTGGTCTCAAACTCCACCGAATAAAATCGACTTCAACTTGAGACCCAAGATAGTCCATGAGATACATAGCATTATTGCTATCATTTTCTTCCGGCCCAAGCCAAGCAATCACCCGACGAGCAAGCCGGAAAATCTCCCCCATCGTTGCGACTTGAGGGCTTTTTTCGACTTCATCCGTTTGGTTAATACAGAGTGCATCGATCCACATAACTCGGGGCGCCTCATCATAACGCAAATGCCTTAGGGCAACGTCTAAATTCCGCGTGACCTGAATTTTCTCGAATTTCATTTGAACGGTATCCCGTAATCTATTGGTTGTAGCGGTATCAACCCTACTAACGTAGATTGGCATACGGCCTTTTTTCGAACCCCATACATATGAGAGAGCCTCATACGGCAATGTGTCATTAGGAAACGGTGAGGTGTGGAATGAAATGACAATGTTATCTTTGATGAACTTTGCCGGATGAATGATTGCCAGTCTGATATAGTGTTGCCCTGGAAGGGGATCGTAACGGTAGCGCCCCATGATGAAAGGCTGCTTATGCTACGAATGAAAATATTGATGCTTGTATGTTTGTAGTGTATAGCCTAGGCGAATATATGGAAAGAGGAGATGTAGACGAGGTAGTTTTGAGATAAGTGCGGAGACAGGACGGATAGAAATTCATCTTCAGTGAGGAGGCCTTGCGACGTTTTGCCCAGAGGTCACTGCCACCGAATACCGCCACTATGCACTACCACCTAAGCCTGAATAACTTCTGAATTAAGCCCTCCATTAGGTATCATATGACCTACCATACAGCCTCGTAGAGCTTAATTCAACTTAACCAATGATAGAAACTGCATGATAGGGATATTTCATTTAATTTGTTACGAGATATATGATTTAGGAAGTTTATAACACCAAAAAAACAAGAGAATCCGCAACACTCTTAGAACAGCGAGTCTAGCAATAGCCTTTGGGTACCTACTAAGCGCAGTCTTTTCATTTGGTCAGCAGCCAGGTGAGAATGAGGTTATACAGCCCCACCTTTATATATGATTGGGGCCACATGATTGGCTGCTAGTGAGGGATTCTCGATAGGAAATGTCGTGTAACCCTCAAAATGTGATTAATTCTAGTATATAATACCTAGGTACCTTACATAGTACGTAGGCAGATTTGGGGGTTACCGAACGCATAGGACTTCTACTTCCCTTCTAGGTAATACCGCAGGTATTCGTTGTCGTCAGCGATTTCCACAAGAAGACCCATTTAGTTTCAGGCTGCCAAGGGCTGAGCATACGCTAGCATAAGCTTGGCAAAGCTTGGTGAGGCTTAGTCACTTAGTTTTATTGTACGACCCAATGGAAATTGTATCTGAGACCAAGGATCTATTTCGTTCTCGCTTTCGTCAAAACCAAACCGAGATGGGGTATATTCAATGCGAGTCCTCACGAACTGGGTCTTCAGCTGAGTCCGTTCGATGAAGCTATATAAACAAAGAATAGATAGGTAAGTTCTGCTTAAAAAATCAGCATCTCAACTCACAACAATCCTCGTGCTTCACCTGCAATTTATTCCTATACTTATTCGTATAACTACTCTTCCTCACTACCTACTCAAGATGGCCCTAACTGAGCGAGATAACATCTCCATCGCGGAAATTGTTGTCTATGTACCTGCACTATTCATTGCAATATGGCTGTCTATACGCCACGGTTTTGGTCGTAACTCGGGATGGCTCTATTTGATTATCTTCTCATTAGCTCGCATCATCGGAGCAGCAATGCAACTGGCCACTATACCGGATCCTACCAACCTTAGTCTTCGCGTCGGAGCGGCAACTTTACAAAACATTGGCCTATCGCCTCTAATTATGGTCCAACTGGCCCTAATTGGACGGGCTGCTGGAAGTATCCAAAAGTCGACAACATGTTTCGTGACCGAGAAACGAGTCCGCCTCATCCACCTTCTTGTGCTTGTGGGCTTGATCCTAGGCGCAGTCGGCGGCAGCCAATCCGGACAGAGCCTTGCCGACACAGGAAAATACACTGTCTCGAGTCTCTCGCAGGCCGGTACGGGCCTGATGATCGCCGCATACGTCTTGCTGGCCTTTTCGACTGCTCTCGTCGCAATGCAGATGTCACATATGGAACTGGGAGAGAAGCGATTGGTTTTGGCCGTAGGCGTCTCTCTCCCCTTCATCCTCGTTCGACTAGCCTACTCGGCAGAATCTCTGTATGGACACAATCCGGCCTTTAACCAAGTGACGGGCGACGTCAACATTCAGCTTGGAATGTCCGTCATCATGGAGATGATCGTCGTCGCCATTGTCGAGAGCATTGGAATGACTTTGAATAAGACCACAAAAATTGCAGCTCAGCAGACGGAAGCCGATTACGAAATGGTACCACACAAATAAATTCCGGCTCCGGCATCATTTTGAAAGTATGTATAAAAATACAATAGTTATATATATAGACATAGACATGATTCCATAGTATTTTATTCGGACATATCAATATAATGATGATAATGAGGAAGAACATTGGGTATACAAATGTGCTGTACTTCGTACCATTCAAACTTAAAATGAGCTTTAGTGAGATCCCGGTCCCCTAATTACAAGGATTTCCGCCGTCTCGGGGCTTGCCAAGGCCCTGAGCCGTCACGCTAGTGTACCTCTGTAGTACTCGAAGAGGGGCAACTAAAAGCAATAAGACGGGCAGCCGCGGGGTACTTCACAACGTCAGAAATTTTACTAATCTCTAAGTCAAGCTTTATCCTTAAATTACTTCTCGGAGTTTTGTTCTTCATTAACTAGAAAAGATGCCGGTAAGGACTTGGGAAACGACACTAAGGGGACAGAATAATATTAATAAAATGCGACTAGTTAATCATAGTCACCGGTCTTCCTACGTCCGGTAAAACCACGCGCGCAAAACAGCTGCACAGCTACCTCTCCGAGCGCATAAGGGACTCATCTGCACCCGCTGCGGCTAAATATCGACTGCACTTAATCTCAGATCAGACACTATCCATTTCGCGCTCTGTGTACGATCTATCAGCAACGCCGGCGCATACAAGATCCGCCAATGCGTCTGAGAAGGATGCCCGCGCCGCTATCTACGGTGCCACGAAGCGCGCGCTAAGCGATCGCGACATCGTCATTCTCGACGGACTCAACTACATAAAGGGCTGGCGATATCAACTATTCTGCGAGGCCAAGGCTGTGCGCACACCTAGCTGCGTCCTACAAATTGGCTGTACGAGGGAGAAGGCTAAGGAGGTCAACGAGGAAAGATTGCGACGGCGGAACGAAGATGTTGACGGTGCGAAGGATAAAGAGGAGAAGGGTAGCGAAGAGCAAGAAGAAGAAGAGGGCCCTTACGAGCCGGAAAATTGGGATAACCTTGTGTTCCGTTATGAGGAACCGAATCCTATGACGAGGTGGGACAGCCCGTTATTCACGCTTATCTGGGAAGACGGCGAGGAGCAGACGAAGCAGGTTTTTGATAACTTGTGGGATGCTATTGCAGGAGAAGCGCGGAAACTGGTACGGCCTAACCAGGCAACTGTGCAGCGGACCAGGGAGACGGGCGGAGATTACTTATACGTTCTCGACCGAGAGACGCAAGAAATAGTCAAGAGAATACTAGACCAGCAAAGTGAAGATGGTGGGGACGAGATAAAGATTCCCCGGAGTAGCGGCAACGATGGCGAGGAGTTAGTCGTGGAATTGCCAGCTGGGAAGAAAGTAGGCCTGCCTCAGTTGCAGCGGTTACGAAGGGCGTACATGGGCTTGCATAGAGGCGGTATTGGCCTCGAGGGAGTTGGAAATTTGGGGCCGGAGAGGATACGAGAGACCTTTGTGAGATATCTCAACGATGCTTTTGAAAAGGATGGTTGATATATCTCCTGCCAACGCCTGTTTCCTCTATATATTGATACCCCTGATGTTATTTATAGCCCTAAACATAATATCTAAAAAGCTTGGATATTTAAACTAACAAAATTGTGGTGATGAAAATTGAGGTTGAAGAGCCTGGGTGTTTATATTCCTAGTATAGCGCAGTTAACCTACCTCGTGGGTTATTGATGAGCTTGAAAAGTCAAAGACTATGTCATGATCGATACTAGAATAGTTCGCCTAGTTAACGTAAATCATAAGTCAGCGGTCCACACAAGTCAACGGTACAGTGAAAATACATACAAATTACGTTTGTGCGTAACCGTGCACTTTACTCAAAAGAAATCATATTAAGATTCGGTTTTTAAATTTAAATATTTATTTAACTTTTAATAATAATAGTATTTTTCTTAATTTTTATATTATTTGTTTTAATTAAATAAAAATAAAAAACATAAAAATAAATCCGAAAATATTAATATTTTTTATAACTTTTATTATTATAACTTATAATTTTTTTTTCCATTTTTTTATAAATTAATTATATAGTTAAATATAACGTATTAAAATATGGGAACCTTTAATTAAAGATTCGTAAAGTTATGAATTTATAAAAATGTTGATTTTTGGTTATATTTCGGTTGGACCGTTGACTTGTGTGGACCGCTGACTTTGATTTACGTTATTGTGATATATTGCAGCGTAATCCCTATATTTACTTGCATTGTAAGCTCGATCTCGCTGCTTTGAAGCCATCAATACCTGTATGTCAGACATGAAGGTGTTCCTTCATCCAGTGCATAATGAAGATCGCTAGAAGTGCAAAGGATATATATCGTCCGCGGGCTCGGATCATGGATGAACTAATCAAGAAAGCAATTAAAGAACTTGAGGCTACGAGGAAGCCCCTCAACGCCGTTTCGTGGAAACCCGATCAGCCGCATGCACAGCCCTTTTTCACATACGACCGCTCTAAACAAGGATGGGCACCGGCGGAGCCCAAGCCGCTGCAGAAAGGGGGCAGTGGAAATGGAATTAATCGGCTGAGGCTGTACAGCTGGAATATCGATTTCATGCTACCGTTTGCGAAACCGAGGATGGATGCCGCGCTAGACCATCTCAACGGTCTAACGAGCAAATTACCATCCACGACGGCCGCGGTTATCTTCTTACAAGAGTGTATCGAAGAAGACCTCGAGACAATCGGCGAAAAGAAATGGGTGAGGGATAAATTCAACGTGACAGACATCGACGGCAGCAACTGGCAAGCCTACTACGGCACCACCACGCTGTTGGATCGGCGACTAGATATCACGTCCTGCTTCCGGGTGCACTATGCGAAAACGGAAATGGACCGTGACGCCCTAATCGTAGAAACATCGTTAAACGCGCCCAGCGGCACGCCCAAGACCCTCCGGCTATGCAACTCGCACCTCGAATCGCTAGCCGTAAAGCCGCCGCTGCGCCCGGCGCAAGTACGAGTCCTAGCGACGCACATGCGCGCGCCGGACGTACACGGCGCGCTCGCAGCGGGGGACTTCAACGCGATACAGCCGTTCGACCGGACGCTGCACGAGTACAACGAGCTCAAAGACGCGTATCTTGAGCTGGGGGGCCGCGAGGATAGCGACGCGGGGTATACGTGGGGACAGCAGGCGGCGACGAGGACGCGGGAGCGGTTCGGGTGCTCGCGCATGGATAAGGTGTTTTTTACGGGGGGGCTGAAGGTGCACGGGTTTGAGAGGTTTGGCGCGGATGTTCAGGTGAGTGGTCAGAGGGAGCGGAGGGAGATTGCGAAGTTGGGGTTTGAGAGGCCGTGGATTACGGATCATTTGGGTGTTGTGGCGGAGTTTGAGGTTGTGGATTGAAAGTGAATATAGGGTGGTTTGAGGGGTTGAAACTTGAAAGTAAGTGGGTATAGGAAATAACTACTCTGTTGACATTGGGATATCTTCCTGTCCTTATAGGAGAATATGGGAACTTGGAAGAATCTCCTCACTTTGTAGTGGTAAGCGGTTCACTCTTGCTCTATGCCTTTTATATGAGAAATAAGGGCTGAGTTATTCGCCCAGTCTTAGGATTTCATCGGATAACTACTTAGTCTTCATAAGGAAGAACTTATAACTACATTTCTTGTAAGAATTTATCATATACTACATCTACTGAATAGAGCCTTAACATAATAACTGATGAGTTTATAAGCGGCCTTACAAATATTGGGTATCTAAGCGCCTTATGTGCTACTTCTGCCTTGAACGAAGTCTATCTCTAGGCCTTGAACCTATAATAGACTAATAGGCATGTCTCATTCGTATCCAGGTTCCTATTCCGATGCGAACCTCACATTCATTGTAGCTTAGACCGGGTATCTGACCACAACTTATCCACGATCTGGAACACTGCCGTAACATCGCGCATGACGGCACTATCGACCTGTCCACCGAGTCGCTGCTGTATCTTATCCGGATGCCACCGGACGCGTTCCTCTTTCAGTTTTGCCAGAAACTCCGTTTCGCCAACGTCCTCAGGTTCAATACCCATAACAAAAAAGTCCCTTACAGTATCCGCACTCACGTCCTCGCGCCGTCCACTCCGCACCGGCCACGCCATATGCCCCGGCGTCCCATCCCACTCCTTCCACGCCTGTGCATACTCCTCCCAGCGCTCTTTCCAGCCCTTTCTCCTACGCCTCTCCTCGCCCCTACGCAAGCTCCGCTCCATCTCGCGCGTAAGCCTCCTAGCCTCATCCTCTTCCCGATCTCGCTGTTTCCGGCGCTCCTCGCGGCGCGCCCGTTCCTCCAGCAGGCCCTGGTGCGTCTTCTCCCACATCTTCTGCCGCACGTACGTCGCGTACTCGTCGTCGTCCATGCGCTCTAGTTCCCCGTCTGGGCCGGACCGTGCCTGGGGGTAGATGTGGATCGGTTGTCCGTATACGCCCTCCCAGTACGCTGCGCCTTCGTCGTCTGCCATTGCGTCGAAGAGAGATTCTCGGAACGCGGCTTCGGAGCCGAGAGGGGGTGGCTCGAAGGGATTGGGAGGCGTGGGTGAGCGTGAGCGTCGCCGCTTGTGTTTATGGTGATGGTGACGATGTCTGTGTCTGTGACGATGACGGTGTGGTTCGGCTTCGTCTTCACGTTCGTAGTCGTCATCGCGGTCGCGGTCTCGGGAGGAGTGCCGATGGTGCCGCGAGCGCTTCGATTTAAAGCGGAATCTGCTTGTCTTCTTGTCCCTCAGCTCCGTAGCTTCCAGTTCTTCCTGCTCTAGATTCGGCTGCGGCTCCGGAGGTGGGGCCTCGGCCGGAGGTGTATTGTCATTTTCTATCTTGGGTGAAGCTGAACGACGATCTGGGTTTATTGAGGATAGTATATGTCGCCTCTTCGGCGACGATGCCTCCGTGGTCATCTTATAGACATAGCGCGCAGTTGTCCTCTTCAATATAGGAAAGCTCCGAAATATTGGGCTAGGTATGATGAAGAGGGTGTAGGTATGATGAAAGTGGCTAGGTTTAGAGAACGTAGGCACATGTACATAAACGGTCTATCAGATTTAAGCTTAACCTTATCTTATCGGATATTTTTAAAGCTTGAAAGCGACGAATTGCCCCACATAGCCTCAACTTGATTAAAACATTGAACTAAACCGATTTCTATTAAAGTCCTATAAGCAAGATTTTAATGCCAATATTTAATTATGTGAACAATAACATGGTAATAAACTTCATATTATGTAGACTCACGGTATGAATCCGATGAGTCTATAGTAGCATGTCTTCTATAGCAGTATATTGATCCGCCACCTCGTACTTGGGTATCATAATCTGTCTTACTACTACTCCTATCTTTATTCAAAGAATCCACCTTCGCTTTCATTATCGCTCAAATCTAGAGCTTTAGCGATTTTACGTCTCTCAGCCCTGTTCTTGGGTATTTGGGCACCCATAGGACCAGGTGCATCTGAGCTCTTTGTCCTAGAACGATTGGTTTTTGCTGGGGCGGAGTCCTTCAAAGATTCATTGGGTGCTTTGCCTTTCGAATCTGTGTCTAGTTTGCGTTCCCTGATTTCGATTAATGCTGGGGTCCCTATCTCTGCTGCCTTTTCTATAACCTCCCATAGCGGTGGTCGTTCGCTACGTAGAGCCTGTGCTGCCGTACTTGCATCCTCTGCCTTCTCTCCGACTGGGTATAGACTAATATAACGCTCTCTGTAAGGGAAAAATCGGGTGTAGATACTGTCGACTTCTGCCTTATGAAGGTCTGCTTTGAGCTTCTCAATCTCTTTGGGATCTTCGGCCGTCGTTAGTTGAGTTTTGATTCGTTTTGCGAGCCGGTCTGCCTTCTTCCTCTCTATTGTGTAATGTCAGAATGCTGTTAACTAATTCCCATGGTATAGAAAAGTAGCCCTACCAAAGAAGCGAACCATGTGATATTTTGTAATCATCGTCTTCCTCTTTTTTTCATCCACAGCCTCAGCGATTTTCTGGTGGTGATGGGCAAGTTCCCTCTCCAAATCATTCTTCACGTTTGCAGGCATATTCTGGCCCATCTTGAAGCGTCTCTCGATCGTTCGCACTCGTTTCTTAAGCCAATTTATGTTATCTGGCTTTGTCTTGTTCTTTTTCGGCTTCTTATTATTGAACTTCTTCGGCGCATGGCTTCCTGGAATGCGCTCGTGAGGGCCATCTTGCGAGTCGGCCTTGAACTCAGAAAATTTCCTCTTGGAGCTCATCGTGTGTGCATGTATCGTATTATTTCTAACGGTTATCGTTAAATCAACTGGGAATGGGGTCAAGAGAGCATTGCTGTTGAGGAATTGAATTGACCGAAAATAACTTTCGAAGTTTATCGTTTAGATTTAAGATAAGATACGTATCTAAAAGTACTTAGGTACATGCACAAGGTACAGGGTACATGTACCTGTCCCCGCCATCTTTAGCTGCATCTAGAACTTGAACTAAATGTACGGACTTATTTTCATATTCTCGTCCTAACAACGGAAATTGTATAAATCGTATCAAGATGTATTCTTTTCACTTCCTTTCTAGAGTATGCATCATTCCCCATTAGGAATGAAATATACACTCTTTCCCGGGCCCCCCTTTGCCGCAGCAATCCGAAGTGCCTCCTCCCAATCTTCAAGCCCAAATTTTCCGGCTACCTCCATGCCCACTCTTGAGCCAATCTTCAGCACACCCCTTTCGACAGTTTTGATCAAGTCCTTTGCCTGCTGAGATGTATTCATAAAGGTTCCCTTAATTGTGATACCTTTGTATGATATGTGCCAATAAGGGATGTCGATGTCACCTGGTATTCCTCCCATGAGACTCATCCGGCCTCCTGGCCTCAAAGACAATATACCCGCTCTAATGTGAGAGCTCTTGCTGGCCGGCCGTGGGGAGATGTCGAAATACACATCCAGTGGCCCGAACTTAGCCAGCGCGTCGACGTCTTGTTGAACATCGCCGCTAATCTTGACGGTTTCTATTCTTCCAGGATCGGAGAGCTTCTTCAGTTCCGCGAGAGCTGCCTCGTTTCTCCCCATGGCGATGACTCTAGCGCCCATAGAAAGGGCCACATGTACCGCAGCACTACTAAAGGAACCCGTAGCTGGGGCAATCAAGACCGTCTCGCCTGGTTTTAGTCCAATGTCTGCGAGGCCACCGTACGGTACCACGAGTTGACTAAGAAAGCCAAGTTCTTCAAGTTTATATCCCAGTCGCCCAACTAAAATATCTTCGTCCAGAGCGTGCACGCTTTCCAAAGGTGCAGTCGATAGCGTGGCCCAGCATCCATTACGCCACTCTTCCGACGCCATCAGCTTCCTAGTCCCCTCGCTGAAGCCCTCATGGAATGATCTAAGGATCTTGATATTGGGGTCGTCCCGGCCCCGGACCGTCAACTCTACAAATACCAGCTGACCGGGCTTCAGGCTCGTGGCATCGGATGGAACAGCAGCAACGCGGGCAATACAAGAACCACCAGGTACAAGCGGCAAGGGGTATTTATAACCTCTCGGATTTCCATTAGTGAATATCTCGTTGGCATACTGTACGATGATAGAGTATAGTGGCTTAACAATGGCGGTTCCAGCCGTGGGAATCGGTGTCGACAGTGCCGCAAGAGTGGGTGGTGAAGAGGGTGAATGGAATTGTAGACCAGTGTAGGTCTCCGGGAGAGAGTGCTCAGTTGGGCTCGCCATCCTCGTTGTGAATGAGCGGTTTAGAAAATTAGAAGATGACCAATTCCCAGTTGGATACTTCCATGCATCCCGCGCAGTTTGGAAGATACGGTAAGCTCTATATATATCTAACCCGATCATGAGCCCTTCCCTTGCGATTGATGTCCCAAATTACTTAATTTGTCATCAAAATTGTACGGCCCTAGTAAGGTCCTATCATGTTGCTCTAAATACCAAACCATCTCAAGTAGAGACGGCGGAGTTAGAGATGAAGTTTCTTAACTCCAAGCCCCACTGCATCGCTTCGCGCTCGGTCTTAAGAAATAGCTGGCTATATCAAGTAGATGATTACACTTCTGGCCATCGTCTAGGTTAAGTAGTTTAGCAATATGCAATGTATGTGCGGTCTACCTAATACATTCTTCGTTTTGTGAGTTAAGTCGTGTGTGCGACCCATTTCTTCACAAAATGTTAGTGATATTACTCGTAAGTCAATGGTAAGTCTGCTAGTTTACTACCCTGATATAGTATATAGTTGTATAACTAGAAACTCTTATACTAGTTAGCTGACGGGTAAGCTCGTCGGAAACCGAGCGAGACTCGGACTATGCTAAAGACTACAAGGGTTCTGTGGGACCGAGTGATCAATTCCCGTTAAGGTAAAGCTATTTGTAAAATATGAGTATTGCATGTTTGAACTAATCTTAATACCTAAGTAGACATATAAGTAGACATAATATCATTACTACCTCGGTTTTGCTTGATATCTGGGTAGCTTTATTTATCTTCCATGTTACGACTCTATAAAACATTCATAGTTGCAACTAACTAACTAAGCTTTGTCAGCCACATCTATGGCGGTTCTTGATTGGTCAATGGATCACCTGCAGCGCTGGCGGGGTTTGAGCTTAAGTTTTATCGATAGGAGGCTAACTTAACAGCTTGGCGCGGAAGCTCTAAGTTGATTCAATCTACAACAAAGTTAAGGTGCTGTCCATGCTATTAGTGACAAACACTTTACACATGTACCGAGCCGGTCCAGCCTAGAGTCAGTTGAAGTAAACTTTCTTTCGGGCGTCTTTCGACATAGAACAAGTACGGAGAGCTTTCTCTATTCTTTAGTACGAGACATGCAGAGTCTACGAAAAGATGGCTCTTATCAGTTTCGTTCAATTCACATAGTCAACACCCCTCTTGATCTTTTGTAAGAAACCAGTCCAGGCAATGACAAATCTATATCTGAGAATACCTCCGACGCATCTCTGGAGAAATGCCTCAATACGCAACTTCAAAGATGGATAGACCAGAGCCAGGCCTAATCAAATGGTCTCCTAACCCAGCCTACGATACCTTTCTCCATGTTAACTTGCAACATCGAGTCGTGCAGTTATATGAACCCACGGGTCTTGCGCAGCCTGGGAGCTTTGACTTCGAAAAGTCATCAAAATATGATGAGATCCCTCCGCTGACCACCTACGATTGGTCACCTGCTCATCCTGGGCTCGTCGCCATCGGAACTGCAAGTGGTACTGTGGATATTATAAATCTCCATGGTGATGCTAGCTCTCATCTAGAGCTCCCTATAAGGATCACTCGTACCTGTCAAGCAGTAGCTTTTAATACAGGGTCCTTGCTTGCTGTTGGGTTAGAACGCGTTCGAAATGACCAATGCCTGAAGATATTCGACGTAAGTCGACTTACGACGCTGGAACCCAGCGCTACATGGGCGTCACTCGAAGGTTCGATGAATCCAGTGATCGGGCTTGAAGCTAGTATCTCTATATCAAGCACCAAGTTCTTCGAAGACAGTCCCCAGGTTCTCGTTGCCGGGATTAAAAATCAGGGTATCCGCATTTACGATCTCCGAGGTAGACCTTGTCCCCGATGATATCCTTTTATAAAACTTACTAATTGGTCCCTAGATCCACAAGGCGCAGTGATCAATTATCAGACAAAATGCAATAACAACTTAGCAATCGATTATGCTGACCAGAACTATTTTGCTTCGTCTTCTCTAGATAAACCAGGGCTGGTGATTTGGGATCGTCGGGCCACCTCAAGACCGTCTTCCTCGCGCTTTTACCTCGATGCTGTTGATACAGATGAACTGCCATGGGGAGCGGCCCTCAACATCGATAAAGCAATTGATGTCAAAGAGGCTAATTTCCAAGATAGGGGTTCATTGATCAGGTCGTTGCGTTTCTGTAGGGATCGTTCTGGTCTGATAGCAGTGCTCTCCAGAACTGGTCAGCTCAAGGTCCTAGACACTAAGAAGGAATTTATTCCTTTCGAAATGCATCCTAAGGACAGCCCCGAGATTCTGGAAGTCAGGAAATCTTACGAGCTCGACATGAGCTATTCAAAGGAACGAAAAGATGACAGGATTGTATCGTTTGACTGGGTGACGCTCGACTCTCCTGCTTTAACACCACGAGCAGTAGTTCTACGCGCCAATGGAACATTTGACATCCTTGAAAAACCATCATATTCATCAGAACATTTATATAAGATGATACCCTGGAAACCACCTCATCGTGGGCTAGAAGGTAACGCTATATTGGCCGATAGATGATCATTGCTAATTCAACATAAGGGGGCGGCAGCTATCACTCTCTGATGCAATTTGAAGCAACACATTATCCCGAGATGATGGGACCACTCAATATAGACCAGGCTTTCAAGGATCAGCCTCTATTTGGAAACCGTAAGGAATCCGCTAATGTTATAATACAGAAAACATTATTATCTCCTTCACCCATAGCTGACCCCATATGCGACCTGGAGGCAAGCACTGAGCCACTACCAGAGCTATTCACCAGTGCTTCAACAACAGCAGACAAGTTACGTGGTTTGAGGCAATATTCTAGGGAAATTCTCGAAACTGCAAAACAACTTAATGATAAGGAGCGACAACAATCAGTAACGAAAGATTTGGACCGATCTTTATCGGATTTACCTTTACAGGGAAATATCTTGCCATCAAATAGACAGCTACATGAGAGGCTACTCGCATCAACACTAGATTCAAGGGGGTACCCTAAAGAAGCACAACTCGTTCTTGACCACGTAATGCTCCTTCGTTCAAAGGAGAAATACTTATTCGACTATGTCGCGAATAGGGACATAGCTGCCGATGATCCTTGGCTAAGGGAGCTATGGGACTGGGTTGCCGGTATGTACTTTGCGCTTTATTGTCTTAATTCATTTCAAAAACTGATAATCTAGTAGGGGCTGATGATGCTGCCTCTGATATGGGAATGATATCGCAGGGCATCGACCTGAGTTATATGGGTGTTGCTAACATATGGACGCGTGATTTAGGTTGGTTATATAGCTGGCTTTCTTTTGAAAACACTAATTAATGGCTACGTAGGGTCTAATTTTTCAGTCAGACTTCTAGACGGTACTAGGACCCCAGATGCAGCAGCATGGGAGCGTTGTCTGCAAGAAATAAATAGGAAGTTAAAACAGCCAGTATACACTGGCGTTGAATCAAGGAAGCCACTACATCGCCAAGTTGCTACGTGGATTTGTGGATGGGGCAGGTCACCCGATACATACTTCAGTGACTATGCGAAGATGCTGTCCTCTGAGCGAAATTCATCATGGTATACGATGGCAACTGCTCATGCCCTCTTCGAAGGTGATTACGACAAAGCGGTGGGGATACTCAAGGGTGCCAGCACAGAGCACCCTGAGCTTTTGTTCGTCTCCTTGGCCCTACAACTCAAAAGCCAAGGGGATAGGAGCCCCGGCAAAGAACAGCTGGACTTCGACGACGCAGTTGCTTCTAAAACGGATCCCTACCTTCGCGCAATATCATCCCTTATCGCAACAAATAATTGGGAGATTATCGCAAACCAAGAATCCCTACCTCTCCGCGAGCGTACATTCGTGGCACTTCGATATTTCGACGACGAAAAACTTACGCAATGGCTCGACAAGGAGCTTAAGAAAGCGATCGATACGGGCGACATCGAAGGCATCGTACTTACTGGCATAACAGATAAGCTTGTCGACATATTTGCAAAATACATTGAGAAATTCAATGACGTCCAGACTGCCACTCTGGTCTTGTCAATCTGCTCACCGCGTTACATCAACGATTATCGGTGTCGTGTGTGGCGGAATGCATATAGAGCCCATCTTCAGCGACACAAGGCTTTTATACAGCGGACTAAGTTCGAGGTGGAAAGCACCAAGAAGAGCAAGCGAAGCGGCGTTCCTACTATCATGCCGCCGTCCCGACAGATCGCGCTACGCTGTGTATATTGCGACGCTGAATACGAACTTTCTAAGACGGGGGCAAACCCCCAGTCAATAGTTGCTGGTAAGGGATCAACGAACCCGCTGACGGCGGCCAACATCAACGCAGGAGTCAGTTGCCCAAACTGTGGGCGCCATCTCCCGCGCTGCGTTGTGTGCCTCGAGGTCGTGGGCGTCCCGCGCTCCGACAAGCCAGAGGCCTCGCCTGACCCCCAGGTCCGTGTCGCTGCCCGCTTCCCGACTTTCTGCCTCAAGTGCGAACATGTCCTACACCTCGACCACGCACGCCAGTGGTTCGCGAGACATGTCGAGTGTCCGGTTCCGGAGTGTAGGTGCCGCTGCAACTTTAGGGCGAATCCGGAGTTGAATTATCATTGAGCGGTCTTTTGTGTGGGTGGCTGTAAGGGGTTTAAGTCGAGAGCAGTGAATTATTGGCTGGTGTTTTATCTGTATGCCGTTACATGTCTACCTTACGGCTTCCTTTGGGCAGAAATGCTATACCGTTTGAGATAAGTCGGGGTCGTAGTAGGGTTACAATGTTTAGCATTAGACCAATGGTATCGTGCTTGGTTTCTCTTTAATGGACTCATATGCCACTACTCGTCCTTTAATCACATATGAATTGGCCTACTAAATTTTTTGAATGCATGTTCTTCGTGTAATAGCGTATCTCATCACCTTGCATGCATGTCCACCTACATAGACCGGTTGCTAATAGGCCTCTATTTAGAAGTTCCGTAGGTGGGTTTTCTAAGAACATGAAGCGCATAAGCGAAGCAACCTCTTGCCACCCACTATATCTTATCATTTAACCTTATAATTATCATTACTCGTAACCATCGTATAACCTAATATTGTACAGTCTCGATCTCGATCTAATCACACAACTCTCAGCAAGCTAGCTAGCAAGCAAACAAACACCCTCATGCCGCCAACTTCCAGAGCGGCACGTACGCCCGTGCGGCGGGGGTATCGTCGTCTTCGTCCTCGATCGCCTTGTTCATCCGCGTGATCCATTCGTTCTCCGCCCTCGCCGCGTCCCGCTCGATCTGCCCCATGACCGCCAGTTCGGCTAGCATATCGTCGACGAGCGTGCGGCTGCCGCGCACCATCCGCGCTAGCCCGGAGTCGGCTATGGAGTCATCATCGACGTCGCCGAGATCCCGTAGAGCGGCACGCCACCCTTCGAGCTTACGCAGTAGGCTTTCGCAGTCGCGCGCCCAGGTCCGGTCTAAGTCGCCTAGGAACTGTACTTCGTCGCCGGCGATTAGACCTTCGACGTCTCCGGAGCGCTGGGCTGCGATGATAGAGGCCATGCGCTCGGCCCAGACTTCGAAGTTGGCTACCACGCGCTGGTAGCGCCCGTCTGGCTCGCCGAGCTGCCAGACGCCGTTGAGGACTTCGTCTAGGATTTGGATTTTCTCTTCCAGCCCGAGCCCCGATCGATTGCTTTTGCCCCACCGCACAAGCGCCGCGATATTTCGGGCTTCGACACCGTGTCTCTCGAGCTTGATCAGGGCATCGTGGTCAGCGTTTAACCGCGCGAACCGAGCCCCCAGCTTCTGGCGCGCGCTATCGCGCCATTCGGAGTCTACAACGGCGGCGTCGCGGTGAAGGAGTGAGAGCTGTAGTAGTTCCGTCTGTAGACGGCTGGTCTCGGCGGAGATGGCAACGTTGGCGGGGAGCTTGGAGGGCGAGGGGGGCGCGAGAAAGGTGGATGTTAGGGGTTTTGGCGCGAGGGATTTGGCTGGGCTGTAGTGCTGCTGGTGTGTGTTGAACGCTGGGCGGCTGGTGGGTTGCTGCGAGGTAGAGGTAGAGGTAGATGTGGAGGGTTGGGATTGCGATTTCTTGCGCGTATGTGTCTGAGAGCGCGTCTGCCGTGTCGGGGCTTTCGAGCTTGCTGTTGTGATTGCGCTTGCGGCGGGGCTCGTGCGGCCCGAAGATGTAGATGATGTTTGGGATATCCGGGATTGAGTAGCAGGGCGGAGGGTTGTTGCGGCCGTGAGGCTCGTGACTGTGGATTTCGATCGCGAGTGTCCGATAGGTCGGTTAGAAGCTGTTGGAGGTGGACCGCCGGATGATCTCGGTCGGTTGACAGTTGTACTTGCGGAGCGGGTTGAGGGGATTGATCCTGCTGCTGTCGTTGACGAGGACGAAACTTGACGCGTAGACGATGCTCTGCCTAGAGGCCTGGGAGCTTTGGCTGCAGTATTCCCAGCATTATCTGGGCGTGCGGACGGAACCTTGCTATAAGTCCCCGAAGGAGGTCTCCCCGTAATAGTAGAACTTGCTATTCTTCGCGCGGTGGTAGTAGAGGAGGTTGTGGTATTCGACACCATGGATCGAGTCGTCATAGTAGGTTTCACCGGTAGTCTGCTAGGCGACGTGTTCCTAGCCTCGTTACGCGCCGAGGGTACATTTCCCCGTGATGATCCATTGCTCCCGGCAGTAGGTTTTTGAAGCGAGCGTGTGCGGCTTAAGCTGGTTGACGACGACATAGTGTTGGTCCTTAAGACAAAGTCTCTTTTTATGGGAATTGTTTGGAGTGTTGGTAGGAATCAGGGGTCTTTGTGCTATTGACCCGTGCACGCGACTAACAAGGTAAAGTTACCGAGAATTACAGTGGATGATATAGCGGACCCCACGGTTGATTCTGCTGTCAACCCCACTAAGTTTGAAGGCTATCGCATCGTTGGTTCCTCCACAGCTAGTCAAATGCCGTAATCCACTCTATCTCTCCTTCCTCATATATGACAACTACATACGCACCTACTATGTTACTCAAGCGTTTCAAAAGCCGTCATCAAACGATAAATGTAAATAGGAAGGAGTTATAGATTGAGCAAGGAAGGAAACTAAGTGTCACTCGGAGACTAAGACTAAGAAAGTCAAAAAGCAAGAAAAATATAGCTTGTCCACTCGTATTCATCTGCATCTACATAAGCTTAATTGCAATTGGTATCATCGTGAGGCTTCTAGCCAGGATTCCATTATATCCTTTCCCTTTTGCCTTTCCCTGCCCAAGCTCTTGTCGTACCCGTTATATACCAGTGCAAGGGAGGTATCATCGTACCATAAACGCCTATTTCTTGATGCAATTCCTTCCTTGCCGTCATCATCTATATGCCATTGCATTCACCGAATAATATCATTCGTTGTTTATTGATGCTTCTCAAGCATCAGGGCCAGTTTCCGTACTATACATATCCTGAGCATCGATGGAAGAATAATAATATGACCCCAGGTCTGAAGAAGAGTATTTGAAAAAGAGTATTTGAAGAAGAGTATGTGGTTGGTTGGTGAGTAGTCATGTGGACAGGAGATTAAGTGCTCGCTGCTTGTTTCCCTTTCTCGCGGCGCTGGTCAACTTCCATGTTGTCCATCAGTAACTTAAGGTCCGACTTATAAATGCCCATGAGTCGTTCATGACACCCGAAGCAAATGCGCAGATTGCACCATGAGCAGGTCTTACGCGAGCCCGCATCTTCAACACTACATGTCTGACAAGCCAATGGGTAATTCAAGTTCTTAACTGGTACCCATTTATCGTGGCGAACATAACAATTGTAATGTCGCGAAGATATAGGAGCAGCTCGCCAGACGGTATCGGCTGAAGGAGTGGTCAGGTTATAGTTCCTAGGGAAACGAGAGAGGGCCTCGTTGACTTGGGCTATCTGCTCTGCAGTCATATGTTCCACGGACTCGCCAATATCACTAAGTGCGCTCGCATCAACATCTCTTGAGATCTTGCGCATTGGTTTGCGACCACTCGAGTCTGGCGACAACGTGGGTTCGTTTAATGCCGTTACGACATTAAAGAGCTCAGGCTTCTTCATGGGTTCGACTGAATCCGATGGCAACATTAAAGGCATCGCAGCGGACGGACTTGATTGCGGTGAAGCTTTATATCTCATTGGCTCCTGAGCATTTTGAAGAGCTGAGGGAGAGCGCAGGGAAGAGTTGCTTTGAGATGGTCGTGGATATCGTGGAAGTCCAAGACTCGGTTGTCTCAGATCGGTCGAGCTCCCCTTCTTATGGACTTCCGGTTGATAGGGGGGCGCAGGAGCTCCGACCGCGCGGCGGGAAATTGTCGTTTCGGCGGACTCCTTTGAGGGGGTCTCCGACGATGGTCCGGGACGAATCGGCGCGTAAACTACGGTCTCGACTGAAATCTTTGGTGTCACAGATTCCTCGGCGAGAATCTGGTTTTTTACAGGGGGCGTAGGATTTATGCTAGTCTTATCCCCATACTGCACCTTAGGCTCCAGTTTCTTAAGGTGCTCAGCCTTCTCGACCGGCTCATCTTTAACTTTCACGGGGCCTTTAGCAGCCTCGCCTCGGCCCGTAAGCTCTTTGAGCTTTGCCGAAAGTTTGCGCATCTTGTCGTCTTGTTGCGGTTCTATTGGTTTTCCTGGTCGAATATTTCTTCCGGGTAGTGAGGCACCTCTAGGAGGTAATGGAGAAATGGTGTTATTATTTTGTGTGGGCGGTGGGGGCGGGAGAGGGTCTAGGCTGACTGGTTGTGCAGTGGATGCGGTAGATCCGTGGGAACCAGCTAATTTGAGCTCTGGGACGAGAAGGCCATGATCAGATTTTGATGATGCACGTCGCCGCCAGATCTCCCGTGGCTGAGGTGAGTCACCTACAAGGTCAGACGGCGACGCTGACACCGGCACCGACGGACCTCCATCATATACACCGGGTCGGGACACAGGGAATGCCGGAAATGGGTCTACGGGCCGGGTATGAGACGGCATACTCGGACGGAGCGGGTCCTTCAATGGCAGCGGCGGCGGCGGTACATCAGGTATCATCTCATCTCCATAAGGGTTACTTTGAAGAGCCGTCAGCGTCTTTGTTAACGACGGCTGGGCATCGTTTATTCCTTCTCGCTCTGGTGAATTGGATGGCTCGCTGTCCTTTGTGAATATACTGCCTTGCGACGACCTCTGAACAGAATCGGAAGATGTGTTCGAATATGCCGACAGCAGACTAGATATAGAAGAAACCCGCCTCATCTTCTTTGTCTGAACATCTGCAGCTGGGGCTGGGGCTGGGGCCAGGGCTGGATTTGCTGGTAGTCCTACCGGCTTCCTTGGGATCGACCTCGTCTGCGTTTGTAACTTCGGGGCCCCCATGATATTATTCCCCGGTAACGCAGGAAGAAGTGAGTTGAAGCTTGACTTTGGACTACTAATGCTCCTGGCACTAACACTATCCTTCCTGGGTGGAAATGGCGAGAAAACCGAAGGTAACGGTTCTTGAGGAACTATCCGCGGCCTCTCGTCCTCCAACTCAGGCGGAGGGGCAGGTAACGCTTTTGAAAAACGTGAACGACCCGACTTGGGGGCCTGAAGGGTAGGGCGTTCCATTACTACGTATTATCGGCTGAATTAGGGGTTTGATAGGAAGATGTAAGGAGGACGAAACCACATATGCTGTCATACCAACTTAATGAGATATGATGGTTCGCGTTGCTTACTCGTTTCGTCTGATAAGGTCGAGAAAGAAGAGACGGGGGTTGAGCAATCAGGGTTGCAGAAGAAAGAAGTGATATGCTGTTGAATGGGGTGGGTTCGCTAACCTTCTGTTAGGTAGTACCCTTGGCTTGATCCTGCTTTACGGCTTTGCGGAATGACAGCACTCTTGATGCAGGTACCACGCTCGAAGGATCCACGCGAGAGAATCTCGACGAGTCAAAAGGCAGAGGATCCCTGCTTGGATGGAGACCCCAACGTCCTTTTTACCTAGATTTTCCTGCAAGACTGCTGCGGAAACTGGCCAAGGGGGGAAGCAAGTTTAGAGATGGGCCAGGGGCGAGTCGGAGCTAGCCCTACAGATTTGTGGGAGGCCCGCTCGATCTGTTACGTATCGCTTACACTGCAATGTGCGAATTCTCTCGCCTCCCTTCAGAACAGGGCCGAACAACAAATCTGCATGGCTACTTACTTTAACCCCTCGTGGAGATGGATCCTTGAACGGACGTTTCAGCCACAAGAAGAACCCAAAGAAGAGGGTAGTCAACTTTAATTAACGGGACTAAGTGGAATCCATCATGTCTTTCCTTAATGTCGTTTTTCTCAACTAATTGACACCTCGACTACCTAGTGTTCACAATTAACACTGTTTAGGGTTTGAATGTTTGAATCAGTCGGATGAAAGCTATAGATAGGACTCGAACAACAAGTTTAGGTATGTTCGAAGATCCTTGCTACCTCATACAGGTACCGACGCTGATGCCTAGAGATTTCGAGAACATGTCTAATTTGCAAATCTCACCACTAGGCTAAAATGAGACTAGCCAGACACGCATGTCGAAGATGTGGTGTGCGCAAATCGCTCCAGCCACGATAGTCTATCGCTTATGATAGACTGTACGATAGATTGGAAGCAACCTGAGGCTGTGTCTTCAAGCAACTACGTGATAGGCAGTTGACTGCATACATACCTAGTACAAACGCGTCGAAATTCGTCCGATGTGGGCTAAACCGGGCTATGACAACTCGAGCATGGTTAATCCCGTCCCACGTACGGAGAGATTAGCCAGTAGGGGCTTCGACAAAAATCAATAGGTAGCATTATTTCCCGGCTTAGGGGCCCTATCAGAACTTCACGTGCAAGCGTCTCTGGAACTTCGGGAGAACCGGAGATTGGTAGTTGTGTTTTGCATTCCCGCTCCCTTGTAGTCTATGTGAGGTTGTTTCGGGAGTTGTGATCGAGTTTCCGTGTCCACTAAACCATCAAGCCGGTGTGATGGACATATCCCATATGCTAGGTCTGATCTTAATTGTAAGCCGAGTTGATAATGAACTAACAATGCTATTTAGGTTTTATTTATTCCTAATCAGCTCACAATCCACTGTTTTAAGCAGTGAAATATATGAGGCCCCTACCGAGAGACAGTCTCTCAGATACCCTGTGTCTTAAAACCAGGTATGACACTGTATTCATCCGAGATGATGCAGCACAAATCCCATAGACCTGGATTTCAATCTGCAGAAATCAAGCCCATACGAACGCGACACGGCAACGTGCATTGGTTAGCTCTCGGGTTCCTCGTTGGTAACCAGTTATCATGCAGTTCTAGAGAGCACTGCATCTAACACCGGTATACTATTATCGTAATGTTAATCAAACAGCGAATCTATCAATTCACTTCTGTTTCGGAGATAAAGGGGAAAATGAGTAGACATACAGCCCTTGACTAAAATTAGCTCAACTACCACAATGCAGATCAGATGTAAGACATCAGCCATTGATATATGATTCGATATATGATTTAATCCTCGAGTCGTCTGAAGAAGTCATCTACTATGCGAATAGTTTACGGTCTATAAAATGGGGATTCGGCGGGTCGTTGGCGATTGCGGGCGAACGTTATCTCGTGAGGGCCGGACAGCGCGTCCCCATGCCGATAGATTAGCAATCATTGCAGGATTCTCCAATTGCGTGATAGTAGATATGCAGACCGCTACCAACCGCTTGAAGCTCGCCTTTGTTCGTAATCTCTACCTCCCGTCTGGGGAAATAGTGCATGTGAGCTCGAAGAAGTCCAATTCACTACGGTTTGTTCATCGAACCCGGAGGGAACAAAAAGTTGGCTCTTTCTTTGTCGATATATACTCAGATCTGCATAAAATCATCTAGGTTTCAGATCAATGTCTTCCGAAAACATCACCCCTGGCCATGCCGAAGGGGCCGCAGAGACGACACCTCTGCTAAAGAAAAATGTTTCCGTCGTTAGCGTCTCGGCTCAGAGTCGGTCTAACGGCACGTTTTCGAGCTCGAGCAACTCCGTCGCAGACGACTTCCCGGAGAATGACGTGGAAAACGGCCGGCCCAACGGCGCCGCGCCGAACGGGGATGCGCCGAAGTTGAAAGTAAACATGAAGGCGCTACTGCCGGCGCTTGCTATTGGTGTAAGTGAGCACCTCTAGGAGGTCCTATTGTTATGAATATTCATACCGAATGAGTTTACAAATGCTAATAGTAATAGATCTTCATGGTGGCGGTGGACCAGACCTTAACCATCGCCTCCTATGGCAAGATGGGCAGCGACCTCAATGCCCTTAACTCGACGAGCTGGATCTCCACCTCGTACTTCCTGACGCTGACGGTGTTCCAGCCCTTATATGGGCGGTTGTCTGACATATTCGGCCGCAAGGAATGTCTGCTATTTGGGTACGCCGTCTTTGGGCTTGCTTGCCTCGGCTGTGGGCTGTCCCGGGACATCGTCGAGCTGTGCGTGGCCCGCGCTATAGCCGGCATCGGGGGTGGCGGTATGAACGCCGTTGTGACTATCCTCGTCACGGACCTTGTGTCCCTTAGGGACCGGGGCCTCTTTCAGGGATACATTAACGTCGTGTACACTGCAGGCAGTATGTTACACTGAGAATTCCTATTTTTTTTTTCCCCTCTCCCCCTTTTAGATCTGTCTCGGGTGCCAGCATTCCCTCATCGAGCTGAATAGATTGTACTGCGCCCGAGACATAGCTGAAATTACCACACGCCTTTCTGAAAGAAGTAATTATTGATTCTCCTTGTTACAGTGGTCTCCGGCGCACCAATCGGTGGGCTCATCGCCGACACTATCGGCTGGCGGTGGGCGTTCGCGGGCCAGTTCCCGCTGTCGCTAGTCGCGTGGCTAGCCGTATTCTTCGTCCTCGACGTACCCAAGACGGACCACGCGCACTGGACACACAAGGTTCTACGTATCGACTTTCTAGGGGCCTTTACGCTGGCCTCGGCCGTGTTCACGTTACTATTCGGCCTCGACAACGGCAGCAACGAGGGCTGGAACCAGCGAATCACCATTATCCCCCTGGCGCTGACACCGCTCCTCTTCGCGCTATTCCTCTTCATCGAGGTCAAAGTCGCGTCGGTGCCGTTTGCGCCAGGCCATATCATCCTCGACCCGCCGCTGTTGGCGGTGTACTTAGCCAACATGTTTGGCGTTGCCTCGCAGATGGGCGTCTCGTTCTTCATCGCGCTGTTCTTCCAGGCTGCCGTGGGCCTCTCGGCAACGTACTCCGGCCTCATGTTCATACCCAGCACGTTCTTTGGGCTCACGGGCTCGCTGGGCGGCGGGATTCTCATGCGCCGGACGGGCAAGTATTACTGGATTACGGTCATCGGGTATGCCTTGATAGTACTCGGCATAGCACCCTCTGCGTCGTTCTCAGGCGCGGTGGTGAAGTCGACAGTGGGTGTTATCGCAGGTCTCTGTGTCATGGCGCTTGGGTCTGGTTCTTGTATGTCTCGTCTTTCTCTGCCTCCGATCTATTTCTCCCTTATGTCTTATGAAAGCCCCTTGATAAATAGATGCACCTCTCGTAACGAAACGAAAGAGGTGCGAGAAAAGGGGAATGATAGAATGCTAACATGCCCGCCTAGCAATTACCAGCTCGCTCATTGCCATAATCGCCAATGCGGACCCTACCGACTCGGCCGTAGCCATTGCATGCTCGTACCTATTCCGGTCCCTGGGCACGACGCTCGGAGTTAGTATTTCCACGGCGGTCCTGCAGCAAGTCCTACGCACGGAGTTAGCCGCGGAGCTCGGCGGCGACGGCGACAAGGCGCGCGAGATCGAGGAGGGCGTGCGCCAGAGCCTCGACTACATCCGGACCCTGGATCCGGCGATCGCTGAGATAGTGCGGGCCTGCTACGCCGTTGCTGTGCAGTGGGCTTTCATACCAGTTGCTCTTTTGGCTACGGGCGCACTGGTTTCATCCATCTTCATTAAGGAGAAGAAGCTTGAGGGGCGGTAGGTACGTACTTGTTCGGGCTCCTTTGGGTTAACTTGGAAGACGGAGGTGAGGACGTGGGTGAGGAGAAAATAAAAGGGGGTTGGCTGGATACCTTATACCCCCTATAAGCTTATACATATGTGGTAGGTAGTCCAGGATGAGATAAGATTGTATATGACCAAACCACGGCTTAATGATTCGGTAGTCAGGCGCAGGCCGAAATAACCAGCTGTTATTATGGCATATACGCCGTCTTTGAGTGCATGTGTTGCGCAACTGTACCGGTCCGCTCGTTGCCGTAGAAAGTTGCTCGGTAGGTTACCTACCTACCTACCTACCTACCTAGAATCAAAAACCAGGCAGCAATATAATTCCTAACAACAGAATCACAAGTATCAAACAATAAAACTAAAGGCCCGGTGGTGTAGTGGTCGCACATTCCATCATTACGCGCTTCTGAGAAATGAACTTGGATGAGATGTCGAGGTTGGAAAGGCCTTGGGTTCAAATCCCATCCGGGCCTAGATTTAATTTTTTGTTGCTATTTCCTCTTCTCTTTCTACATGAAGGTATATATAATTACGACTTTATTTATTTCTAGGATCGTTTTATTTTGAGCTCTAATATATCTCGAAAGCCACATGTAAACATCCACGGGGTTGGTTAGGTATAAGGTCAATTTTGGGATGAGAGCTACTATCGGGGTCTCAACGACGAGGTAGGGATATTCTTTCCTCTATAAGTGGTTTGTAGTCTCTATTAGTCCAACTAGAACAGTGACGAGTATACATAAGGACCTGGATCGTATTGAAGGCCTGGATTCTCGTTTCACTTACTGATTATAGACCGTCTCTTTTATGTATTGATATTGACGTTCCAGTGGTGAAGGTAGCTGTAGATCCCCTATTCACATCGGTAACGAATAGTAAAAATTTAAGCATCAAGATTTAAGTGGTACATTAATCTCATCAATACGCGAGGAAACGCACATATTCTTCACCTGCTCATATTTCTGAGTATCTTAGCAATTGTATGAAATAGAAAGCAAACCAAAAATTACGCGCAACAACCAGGCGGCACCAGCATGAAGCATACCAACGCAAGTTCGTATAAAGCAAAGTCATAGCAAGTAATCGTGGTAAAGTGTAATCAGTATTCCAAACCCCCTCGACCAAGAAAAAGGTCCAAGATAGATGAGGGGGTAGGTATGTCACTTCTCTAACTAATTCGTGCTTGGTATCAGATCCCTTCCCGAGAGATGTATGTCCCATCACACCTCGTCGTATGATAATGCAATAAAACCCGTACGTCTTATGCTCGTAAGAACCATCCATTCATTGCCAGTCTACATAGATTAAGTCGTGAATCGAAGAAGACAGCACTAATTACTCGCTTGCGGACCTCAAGAGACGCCTCCTAGCTTTTCTTTCGCCTGCCGTAATCTAGCCCCAGCTCGTTTAGCCATGACCGGTTGTATATCTCCCTTACGCCCACCCCACGGAACTCTATAGGAATCCACGTCGCGGGAAGCTGACACCTTCTACGGCGGCGCTGTCCGTAAACCAACTACATCGCTCGCCGGTTGCTTCGTTGACGAGTGCGCACGGAAGCCCGTTTCCTTGCTCGAATATTTCCTTCATGATCTTCTTCTTTTCAGCGCCCGTGGCGACAAAGGCGACCTTGACGGCGTGTGTGACGACGGGTAGTGTTAATGTGATCCGTCGAGGCGGCGGCTTAGGTGAGTCGTCGATGGGTGCTACCCATGCGTCTGTCTCGCGAAGAAGGGGGTGGCCTGGAAATAGACTGCAAGTGTGACCATCTGGGCCGCAGCCAAGGAGTAGTAGGTCGAAGATGGGTAGCTTGACCGAGTCGCCCTTAGCAAAGGAGTTGACGAGTATTTTTTCATACTGATCAGCCAGCTCCTGCGTGTCATCTAGGTATTGTGTGTCGATCGGGTGTATGGTAGGCTGGCCCAGCTCGGTTGGGATCTTGTCCAGCAGCTCCTTCTTAACCAAACCATAATTGCTGTCTTCATGATCTAGAGGTACAGCTCTCTCGTCGGCGAAGAATATTTCCCACTTGTCGAATTTGACCTTGTCTTCGTTAGATTTCGGTTGCGCAAGGAGGGCCTTGGCGAGGGTCTGGGGTAGCGAGCCGCCCGAAATGGCGACTTTGAAGACGCCATGACGTGTGATGCCAGCATTTTGACATGTGATGATGTAGGATCGCAGGGCGGGCGCAAGAGCTTCAACGTCGCTAAAAGCGAACAAATTGGGTTGCTTTCCCGGCATGATGGTGTACTATTGGTATGCGACTCTGAATACGTAGTGCTTGTGAGGGTAGGTATAAATGCGGGATGTGGAATATGGGATATGGGATATGGGATATGAATGTGGTAAGTCGGTGTAAGCCGGTGAGGCGAAATTCTTTAATTTAAGAAACTATGAGTTATTTGCGGAAGATGATGATGATAGTGGGGTAGGTCATGTAAGGTAAGGTAACTTTCACGAGTGATTTTTAGGGAAATTTAGGGAAACAATTACCACCCAAACTTATATTAAGAGCCTCAGGTAAGGTATCGGTTAAATATCGATAAGGTACCTAAATACCTAGGTAGATAAACATCACACCACGACAATCATTGGAAAGTCTTGGGTGTATGTGAATTCTTAAGTAATTGTTTGTTCCTTGATCCCTACGATGCTAGATTGGTGGACTGGTAGACTGGTAGACTGGTAGACTGGTAGACTGGTAGACTGGTAGACTGGTAGACTGGTAGACTGGTAGACTAGTAGACTGGGGAGTTGACGATATCGTTTTGATACGGTTACACATGTATCTTGCGTTGGCAGTGTCCACTCGCCATTAAGAATCAATGCGCTAGGAACCTTGGCGTTGAGCCACCGGCCGTTTTGTAATGGGCTGATAGGTCTGGGTCGGCTGGTTATAAAAAGTTGCAAGACTTAAACTTTGAGATATGAGAGATATCAAATACTGGCTTAGTATCAGAAGGCAGTGTATAATGTTTACAGTGGTATCAAGAGATAAATAGAGAGGCAACGAGGGCTCTGCCTATCCTATCTATTCCTATTCACATGTAGGGATGGAGATGGGGATGGGTATATGGAAGGTTGCAGATTAGGTTGTTGTGTCAACGTTCGGTGTTTTTTGCGAAAGGATAAAAAAGAAAAGGAAAAAAATAGATGGAGGGGTTATTCAATGATTGACGTAGGGCTTACTGATCTTGGATAACCAGAGGGGCGGGACAAGGAGTTGCCTTGTAGATAAGCGGGCTCTATTCCGTAGATGGGTGGGCAAGTGGGGGGTTTCTGCGCAACATTAGAATGGAGCCAATGCGGGGCCAACTTCCCAAGATGTTGCGTCTTATGAATTCTGCATTGCTGCATTGCTGCATTGCTGCAAGGACCCCGCCGACCAAAACCAATCCGTTTCCTCTTGCTTATCCTATCTACGTTAGGTACATAGTAGTAGACGAAATGTTATCAGGTCGATGATGCTCGCGATGATGGATTCTCTTCGATGGCTTTCGAAGGTTTGGAATTTAACACCGTTTTCGGTTAGTCTGGATCGCGTAACACGGCACTTCCTTTGATCGTTTTCCTTTGATCGTTTTCCTTTGATCGTTAAGTATTCTTTCATAATACACTAGGTACATCCCCGAGTTCCGTGCATTTACCTAGGTTAGGTAATTATTCATCTCACAAAGGTTCTACCTTGTCCAACATCCTATCATCTAATCCTAGCCTACCTAATCAAGGTAGTACGAGATAGACATACCAATATCGCCGAAGAAACAAGTTGACAAGTCATCTTCACTGCCGGTGTAGGGTAGGTATGATCGGAAGCTCTGTCGAATCGCAACCCTCACGATTCACTACATTTTCGTCGCAACCATAGAACAATAGGTCTTGGGTATGATTACACATGCGACCTTACCGGCAGTTCCAGGCACAGTCTGCACACGTTCTACACGGGTAAGGTTCCAATGCAGCACGAACATAGCACTCGATCTTATATCTGCGACTTGTGACGTTAGCTGCCCTAGCGTGTATAAGTAAGACTTAAGTATATACATGACGGAAAGGTGCGGCAACGGTGATGAGTATAAATCTTATAGTTCTCGAGCATTTGGCTTGGTATAATCGAAAAATTAGCATTAGGCTCTCATTCCGAATCGTGCATAATAGAAGCCATCGGCATGGTAATGTTACGTACAGTTTACAGATCCGGATTATCGGGCGTACCTCGCGGTTAATGTATAGCCCGTTACATAGTGTAGTCCTTATTCCGTTAGACTTTGGTAGAAAAAGAAATCCGAGTAAGTAGATCTCAAGAGATATGTGTCGATATTTTGATATGTAAATGTAAGAAATAAAAATATTGACAATGGTCTTCACGAGAGAACACATACCTAGGTATACTAAGTTGACATTTTATCCGTTCTAAGGGCCGGGCGCGATGAGTACCTAAGTGCCGAGAACGGACGGTGATTGAACCAAAAGCCGCGGCTGCTCTGATATGAAGTAAACCGTCTTAAAACTTCACTCTTACAACTACTTTATACGACAAATAGATCGCGACGACAACAACTGCCATTGAACAACAACCGGTAATATAGATCTGTTGCATTTTCTGAAGCTTTCTGATATAAAAAATGCCGCAAACACCCAAGTACCTGACGGGTGATTCAGCCGCTATAAATGAGTTTCTCGATAAGTTTGACGTGCGTCATTTTAACCTGAGTCGCCACCCTTCATAACACAAAGTCTTACACAAAGTCTTACTTTCTATACAGGTTTTCCTACTCGATTGCGATGGTTAGAATAAACGGCCAAGCTTCGAAAGGACCAGATGGCTGAAATCTTACAGGAGTCCTATGGTCTGGGGACAACGTCTTCGAGGGCATCGTCGAGACGCTGGAGATGCTAAGATCCAGGGGTAAGCTATGCTAGACCTAACAAAACTACAAAATATACACGTATGTATACCACAAACTAAACTGGAGTAGGAAAACGGATTGTATTCGTTACCAATAATTCTACAAAAGACCGGCCGAGCTATCAACAGAAGCTGACGGGCTTGGGAATCCCTAGTAATGTTGAGGAGATATTCGGCTCGTCTTACTCGGCCGCGGTATATATCTCACGCATCTTGAAGCTACCGGCACCTAAGAACAAGGTCTTCATCATCGGCGAGAGCGGCATGGAGTCCGAGCTGCGTACCGAGGGTGTACCCTTCATCGGTGGCACAGACCCGGCCTTAAGACGAGATATTACGCCTGAGGACTTCAAGGGGCTGGCCGACGGCTCTCTATTGGATCCGGATGTCGGTATTGTACTTGCCGGGCTGGATTTCCACATTAACTATCTCAAGCTATCTATGGCCTACCAGTATATACGACGAGGTGCCAAGTTCATCGCGACAAACCTCGACAACTTGCTACCTATGGGCGACACCTTCTTCCCCGGCGCCGGTTCTATTTCCATCCCACTGGTCAACATGACCGGGCAGACACCCTTGACCTTGGGGAAGCCTAGCCAGGCCATGATGGATGCGATCGAAGGGAAGTTCCAGTTGGACCGGGCGCGGACTTGCATGGTCGGCGATAGGTTGAATACCGATATCCAATTCGGTGTCGAGGGCAAGCTGGGCGGGACTCTACATGTGCTCACTGGTGTTCACAAGCGGGAGGATTGGGAGGCCGAGAATGCCGTGGCCGTCCCCGCCTACTATGCCGATAAGCTGAGCGATCTCCGAGGTGCGACGTCATGATGAGATGCACTTTGTCCCTCTCATGTCCCATGCTATTCATAATTTATTTAGACTTAGATTTGATTGCTTAGCATAATACTACAGAGTCTACCTAAGGTATAGACAGACAGATAGAAACTACAAATTTCGGAGATACTATCGGGAATTCTTCGAATCATGGTACTCCATCTACTCTAAGCTTCGGCACAATGCTGTCGACCAGCGGCGAGCAGACTAAACCGAGTTCTCCAACAGCTCTCCGAAATCGCATGCCCCCATTGGATAAGGGAAATACGGCTCGATGTGCCGATTTCCCCGCGTAACTATTCAGCTACCCCAATGGAGAGGGGGTTAGTATATGTGTATTGATTCGACGGCTATCGTCACTCGTGATGGAGCTTGACAGGCTACTATTCGTTGGCAAGTATATATTTAAGAATATGGTAGGATACTGTGATATGAGTATATTCTTGATTCCGAACCTATTTCATTTACTTCCATATATGTCTACCTAGGTGATCTAGATACCTTAGGCATATACTAATACAGGTCGTCTTAACTATATGTAGATATCTCGAGATAAAACTACTGCCAGGGCCTAATAAATTAACGTCCTCTCATCCCTATCCTAAGAGTTGCACAACCAGCCATGGCATCGCCACCCACCCCCCTAACACAAGAGCAGAAGGACTTCTTCCTCGCGAACGGCCACCTCAAGCTAAGCAACTGCTTCACGCACGAGCAAGCCGCCTCCGTAACCGAGGGGGTATGGACGCGCCTGGGCATGTCGCCGACAGACAAGTCGACATGGACCAAGGAGAAAACCAACATGCCGTCGCACCGGACCTTCGACTGCGCCGAGTTTGCGCCGAAGGCGTGGCACGCGATCTGCGAGCTGTGCGGCGGCGAGGACCGCGTTAACCCTGAATCCCGGCATTGGCGGGACTCGCTGATCGTTAACTTGGGCACGGCGGAAGGGGAGGGCAGGCCGGTCCCGCCTAAGGAGCTGACGAATTGGCATGTCGATGGCGATTTCTTCGTGCATTACCTGGATAGTCCCGAGCAGGCGCTGCTTGTGATCCCGCTGTTTACGGATATTGTTTCGGAGGGAGGTGGTACGATGCTTTGCCCGCCGGCTATCAATCGGGTTGCGAAGCATCTGTACGAGCACCCAGTATGTGGCCTTGCGTAGTATTTGCCTCTTCGTCCCCTTTTCTTTTTAAACCAGTTTTAGAGAGTCAGAACTCTTAACTCTCTCACCAATCTACCTTAGGTACTGAGATAAGAGGCACTTAAGCGCAATGCTGATTTGTATATCATCACAGGAAGGCGTATCACCGCGCATGGTACCCCGAGCGCACCCGGATTTCCCGCGCGAGAAGAACCTAGAGTGGTACATCGACATCGCGCAAGACTGTGCGGACACCGACTTCGTCGAGGCTATGGGCGTCGTAGGCGACGTGTACCTACTCCACCCCCTAATGATGCACAGCGCAACAAGCAACGCGCGGCGCGCCGTGCGCATCATTACGAACCCCCCGGTCAGCATCCGGGAGCCGTTCCGCTTCGACAGACCGAGTGCCGAGGAGTACAGCCTCGTAGAGCAGAAGACCATGGCGGCGGTGGGCGGCCCGGAGAAGTTGAAGGGGTGGAAGATCACGACGCCGAGGGAACGGGTGGTCCCGGAAAGAGTGCGAATTCAGGAGGCGATGAAGCGGGAGGAGTTGCGTAGGTTGGAGGAGGAGCGGAGGCTAGGACAGGGAAAGGTTGCTGTTGCTGCGGCTTGATGGGATGATGAGGTGAGGGTGTATAAGGGGGTATCGTGTATAACGAGGATTAATGAAGAACCAAAATTGTGTATTGGCTTCTAATGTTAAGACTAGAATGTAGCCCCTTTTATGATTCGCATGATACTAGTTAGGATTATCTTCGTTTCGACGTAAGTATCCTTGATTATTACCTCTCATGACATGACTTTACTAGAGCTCGCTGCTGAGATTGTTTCGATAGGGGGCGTGTCTTATACGACTCTTATATTGTTGTCGTCGGAACTCATATTCCTGTCTCGATTGAGCACTATGGTTATGATTGTTAATTCTAACATATTAATAAATATATATTATATGACAAGGCCTAAGAGTATTAAGGTATGGATAATCAGACATGGTGCACATTATTGAGTAGTTGTTTGCATAGAGAAAGTAAAGGGGCCTAGACAGATTTGCAAGCGATACTAAAACTCTGAAAAAATAATTGTTAGCAACCCCAACTCGCCTCAAAATATTCACCTTCAAACTTGTTTGAACTGGAACCTAATATCTGGCCCTATTTCTACTTTGACAAAAAATAATACCACTCATTTTGATCACCAAAATCCCTAATAAAACACAAGGAAAGAAAACTGCAAATGTCCAACCCCTCACCCTCCGCAGCCATGCTTCCCCCGGAGCTAACCCTCATCGTGGCCGCCACACGCACCATGGGCATCGGCCGCAGCGGCACACTCCCATGGACCGGCCTCAAGAAAGAAATGGCGTACTTTGCGCGCGTGACAAAGCGCATACCACCACCACCTTCATCTCCATCTCCATCTTCAGGTTCTCCTGCGCTGAACGCCGTCATCATGGGCCGCAAGACCTGGGACAGCATACCACCTAAATTCCAGCCGCTAAAGGGACGTCTCAATATCGTCATCAGCCGATCGCATACCAGCTCTGAACAGGAGACGGCGGTAGCAGCAGACGAAGGTCCGATAAGAGTAAACTCGCTGGAGCAAGCGCTCGCGCACCTCAAGGCCGCTAGTATTGGTCGGGCGTTCGTCATCGGTGGCGCGCAGATCTACGGAGCGGCGCTGGGACTTAAGGAGACGCGGCGCGTGTTATTGACGAGGGTGTTGTCGCCGGATTTTGAGTGCGACACGTTCTTCCCTCTTGGCCTTCGGGAAGACAGGGTCGATCGGGGCAACAATGGCTGGGTAAAGAGATCTAAGGAGGAGCTGGATGCTTGGACTGGGGAGACGGTGCCTGAAGGCGCGCAAGAGGAGAATGGGACGCAGTATGAGTTTGAGATGTGGGAGCGGGTTGATTGAGTTGACTTATGTCTACCTTTACTGTCTGGTATATATATGTACATGAGGAAATCTCGCTACGAGATCACTTTTAACTTCTATTTTTACTGCGCGCAAGATAATATTGCGCAAAGCCCTATGCCAGACTAACTTTTCACCTCCATATAACGTGCCGTCATTATAATCCTTAACCTATCTAGCACCTATCATACACCCTCCCGAGCCTTACACGGCTACCTTCTGCACCGGCGGCGTTTCCTGCACCAGTTGCCCGTCGAGTTCCCTTGTGGGCTTATCGACGAGCATGAGCTCGTTCTTGGCGCGCCACTTGAAGACGGCCTCGGTCTGGTAGTGCAGGGCCTCGTCGGGGATCTGATCGAGCATCTTGAGACACAGCCGCATCCAACTGACGACGGCGGCTAGCGAGCGCACGTCGATGTCCTCGCGGGCTTTGAACACGTTGCGCCAGACGGCGGCGGCGAGTACGGCATCCCCTTTTATGACGCCCTCGTCGTATGCGGCGATCACCCCGCGCCACTGCACGAAGAGATCTTTAAGGTAGCGGTGTCGCAGCCCGCGCGAGGTGATTCCGTGGGTTAGGTCCATGCGCTCCTCGGCGTTGAAGAAGAAGTGGTCTGTAAGCTGTCGCTGCCACGACCGCGCCGCGTCCGGTTCGAGGTCGCGTAGTCGAGCGAATACTAGGTATAGGTGTAGCATCGTGATCTGCGACCATGTGCTGAAAGTCGGGGCGAGCTTGAAATCTAGAGGATGAGAGGTAAGGGTTTAGCTAAATGACCAGATTGATGACCTGAAGACCTGGCCGTAGGAAGAATAAAAGCATCAATTACCTTCATGCCACATCGTCTTTCCTTCTCCTATATCCTCGCCCTCCGCCGTCTTAGTTATCGTGCCCGCCTTCCTGTCCTTATCGGGGATGGTATAGTCTGCCTCGCGAGCGCAGGTTTTGTATATATTCTCGGTAGCATTGATGATACGATACGGCTCGGCCGTGCTTTGGAATACCTTAGCAATGGTCTCGCGAATATTTATGGCTGGCTGGTTGGGAGTGCTTTTGAAGCTTCGTCTCTGGCCGGATTGGGAGCCGACAACTGGGGCGATAAGCCGCTGTGCTGTAGCAGCATTTTGGATCTCTGCAATCGAGCCAGCTTGACGGGTTAGCAGCATAAGCTGCCGTCTGCATGTTCTACACGCCATTTGCTACCGTGCTGTAAAGGGGTAGGAAGTTGTCGTTGGGAAGGGCATTGATTCCCTGGGTTCGGTAGTCTGAGTTGTCGAGTGTCGATTCACGTCATTGACATGGGCACGTCAGAGACATAGAGAAAAAAAAAAAAAAAGAAAAAAACTGCGTGAAGCTTGGACCCCTGCTCGATTCTGAGATCTACAACAAGGATCTAGATCTACATAGTACAGGTACAAATGTACTTCTAGATTATAATCATTCAATACATATCTAAAGATTAGTAATATTTTGATACAAGTGTGGAAATATATTATATACTCGTCATGTTTTTTATAACCTTTGTACGTCATTATATTTACACAGAATAATAATACAATAGCTGAGTTTTCTAGATAGTCGACTTAGTCGAGTTGAGAGAAGACTAACGTCGCGTTGGTGCCTCCGAAGCCGAAACTATTCGAGAGAGCAACATTAATCTTCTTCTCCTGGGCTTCAAGAGGTACAAAGTTGAATTTAGGCTCAACATTAGGTTCCGTTAGATTCAATGTAGGAGGGAGAATGTTCTATTAACGAATCAGTTAAGGGTGCTTGCTGTGAAACTTAAGATCGCGATTTGAAAACTTACTTCGACAATGGCCAAGATGGTGAAAACCGCTTCTATTGCGCCGGCAGCCCCAAGAAGATGCCCAATAGATCCCTTGGTACTACTGACGGAAATTTGGCCCTCATTAGAATGTCCTTCCTCTCCTGCCATCAATGAACGGATCGCAAGGGCTTCCGCCACGTCGCCAACAGAAGTACTAGTCGCGTGCGCATTAATATAGTCGACTTGACGAGGTTTGATTCCGGCATGCTTTAATGCCTTCTTCATAGAGAGGTATGCCCCTGATCCATCTTCGCGAGGAGCTGTCATGTGATGCGCATCACCACTAGACCCATACCCCTTTAATTCGGCATATATGCGAGCACCCCTTGATTTGGCATGCTCCAGTTCCTCTAAAACAATAACAGCTGCGCCTTCAGCAACTACAAATCCGTCCCGCTGAATATCGAACGGCCGACAGCTTGAGGGTGGATCGTGGTTGAAAGCAGTGGATAAAGAACGCGACCTCCCGAATCCCGCGAAGGTTAGAGGGTGAATACAGGACTCTGACCCCCCTGCAACCATAACGTCGGCATCTCCAAATGCAATGAAGCGCGAGGCATCTCCGATGGAATGTGCCCCTGTGGTGCAAGCTGTAGTTACGGCATGATTAGGGCCCTGGAACCCGTATCTCATTGCAATATGCCCTGCCGCTAGATTGATGAGGATCTTCGGTACGAAGAGAGGAGATACCTTCTTGTAGCCCTACCTTGAAGATTTAGTAAATATTGAATTATTAAAATGTGGTGCATGTGATCTCACATCTCGTTCATACACAACACTAGTGTTGTAAATTTCATCCAAATTTCCGATGCCACTTCCTAGACAGACGCCGGTCGATTCCAAATCTTCCCGCCTGTTTGGTTTCCATGCGGCATCCTCGAGAGCCATCTCTGCTGCGGCCATCGCATATTGAGTGAAGGTGGACATGCGCCGTTGATCCGAAACCGTCAACCAGTCATTGGGGCACCACTGGTTTTCACCAGTACCTGACTTTGGAACGATCCCAGCCACGGTGCTCGTAAGCTCCCGCCATCGTTTCTGCGGTTCGAAGTCCGCAACACTAACGATGCCCGAATGCCCAGCGATTAGTCTATTCCATGTATGCCGAATACCTACGCCAAGGGGTGTGATGGCGCCGAGGCCTGTGACAACAACTCGGCGCATTCTTTGCCATAGCCAGGAATGCCTGAGCTGGATTTATATGTAAAGGTTAGATTTGCTTACTCGTAGTTGCAATTTATGAATATTAAGAAATTAAAAGGTACCTAATGAGCCAAATCACGCAGCTATGAAGTTAACCGATTTTCTTCCATTGGTGGAAAAGATACCTTGGCTTTTCTCTATCCCCCCCCCCCCCCCCACCCGGTGCTCCAAATATGTACCTAAGTACCTGCCTAACGTAACGCAATTCTGCAATGGGGATGCAGGCTGGCAGGAAGAAGTATTATTTTATGCAGGCAAAGATCGATCAATGATCCCAGCTCCCAGGTTATGCCACGCGGCAGTTAGCTAAATTTAGTTTTAAAATAACAATCAACCCAGTAACTTACTCAGAACTACGCATCATCATCACCTTTCATACTTTCGCAGAATTACAGGAGACGGTAGCGATTTTAAAGAAGCATACCGGATATTCGAATTATAGTACCATACATTCCAATTGATGCATTCGAAGGCGTATGTGTATAAGCTTGTAGACGAATGAAGGTTTGAACACGTTTCGAGCGTCCAGCTTCAAAGATTGATAGCTTAGACAAACGCCAATTGGCTACCTCGGAGCTAAGCGGAATCGTACCGTACAAATCTTCGGTTTTATCATTTTCGGGCCTCTCTATTTCACTTTTCATCCATCTTAACACTATTAGATTACCGGACAATGTCTTCTTAGAGGCAATCAACTTATGGCTCGCCACTGTGTTTTAGCAAACACGGATAACCCGTGGCAATCATATTTCAGGGGTAGTATCCTCAATGATACCTTATATAGTATCAACACCCGTTTAACTTAGAGGGTCAAGACGTGATCTTGCGGCTTTAGGGACCGGTTTCCTACTAAGCTACCTTCAACTTCTAACTTACGGAATGGGCGACACCCGCTCTTCACAGCCGTCTGGAACGGCTAATAAGGAGAGGATGGAAGAAGACGATCATATCTCGGAATATGGATCCGATCTCGATGAGACCTCTGGTGAGATGAGACATCGAGCGAGAAAGTCCGAGGAACGCTCCCATAGGGCTCCAAGAAATGGTGCTGCCAAAGACCCAAAACGCCAAATCCCTGAATGGACTGAGTCTAGTGACCGAAACGACAATAACTATGAGGAGGGCGAAGAATATGAGCACTTGCTGGATCCCAACCTCCCAGACGAAGAGACTATTGAGTTACGTCGAATGGATTCGGGGAGTCTAGCATCGTTCGACGATGAAACTGCCTCTAAAGCAGGCGAAGAAAACTCGCCGTATGAAGAGGTCCGAGCTGCAGTACGCAACTATGATGAAGATCTTCCATGCAATACTCTTCGAGCCTGGTCGATTGGGTTGGCCTTGGTTTTTGTTGGCGCATCAATGAACACCCTCTTCTCGCTGAGACAGCCCTCAATCGGACTGGGTGCTCTCATCGCCCAAATCATCGCCTGGCCACTTGGTCGTGCTTGGGAGAAAGTCGTGCCCGACCGCCAAATTAGGATATTTGGCCTAGGATGCGACTTAAACCCGGGACCTTTCAACATAAAAGAGCACTCTATTATCGTTGTCATGGCATCCGTATCCTTCTCTGTAGCTTATGCTACTGATATTATTCTTGCGCAGCTGGTGTTCTACAAGCAAAATTTCGGCATAATATTTCAACTTGTCTTGACCATCTCAACGCAATCTCTTGGGTACGGGATTGCGGGCATGATGCGGAAATTTCTAGGTGAGTTTAGGCGAGGGTTATAAATTATCGTTGGTACTAACGCTTCTCAGTGTATCCTGCCTCCATGATCTGGCCTGGTAATTTAGTCGCCGTTGCTCTAATGAATGCAATGTATGAAAAACACGAAGCGCCTGACCCATCTATCATTGGCGGGCGTATGCCAAGATATAGATGGTTTGGTATTATAACTCTCGTCTCCGCCCTATACTACTTTATTCCCGGATACTTTGCCCAATTCTTGAGCGTCTTTGCTTTCGCAACATGGATGGCTCCTCAGAATCCAGTAATAAATCAATTATTTGGTGGCACGACCGGTCTGTCTTTGTTACCGATTACTTTTGACTGGACTCAGATATCAGGATACATAGGTTCGCCTCTGACCTTTCCATGGTTCGTCCCCTTAGTTCCGCAATCCCATCGTGGATGCAGTGTTCGTGTTCAGCAACTAAATGGCTTCTAGGCATGCCATTGCAAATACCACGATAGGCGTCGTACTGTTTTATATCATACTATCTACACTTTTCCATTACACTGGCGTATGGTATGCTCCGTTCTTACCAATGAGCGACTCTTCTACATATGACAATACCGGCGCCACATATAACGTGTCAAGGATATTGACTTCCCAGTTCACCTTAGACGAAGAAGCCTACAAGGCTTATTCACCAATCTTCATTAGGTTTGACATCCCCATATCATTCGCTCGTATATTGAGCTTACATGAGATGTAGCACCACTTTTGCATTGTCTTACGGGCTATCTTTTGCGGCTATCACTGCCTTGATAGTATACACCTATCTACATCATAGCAAAGCTATCTGGGATCAATACAGGAACAGCACCAGTGAGAAACCTGACAGTACGTATAATTATATTGAACATCTTTCAGACCATCACTTTGGTATACATCTAGCAGACTCAAATCAACACTTAACAATTTGCATAGCCATTGCTAACTTAGAACATTGTAGTACATATGAAGCTTATGCAGAAGTACAAGGAAGCGCCCTCGTGGTGGTATTTTTCCCTGTTCGCGATTGTTTGTTCTCTCAAACCCAGATAACTTATGGCTTTCATTGCTAAACTGTTATACAGGTGCTGGCATTGGCCTTTGTTTCAGTCTTAGCATATCCGACCAATCTAACTTGGTGGGCTTTCTTACTCGCCGTGGGGATCTCTTTCGCTTTCTCGCTCCCGATTGGAATTATCCAGGCTGTTACGAACCACCAGATTGGGCTCAACGTCTTAACTGAGTTCGTATACGGTTACATTCAGCCTGGACGACCTTTGGCCCTTATGCTGTAAGCGTATCCCGCCCCCATACCTATAGACGTTGCTGATGAGTCACCCTTAGATTTAAAACATATGGTTATATCACAATGTAAGTGCCTAGGGATAGTCTTCTGGTATAGTCTTCTGGTTGGAATCACATTAACCAACTTGCATAGGGCACAAGCCTTGAGCTTCGTCTCCGATCTAAAATTTGGTCATTACATGAAAATCCCCCCACGAACCATGTTTATGGCTCAGGTCGTCGCGACGACAGTTTCGTGCTTCATCCAGATCGCAGTCCTCAATTTCGCGCTCGGTAACATTGAAGGGGTATGCGAATTAACTCAGCCGCAGCGGTTTACTTGTCCCGGAGGCCGAGTGTTCTTCTCAGGTACCTACCCCCTTATTTCTAAAAGCGCCCTCCTCTTGTCCAATCGCTAACCTAGATAATCTCATAGCCTCCGTCATCTGGGGTCTGATCGGGCCATCCCGGGTATTCTCTCCCGGCCAGATATACTCGGGGCTTCTCACGTTCTTCGTCGTTGGCGCTGTTGCACCCATTATATTCTGGTTCGCAGCGCGCCGATGGCCAAGGTCAGGCGCTAAATACTTGATGGCGCCCCTGATCTTCGGTGGCGCGGGTTCGATCCCGCCGGCAACACCCCTTAACTATCTGTCTTGGGGCGTCGTCGGATACATATTCCAGTACGTAATCAAGAAGAGCCATTTCCGCTGGTGGAGCCGCCTCAACTACCTCACGTCTGCCGGCCTTGATCTCGGTCTTGCGCTAGGCACGCTGGTCATGTTCTTCGTGTTTACGCTTAACGAGATCGAGGCTCCCCGCTGGTGGGGAAATGATGTGGTGACAGGTACGATGGACTACCAGGGTAAGGCTATCCAGGTTGTATTACCGCCGGGCGAAACTTTTGGGCCGGAGGTATGGTAAGGCTACGAGTGTATATTTGCTAGCGTTGACAGGAGCAAGTGTTTGGTGATGTAATCTAGATGTCTCTGGGTGACGTGGAGTTGAGATCCTAGAATCAGGATAAACGATCTAACATAGAAATAAGTCTCATAGATTTGTATGGATACTTGCTATTCTATTCTATATGATTTACCGAGAGCTAAATTGCCAGGTGTCTACGCGTAGGACAATCCTTATAACGACGTGGCCTAACTGTGCTATTATTTAGGTACCTATACCTTAAATAACCGCACGATGATACCTAGCTCGCTAAGCCCTGAAATAAGGCTGAAGGTACCTATCACGCATATGTACCGGGTGGCCATGGCCATAACCCGGGCCCAATAGTAGTATCACAGCGAGTACAGCCGACATAGTTAGGTACATAAATAGCATAGCCCTCGACAAATAAAAAGGAGGTCAACCCGCCAATTCAGCTCAGCCACCTCTACGCCCGCGGCCAAGTCTATAACTCGGATGATTTGTTTCGATATCCCCTATGACCCACCTACTGAAGAGATTTTCTCAGACTTGATCCCTTCTTAATCTTCATCAAGGAACCGAATCCTTGGCCTATCCGACCATTATACTGTTGTTTCCTTAATGTTATGTCTGAGCATCGGCAAAAGTAATTACCCCTTTTCAGGGGCTAACCCTTTGATTACCTGACTGAATACCTCGTTATAACTGCCTTTACCTTAAGGTAAATGACAGCAAACATATTGAAAGCTTACTATCCTAGCTCCGCGATATTATCAAGAGCGAAATAGAACCCAATTGCTGCATTCCTATGCCTTGGTTCGCTTGAGCTTAAATTTAAGGCGTGCGTACTTATGATTCACAAGGCATAGCCCTAAAGTGCCTTCTTTACTACTAGAACCCCGATAGATCGCCGTCCGTTCATCAAGTTTAGATAGTTCTCGTAGGTTAAGCCATTGCTACCTGAGCTGCGGTTGACTTGAAACAGCTAATAGTATGTCTCATTGAAACCTCCCCAAGACACAGCGGCGTTGGTTTGATCTATTCTACCGGAGAAACTTCGTGGACTGCTTCGCTCTCGGTAATGTAGCGAATTCCAACGGCTCTAACCTTCACGGATAGGTGCTGTTAAGACCCAACACTAGTACTGCAATCTAAAAAATTTCAATAACTAGTCCCATCGGCTCTCGTTTATCTTAGGTACATAGACCACCTATCATAGCCATCATCTCAAGTAACCATATAGGCAAAGACTAGGTACTTTCCACTCCAATTAGTCGTATTCAAGCTAAGCATACATAAGTAGATATTAGACTGAGTCGTATGAATGCAGGATCTAGGAAGGTCTGAATCCACGAGCTCTATCCCGTACATTCTGCGCCACTCTCGCCTTGCCTAGCATCCTCACTACCTGCTACAGTCGAACCGGATTCTGCCACAACAGGCCTACCCCAACAACAATAGCAGCCGTGCCAGCAGCCATGAGCCTAAATAAAGGTTAGGAGAAGGATCTTATATAGCACGGTCACAAGGTTGGGAGTAACTTACGCCTTGTTTCTACGATCGTGTAGCCACGACGCAAGACCCCCAATCCATTTCACGAACACGATCCGTATGCAAGCTTCGAGCCAGTCTGGATATTTATTGCGGCCCTGGGAATGATGCGTAGAAGGTGGAGTAGCCGGCCTGTCGATTATACGTTTCCGTAGGCCCGGCGGGCTAGTAGTACCGAAAGATGTTGATTTCCCGTTCGCTTCGCTTGTACTCTCCATGTTGGAACTGTCACTCAAGTGCCTATCTGGCGTGCGACGTGGAGTGATGATTGTACTGGGCTTAGGTAAATCGCTTTCAACAATGGGTGGTACGTCGTCATTACTTCCCGAAACATCTGCGTTGCCCTCCAGCTCTGCGGCCTCCGGAACATTGCCGTCGGAAGATGCAGGTGGTGAAGGTAAGGACGGCGAACATTGTTGGGATTGCTCGGCCATTTTCCTGGAATCAACCCTCATAGCAATGCCTTCGTCGTTGTCGTCATCGCTAACGACGCGGTCAGGGGTAGGAGAACCCCAAGAAGGCCCAGGATGTTGTATGAACGGAGCTGTAGCATCCTCCGTCTCATCAATCACATGCTCGTTGCGCGCTTCATCATCTTCAAGGATTGACCCTAGAGAGGTCGCCGCTGATTCTCTACGCCCGGAGCGCGATCGCCTAGTGCTATTGCTAGGGCGGAGATTCTGCTTATCATCCGAAAGCGAATCTGGCAGACTTAGCGACTCGCCTTGATTATCGGGTGAGTAGGCATTCTTACAATTTTGGAGAAGGGCAATTATGGGTGCTGATGGAATTTCGTCGACAACTGTGCGGTCGGCATCTATGCTCGTCGAAATGCGTCGCACAGCAGCCATGATAGACTCCCGATCGTTCGACGGGAACTCTTCTAACTGGGGATCGTCAAAGTCTTCGCCCTCGACCTCAATAGCCGGGTTGCCGAACTCGGAATGAGACTTGTTATCCTTGTTGATGTCATCATCATCATCGGGTACGTCTTCTTTGTGAGAAGATGATCCTATGGATTCATAGGAAAACATAGGGCATAGGTCTTTTTCGCCTTCATACCCATCATCTAAAGCAGATTCATCAATATCCAGCGTCGCAGCGACAGTGGCGACCTCTATAGCTGTCTCTGAGACTTCACCAATTGGAGTTGTTGACATGCGCCGGGTACCTATTCTTCCTGCTTCGCCGTCTGATATCTCCGGCTCAGGAGTCTCGGGATCTAAAGTGCGTGCCGAGTCAGCCACCTCAGCAGCTGCCTGTGCGAAGTCCTGAGTCTGCGTGCTAGTGTTGGTTTCCAACCCCTCTAATTCGTTGGCCTTAGGGGTTGGCACCTCGCTGACATTTTCATTTTCTTGAGGCGCATCAATTGAGACTCTAAGAATATTGTTCGTGTTTCCCGATTCATCCGTGGCTTAGGAATTGCTATTAGTATATGAAGTAGTAACGCAGGTGAAAATTAATGTTAGATATGAAATATTTACCTATATCGGCACTCTCGTCCAAGGCCCACCAATCACCAGATCCTATGCGGAATTTGTATTGGATTTCGGTGCCATCGTCAACCATGACTTGTTTGGTGAATAGATAACCCCCAAGCTGGTCGATGGCGACATCCATCTCTTGGGGCTGCCATGGCGGATCCGAAAACGAACCTGCTATATAGATGGGAGGATCGGTGTCCTTCTTCTTGTAGGTAAAGGTAATAGGGACCTTTTGGTGAGACATATCGGGTGAGGTAGAAGCTGATTTTTGAGTTATTACGAGTTCATGACTAATTGATGCCTGTCGAGGGTCGACCGAGTGTAGGATAGTCGGTTCGACAAGTTTAGGATCGAGGATGGCGTCCATGAAATAAAATAGATATTAGGGGGCCGAATGAGGCTTTTGGGCCATCAATCAATTCGGATTGGAGTTACTTCGGCCGCTGTTGTGCGAACCTAGATTCGCGGGTGTTCGGGTAAGAGCCTGGTGAGAACCTGTTGAGAACCTGGAGACTCGAGGCGAATCCAACGGGAATCCACGGAAGTCCAGCTACGGGATTAACGGGATAACACAATCTAAGACTGCGGGCTTAGTCCTTCGCTTGTAAATATATATAATATCTCTTATTCAAAATCAATTAGTTTTTTTTAATCATAGGAATGGGTTAAAATTCTGACAGCCTGGAATGGCTTATATGAATGGGCTTGTATGATCCATGTAACTTTTCATGTACAGCCATATGCAGCTTTCATGCAGATAAAAGACTAGGGATCGAACTTGATAAGGGGTTTGCTCAATCGACAACTTACAGTTGGGCAATGGTTATTGATGCGGCGTTTGAAGGATCCAAACCGACGATATTTAGTAAAATAATAGACTTGTGTGTGTTGGTAGAGGATGATGAAATGATAGACCCAACCAAGTCTATTGAAAAAGAATCAATGATAATCTGAAAGTGACAGTTCTGGTATAAGGATTTCTTCAGGGTGGTAGTGGCATCATGCGAGACTTCCTAGTGTGTGTAGGTGTGTGTAGGTGTGTGTAGGTAGTAAAGTACGGTTAGGTACTTGGCTAACTCCCTTAGACGGTCGTGGCATGATAGTTATTAAAATCAAGCTGCGTCGTCCTGACGCAGGTTTTACGCTGGTCTGGGTCGTTCCATTCATCAGCCGTTGCCACTGGAGCAACCCAACCTTTACAAAGCCAAGGCTCTTATGGATCCGGGCCACACCCCAACTCGCGAGATAATGAAATGTCAAGTCGAATCATTGCTCTTGAATCCATCCCTACCTACCCATACCTATCCATACCTACCTAACCGTTGAGGCTCACCAGTATCCCCGATGCGTTAAGAAGCTTGTGGGACATGTACGCTTGTAGGCATGTATGCTTCTAGGCTTGAAGGAAAACGGTAGACACGTTGTCGTATCTGTAGGCCGAGTGGGCATTTCGGAAACGTGTCGCTCTCCTGGAGGAGAGGTTGTATGATGTAAATCTAGCTGCAATAAGGTTCGGCTATCAGCCAACGATGCGAATGGCGTAACGCTAAGCTCATGGTCGAAAAACGTAAGGCTTTGTAGCTGGATGGCCACGATGGAGAAGCGGGGATATGGAGGAGACTATGGAGATAGGTATGGAGACATTGTACATCTGTAATAGTAGTGTACATAATAAAGAAACAGGGCCCTTTTCCTTTCTCCACTGTCATACTGTCATTGACTCGGTCCACCCGGAAAGCGGAGAGGTATGAATAGGTGTAGATACCTAGGTTAGTACCTATGTAGGTCGACTATGTTATACATATGGCATACATATGTCAACCTATGAATTATAGTAATTATGAAATGATAAGATGAATAAAAAGTGCGCAACCGGTTTGTTGAGACATTAAATCAGTTTCTAAGTTCTATGAAGACCCACGGAGCAAAAGTTCCCTTGCTCATGTCGGCAATTGCAACTTCGCCCACCAGATAAGCTTATCGATATAGATTTTGTTAAAGGGTTTAAAAGATTAGTAGATATTAGCGATTTATACGAGTTTAACCGTCACGTTCATAAAAGATACGACAACTTTATGAATTGCTTATTTTCTTTCAATTTCAATTTGAGTTGAGCCATTGCCGCTTCATAAATATAGATAGAATTGATTCTACATAGACCACGTCTCTCGCTCAACCCTTTTCATGGCACCGGCAGAACGAGACTATGAGTCTAGTAACGACGTCATCTTAATACTCACTCTAAAAGAAAGCTACCTTGGAGTAAACCCCCAGCACCATGCCACCAACACAAACTCACCCCACCTAAGTATTAGTTTACCATTAACTAGTTACCAGTATAATATATCACCTTACCCCTTACGAAGCAATATCCTCAGACTATTCAAACGCGACTTTAAGCGCGGTATTGTCCTTGTTGATTTTAGCCCACTCGGCGCTCTTCTCCCATATAATGCGCTGCTTCTCCTTATCCAGCACGGCGGGGTCAGGATCGTCTTTCTTGAGGAGCGTATAATAACCCCGTTCACCATCTTCGGCCTTAGCAACACCCAATTCTATGATATCAATGCCAGCCTCGCGCGACGTGCGGAATGTCGGGTCAGCAAAGCGTTGAATCAAGGGCATCAATGGTTTGAATAAGACTTTCTGTATGATCCTAATGGAAAGTGGGACATTGGTTCGAAAAGCGCGGGAGTCGCCAAGGTTTCCGGGATTTATGGCCACAACGGTGATCTTGGAGAGCTTGGGATCCTTATAGCGTCGAAATATTAGCCAAAGCCCAGAGAAAAGTGTTTGGGATATTCACCTTTTGTAAATATTCGTTGAGCGGATACATCCAGGTAGTGACGACCAGTTTCAAAATGGCATATCTCTGGGCCCCTCTACCTTGCTTATCGGGGTCCGCCGGTGGATGGATCAGGAGGTCGATGTTATCAGGAATTTCGGGAAGATATGGCGTCATCGGGCTCTTTTTGCGATAATGCGAGATACTCGACAGGAGCTCGATACGGCCGCCATTGGGACTGAAATGTTTGAGAAGGCGTAAGACTAATGCTACATGAGCGATGTGTCCGACTTGTAAAGTCTTATCATATCCATCGACGGTGAGTTCAGGATCAGCGACAAGATTCCAGTAAAACGCATTGCAGATGATCGACTTGATGGCAGGTAAAGATCCACTAGTAATCTGCCCCGAGATAGTGGTAGCAAATGCATGAACGGCAGTAAGGTCGGCTAGATCAAGCTCATAGATAGATGCTTTCGCCTTAGGATATCGAGCTATGATATCACGGAGGTTGTTGGTATTGACATCAGTATTGGCAGCACTTCTGACGGTAAAAACAGCAGTATGCTGCGGGTATGTTTTGAGAAGGTGATCAACGGCGTGGAAACCGGCTGAACTATTAGCGCCAGTGAGTATAACGGTGCCAGACATAGTGGATGCTGAGCTGCAATGAAACAAAGGGCGTGAGATAAAGAATGTAAGACAAAATTGTACGACACAAGAATACCTACTTACTATGTAAGTATATTAAAGGGGAAATAGGACGACTATGTACATCACTTCGGTCCAATGATAGCTTATTAATTCAACTAGCTAGATAGCATCTCCGTCCGGAGTCCTACATGTGTAGTATTAGAAGGATTATGTATATATTGTTTATAGCTTCAAGTACCTTGCTAGGGTATTAGCGATTTTGATTGGCTACCTAAGTCGCTTCTAGGACGAATGAGAAGCTTCAATCTTTCCTACGCCTCTGGTGCGGAGAGCTTAAGTGGTTACCTCTGTAAGGCTTAGCGCTCTAAATTTAATATGAGCTAATGCAGGTAGAATCGTCAAGAACTCTGATTGGCTACTTGTCTTTCTTACATCTGATGGCACATCAAAACGCCGTGTATTCTAACATCTAACCCTTGTCAACCTTCTTTTCATTGCTCGAGGGTTTTTTTTAATTGGCATAGACCAGCATAGGTATGTCTTGAAGTTCGGTCTGCTATAACTATGAACACACCATAAGGACGTCAATCCCGCATACTTTTTTGGTATTTTGGTATTAAAATTTGGTGAGATTACTATACTCGTCTATTTTAGGGCTTCTCATACGAATAGGTACCTAGGTTAGGTACTTAGGCCCATTCCTACCCACAACCCTAACTCTTTAAAACTCAATAGCTATGTTGTCATCGATATAAATGCGCCCCATACTCTAAGTGCTAGCTAAAACATATTTATGGGCATATATAAGAATGGGTAAAAACGATTAGCTTTTGCAGACAAGTAATTTAACGATGACAATGAAGGAGACAAATACCGAGACGCTTACTTTTATAACTGGTCCCCTTTAGGAATTAAAACAATACTCATGGGCTTTATTTCCTATTTATACTACTAGTAGGTATTCCTACCATATCTACGTTAGTTCTGAGTTATTACTACAAATCATTACACCTAGCATCACACTGCCTACATGTGTCCTTTCCTTTACATAATACCTTTACATTTGTGATCGAATGTCTTTCATTAGTCATAAACGATTGCGGTTACCTGCATATAAGTAAATCAAGAAAATGTCGACTAAAACGCGAACATTATAGATAAGATAAAGCTATCCACGTACCTATGTACAGATTTAAGGTTAATTATCTTACGTAGTACACCGATGCCAACGTACCTAGGTATCTGCCCCACGTCAAATAGTTCAGAACAACTCATTAAAGAGTTCCTCATTACAACTTCTAACAACAGTTGCGTTGCTAGCTTTCGGTGCAGAATAGGTAGTCTACGTCCAAACATCTGCTCGAATCTTCTATATTACCATGTCTGTACCGCCGCAGTTAATTCGCGTGAAGCGAAAGGCCACAGAGGAGGCCCCAGTCTCTTTTCTCCGTAAGTTGTCGCATAACCCATCCATCTCATTACACGCCGTGGAGAAATTAGTAGTTGACCTTTATTCTAGGTGTTCAGGAGAACAAGAGGCACCGGAGCGAAGCCTTTGTGTATCAAAGACAGCAAGAGCGAGCTAATTCTACCGAAAACATTCCATCCGAATCGCACAAACCAATCATTCATACTTCTCACCCACACTCGAAGACCCCGGCATTCCAGAGCCCCAAGACATCAGACACTATCGTCAATGATGGATCTAGCGATAATGAGACTGCCAGCGAATCTTCCAAGTCCACGAGCCTCGTCGATGCCTCTTCTGAACCTCGACGATTTCACATGTCGAGAAAAGATATAATGCTTGCGACGGCTTCTCAGCCCGGCCGACCTCGTGGAGGCATCTCGAAGAAACGTTCTGCACCTGCGTTATTCGTAGAACGCAAGATCAAACGAATCTCATCCAGACCCCTTGAAAAGTTTCACGCTATTACCAATGCTGCCAGTCAAATACCCGGTCCAGCACCTACTGCGACGGGGGACATGGAAATTGACAAGCCGGAGCCTCGCAAGCTCAAGAAGCCAGGTGTAGCAAAGCTTGCAAAGAAGCAAGATGGAGAAAAGTACAAAGCCGACCTCCCGCAATCCATAACCCAACGATGGAACGTAGATATAGACAAGTTAACGGCTGAGCTGGACGCATATACAATGGAGCAAATTGGTCTTAACCTCCAGAAGGCCGAAGAGGAGAAGCAACAGCAACGTTCTACTATTAGCCAACACAGATTCAAGCCCAAACCGATCAAGCGATATGCAGAACGACACCCTAGAGAGATACAAGCTTCGGCGGATAAGGACATGATGGATACGGATGTTGATATTAGTGATAGCGATGACAGTGACTACATTATCGAAACCTACGAACGTGTACCTGCAAGCAAGATGGGAGAGCATGTGCCTCCGCACAGCGTCGGACTCCTCGTGTTTGATGAAGAGCCTGACATGGAATACTTTTATGGAGAAGATGACAATAGCGAAGACGAGTGGGCCGAGGACGAGGAGGATGAGAACGGTACGTGCTACCCTCCAATTAGAAGTTCCCTGCTGTTCAGCACACTCACGGGTATATAGCCGAGAATTATTACGCCGCGGACTACCCCGATGAGGAAGTTGCTTCGGATGATGAATTCGATAAGAATCCATATTCTTTCCGAACTGGCAACGCCTCAGATCTCGAGGAGTATGATCTAGATGAAGATGACGGCGATGCGGCTTTTACCGATAAGGACGAGGCGAGCAGATTCGCTGCGTACATCAGTCGGCCTCGGGGGGATAGGTTCATGGCAAACCAACTGTAAAAATGTCATTACGAAATCCCGATATCATCGGTACCGCGCGGCTAGTCTACGAAGCACATTATGAATTTGTGCCAACATCTATGAATGGCTGATTTTTATTGAACGGGTTGGTCTGCAGCCCGGCCCGGCATTCTGGCATAGCGCATCGGCGTTAAACCCCTGGTTGTGATTTTCCGAAACATAATTTGGCGAGGGAAAAGGGGGTTTACCTTGCCCAGCCTTGTCCGCAGGGTTTAAGCAAACACGCCCTAGTCCCGATCTGCATGTGAATCCCGAATGGCCCGAATATGGAATGGATATCGTCGTGGATGGCCATCCTTATGACGTTTATTGGTGCGGTAGCACCGTTAGGCAAACTTCGTCTTCAACCTCTCTTGTAGATAGACAGGTAGCACAGCCGATGAATCCAACCAGTCTGGAGAGGAATCACATAGCATTGCATTCCACCGTTTTTACACTATTTCTTGCTTTCTGCAGCGTAGTAGTCATCTGTATAGCGTAAATTCTAGCAAGTGCTTGTTTAAGCCCCGGGGTAGGTGAATAACACCCCATGACTACTAACTTGTTCACACCGAAGAAGATGATGATTCATGAGGTAAACGAATACATAGCTGACGAATGATGAGGCTGATTATGACTGAAAATGTCTGAAAAAAGATGGTTGCTTTTTATTCCTGCCTTAACGAACAAAAGGCCTCCCTTGATGCCTCTTGACCGCCACGAATAAGTACTTGCTGACCAGATAAACCACCTGTGTAAGACACGGGAATTTCTAGAAGATAACTAGAGCCTCGCGAGTAGGCGAGCAAGATAGACACAGAATCGAAGAAAAAAAACGAAAAATAAATAAAAACCCGCTTCAAGACGCAAGAAAAAGAAAGGAGGTATATACATATATATATCAATCCGCGCCGATACCCATTTCCGTGTCCGCGTGCTCATTCATTAATCCGTAGCCCATACAAATCAAGTGAAATAAAATCAGATTAGATCAAGTAATCAGTGATTCGGTCAGTCAGTCAGTCAGTCAGTCCGGTTCCAACCCCAAGTACCTAATTCAAGAAAACAAAAAGGAAGCCGTGGTTCCCAGCGCCAAGTCAGCAAGGCCTCCCTTTCTCGTTCCCTCTGACGCCCCCAACCTCACCGCCTCCAGACCATTTGTTCGTTGGGTGGCTGTCTGTCCCTCGCCTCGTAAACGCTGGCTTACGTAGGTAGGTAAGTAAGTAGGTAGACAGCGCTTCCCCGTCGCGACGTATGTCTAAAATAAAGATGGAATAAATAAATAAATAGATAGATAGATAGATAGATAGATAGACTCGTTATGGTGGTGGGGGTCTAGGATTCGCAGACGACCCCGCGGATAATAATCGAGTACGAAGTTGTCTTGTCGGTAGACGAATAGATACAAACGAAGGTAAACGAGAGAAGCCTATGCGGCTTTTGTGTTGGGCGTCTATGCATATGTATGTATGTATGTATGTCGGCTGTCCGAGATGGTCTGAGACAGCAGGCGGTATGAGCTCATAGTGTCTGCTTGAGTGCTGTATTGTCTCAAGTCAAGTCACCTGTGGTTGGCGCCGAAGCCAGTATTCACGTAGAGTCCGTCCTCCGCCTTGACGATATGCGAAAATTTGAGAGGGTTGTCTGCGAGCTTTGGGGGCATGGCGAATTTGCTTTCTTCTGGAGAGGGCTCGCGCGGAAAAGAGCGCTTTGGAGTCTCCTTGTCGCCGTCTGGCTTGTAACAGCAACCGCACTGGCCGTTCGCCAGCTTTTCCTTCCATTTGCCCTTTTGGATCGCTTCACATCGTGCCTGTTCCTTCTGCGCAGCGCGCTCTTTGGCTGGTTGAATTCATTAGCTCCAGTTGCTACGGAGGGGGGAACCCCCTATCTGACGGGGACTTACCTAGTTCAGCAGCCACAATTTTCACCTTGTATGGCACCCAGTCATAGAGCATGGCTCGCTCGGGATACAGGTAGGTCAGGCTGAAGTATGGCTTGTCTTCCAGTTGATGTCGAACCTTGGCAACCACTGCCTCTACGTGCCCCTCGGGTAGAAACACAAGTCTTCTTCCCTTATCTATGAGATGAGGGAGATGCAGGTTGTCTCTGTAGTGAATGCCTTGGATGCCTTGGGTTGTGCGTTCTTTTCCAGGCGGCATTATAAATCTCTTCTCAAAGAGGCGTCTGTTCTCCTCCCACGAGAACTTCATCTCGTATTTGTTGAATCGAATAAAATCGGCCTCCTCTGTTGTGTACTTGATGTTGTTGTGGGAGCCCTTTTTGTTGCAGCCTTCCGTAGAATCTTCTTCAGATGGTGAGGGTTGTGGTCGGGGTCGATGACAATAGCCGCGGGACTGCGACGTGTACTGCTGCTTCTCTCGATAGAAAACTGGTTGCGGATCGCAGAATTTCAAGGAAATGTTCAAGGAAATATTCAAAGAATTCCCCCTTGAGTCTCGGGGCTGCGAAAGGAGTTCTTGACAGCCATTGGATTCTTTCCTTCTGAGATTAAGCCACTGGACGATGGGGTCTTCTGGCGCTGGAGATTTTGGCTGTGATGAGAGAGAGTACTCATTTTCGGGCTCCGGGCTGGAACTAGGTGTCTGTAGCACCCTTCGAGGTCTGTGGTGGGAAGTGGGTCGACGGCCTTCACGCTCCTCGGCTGATAGGATATGGTAAATACCTGGGAGTGTGACTGGTCGGAGCTTGACCTTCTTCGAGCTCTCGCCCAGGTTATCACATTTACGCTTCAGAAACTCTCCACGAGGGGGTACTAAGTCGAGCCGAGGAATGTCATCGGGCTCGTGCTTTGACCTCGGCGTCTGAGGGGGCGAGGACCTAATCGAAACGTTCTCCCACGGCTCTGTGGTAATCGAAACATTTTCCCACGGTTCAGCGGTAGATTCCTGGGAGAATGAAGAGCCAGACCTCTCACTGATTGGTGAATAGGGCGATACTGAAGTATCTGTGAGGCGAATCGTGCTGTCAACTCTTCTATAAGGAGTAACCGGTGGAAGTCGGCCAGTATTCAGTTGAGCCGACTCGGACTGAACCGAACGGAGTGGGAGTGGTGAATTTAAAATCGCTTTTCGCTGGATAGCTAGATGATTCATTCTTGTTATATTGTTGTCGTATTGAATTCGCATAATATTAGTAAATATCGACTCGTTGATGGTATGAGAGGAAGTGAGGTAAGGAATTAGATAAAGTCTTAGATGATGAAAAATGCTTGCTGATCAAAGCGTGAAGGGAGGAGGACTATTTATGACTCTTGAATCGATGTAGGAGGACGATCCAGTGCAGGACAGGTACCCGACTGTTTAATATAGACCAACAACGTCCCGACACACAGGGTCGAGTCTACTGAAGAGTACTTGGTGCAACCTTACAGACGAGCAGCAGCCCTGTAGCAGAGAAGCACCCCCGGGGTGTCGCTTGAGCGGCAACTATTGGTAATCCGTCTCTTGGCTTCTGATATATAACACGGCTTGGGGTTGATAAGTACGCCTATGTCTCTAGTAAAATGACGAGAAAGTGGTTTTTCTTTTACAAGATTCTACTAGTCAAGCGATTGGTGGGTATATGAAAGACACGAACTACTGCGGAGAATAAGCCATTCTGCACTGAGAATCTAAACTCGACAAAAGGCGAGCGGGAGCGGTGGCCGATGTGGTAGGGTAGGAATGGACGACACGGAGAATGACAACGCTTGGTCGAGTGGCGGTATACCCAAGCGGAGGAGTCCATCCATCCCCAATCTGTGATGCTTGAATGGACGGACCATGGCGCAAGGGGGGGCTCGAGGTCCAAGGCTATTCTCGATGCAAACCTGGACAACCCAGACACACAGTTTCAATCAATGCAACCACATCGATGGTGGCCGATCGTGCATGAGACCAAAGTCAGAATAAAGGCAAGACATTATAAGTAGGTAGAGTTATAGGTACCAAAAAAAACGCCCTCCGCATTAGCGGTATAGAGATCGTCTAAGGCGGTAGTCCAGTGAGAATAGGCATTAATTCCCACCCGTCCGAGATAGAAACAAAGCAATTGAATATTGTTCCCGTCTTTCCTAGCCGATAAGTCTAATTACCGCCGTTTGGCACTGTGAGTGCCCTCTTATGTGTCAATGGCACGCCATTCGCTTATAACCCTGAGAGGTTCCCAAGCTGTCGGGACCAGCCCACCAATAGAACCATCGAGTAGGTCCAGGGGCAGGTCAACCGAAGAGGGGGTGAAAATACGCGGGCCGGTTATATGATGGAATAGGTAAGTGTGAAGGACAGAACTGAATTATGCCAGATGTGCTGTCAGTCGGCGATGAGGATTGTCAGGAAGCGCGCATAAGCAACCCGACCATCATCGTGCCAACCACTTGAAAGAAGGTTGTCTCAGGGTGTCATTTGTGGAAGAGGCTGAGCCTACCTAAGGTACCTCTATCCGTAAACTTATAGGTTCGTCTATATAGGTACCTGTAAATACTAAAAGCCGCACGGTGATGTGCTTTTTTGGGCTTCGTAAGCCGTAAGCGCGACAATACAGCTTGTGATCGACTTTCATTGGGTTATTTTATCGTGGGGGTCGTTCGTGGTCGAGACTTTTCGAGACTTTTCGACACTCGGGCCGGCCAGAGAGAAGTGAATAATCGGGCCAAGGCAAATCCTTGCCTAACTCGGCTCTGCAGAATTATGTGGTCTAACCCTGCGCTTATGATCCCGATAGTGTAAATCGGGCATGTGAATCGCATGTTACCAACATGGAGAAACGCAGAGAGCGCCAAATGCGAAGATGAGCCACTTACGAACCCCAGAGCGACAAAAGAGGCCAGCATAGAGCATTGAGAGAAGGATCGATCGCGTCTCCCTTGTCCCCCTTGTCCCGAGTACTCAAATAGCACGGCGTCTAGCAAGCTGGTAGCTTGGCCTTCCGAGGTAAATTACCTCAACATCCGATATCTTTAGAAATTATTTCAAAGTCTCTCCACTGCCCCCGTTTTTCAACTTCCTAAATTTGGTACCCCCGAAACTAGTAAACGCCGTAACTTAGGTAGTATATTCGGTGTTTACTGTTATTATAACACCTAGCGGCTGAGCTTAGACGAGGCAGTCGAATTTTTATCCCCAGATCTAGGAAACAAAACTCCTCGATTCTGTGTCCAAATTGGTTCGAGTCTTGCCTAATTTCTTTTCTCTTCCCGTCTTTTGTGATTTTTCTCGACCAATAGGCCTGTCGAGATGCAGTACACATACGTAGGGGCGTATAGTACGAATAGGGATTGGAACAATGATGATATTGAGGCTTTCAGCAAGTTTTACAAATTTCGCAAACTCATTGGGTAGGACGGGATCTGCCTGCCGTGATGACGACAAAGACGCCGCCCGCCAGTACGTCCTATCACAAGGGTTCTCCAGACTGATGATCTCCAGGGTTCTGTAGCTAAGATGTCTAAGCGGCCTGATGGCCGGATCCTAACGCTAAACTGAATCTCGCGCCATGGAGAACTCGAACCCCTAGCCCACTAGAGCCGGCTCTGATGTATACATACCTAAACTAAATATCATAGTGGTCTTTAACTTGGTGCAGAAGCCGAGACCATGCTACTAGTGTATGTCTATGCAGTACGGTAGATCCAATTCCGTCCTGTCTAAACCAATTCCACTAGCGACAAGAGACTAACCTACTAAGAAACTGTCACTTCTGACACGTCACATTGTCGAGGCCATTGATTTTCGCCTATAAGTAAACATTTAAGACTGTCTTAGCTTTCAGCTGCATCATCGTCGGCATCCATTTTCGCTACCAGATAATGCAAACATTCTCAGTATAGCGCTCAATCGAGTTGAGAATATTCGAAAGCCTTCGAGGCTCTCCGGAGTAAGATAGATAAGAGAACAAGCCACCCATAAGATGGTAGCACCGGTCTTAAAACACTGGCCATACGTTACAATAGTCGTTTTCGTGTTATTGTTACACCAAAAGTTGAAGTGCATCAATAACCTCTGTATGACAGACAATGTTCGATGTGAACTCGCGACAGGAAGCGGCTTAGTCTCAGTGGAGAATTGTTGCTAGGTAGGTCTATAACAGAGGGAAATTTTGAAGGCGTCGCTAGACCTTTTGCTAAGTCAAGAGAATAGTAATCCAGACGAGACTGATTGAAAACGTGATCAGTGCGGAAAAACAGCCAACGACACTATTGAACACGACAAGCTGATTTGCGAGAGCCTCGGCATCATAGCTTAGACCGATCGACTACCGGATTAATATGGCAATCGCTACTTGCTGTTCTGCCCTCCTCGATGGCCGTATCAATTTTGGAGGCCGCCGTCGATGGCCACACGGTATTGTCGTCTGTCTCGATGAATGATTCGTCGCCGGAAAATTTCCTGGCATTGGTTAGTTCATTGCTGAAAACCCCCTAAATGGACAAACCACTGGATACACTTACCATCCTCTTTCCTCGCCGCCTCGAAGAAAGCTACATTCAGAGTCCAATTCGCAAGTCCAGCCTCCGTAAAGTCCGGAGCAAACTCTCCCTAGCGACCCTAGATCAGGCGATATTGAGTCGTGTGGCTGGAGATCGACATTGCTTGCAGGATCGGTCTTTGCTTCCCTGATCTCTCCGTCGACTTGCGCTGCTGGAATTAGGGCGTCAGTTTCTGCCTTACATTTAGACTCTATAGATGCTTGGATGGCGCTACGCCGCCGCCGCCTGTATTTGCTTAGTCCGCAAGTAAATGCCCCGAAGTCTTTCTCGGCCTGCCCAGTAAGAACTCGTCCTAGCGCGATAACCACCGCTGCATGAGTGCATACTAGTACGGCTTTATGACCCTCCTGGTCGCTACGTCTAATGATGAAATCGATGGCTTCTGCAACCCGATCGTGCAACTGTGGCAAAGTCTCTCCACGACGCGAAGGCGCCGGACTAGATGCGTAGCTCGCATCGAGCTCGGGGAAGAGGCTCTGTAATTTATTCAGGGGCGCAGACGAGGGATGGTCGAAGTGTGCTAAGCCATACCATTCACTAAGGCCGAGATCTACACGAATCTCGGAGTGTGGGTCTCCTGAGACATTCCCAGCCGATTGGGTCTGTAGATGCCTAAGTTTGCGTATAAAGGGCTGAATTGTCTGCATGCACCTATAATAGGGACTGGAATAGACCTGCTCTATCGGCGGGTCAAGCCCTAGTAGGTATTCTGCTAGCTCGTTTGCCTGCTCAATGCCGTGGGATGCAAGAGCTGGGTCGGTTGGTAAACCTGTAGGAGAACGGATCGAAGCCGTATAGTTCCCAGTGGACGGGTCAACAGCCCATGGGGAACGGAACTAGTGAGGATAAGCTTGTATTCGCCCAAATAGCTTCGAAGTGGCTTTCGCCGCAAAATAGTGGTGAGATAAAATAATTTCAGAGTTAAAACAGAGTGTTCAGGTTATGGAAAGACTAGAACTAGCACACCTTACCCCATGTCGGGTCACGTAAATGACTTCTAGAGACATTGACTGATGTCTATTTCTATATGCGATGGTGGGTTGCCTGGAATCTAATTGGCCAGTAGAGAAGCAATAGTATCAAAGTCAGAAGCCACCGGGAAAGAGAAAGACAGATGCCGAATCGTTGCTCATCCGACTATACCATATTCTGTGCGGGAGCAGATGTATAGCCAGGGCATCAGTTTTAGGTATATTATTCGTGATTTGTAGTGTTTAAAAATGAAAGAAACTGGACAGTAAACTCTGAAGAGAGAAGACTCAAGTTTAACATCGGCTTATTAAGAAAGTACCAAGGTACCTAAAATATCATGCCGAGGTAGACTAAGGTCAGAGCGCATCACGTGCGTGTCACGTTTATCCACGATTTCATAGTAGCTAGGTTAGGTGCATAGTATTGTATCCAATCACAATAAGACAAAAATAAAATACACTTAGTAAATTAAACAAATTATAATTTCTAAGATTTTCAAGTGAGATATACGTATATGAAGTACCTCTGAGGGTACCTAATATGCTCGACTATTTCGTAGACCGAGTGCCACTGCAAATCATTATATACCTAATATCGCGAAGTCTAATTGCTCAATCGTCATAACCAGGAACGTCAACAATTAGCAAGATCAAGACTACTTGTCAGGCATGCTACAGTTCTCTTCAACAATATCTAAGCCGCCAGTCTATATGCAGCAGCGAACATGTTGACCTGATCCTTAGCTCTGTACCTTCCCATTGCCGAAAACTCTTGGACGGGTAAATAGCGGTATGTAAAAGCTTTGCCGGGAGTTATGGATCCCAAAAGCAAGTCAATTAAAAATAGGGGTTTATAGAATTATTTATGCTAGCCGTAGCATAAATCTATCATATCTCATTTCCGCAAGTAATACCGTATAAAAGTTGCTTCCTCCAATCGTTCGTCATCCGAAGATTATTATGTAAAGCATCGAAGTGTCAAACAGTCACAGATCCGGGAAGGATTTCTCGCTCAAATAATCTTCATTCTATATGTACACTTTGCTCATGCGCGCTAGTGCTTTCTATCAAACTTCTTAAGAGGCATCGTACTTCACAGCTAAAAGATTACAACAAGCCTCGGTAAAACCCAAATATCATCGCCCTGAGGAATATACAAGCGTTATTAATTGCAGTTAGCATCGGCTGCGGTAGCATCGGCTGCGGTAGCGGCGGCGGCGTTATTGCCGTTGGCTTTCTTCCCGGCGTGGTGACGCTTGTTGTTGCTAAGTTCAAAGTTAGCCATTAGTGCCGGTATTAATGAAAAAGCAATCATATAAAAATGATGGGTTCGCATTCTAAGCTCTGGAGGGGAAAATCACTTACTTGTTGCATGCGTTGGCATTGTTAGCGGCGGCGTTGTTATTGTTACCGGTAGCGGCGGCAGCAGCAGCGGCATTGTTGTTAGCATTGGCATTGCCGTTGTTTCCAGTACCTGCTGCTACAGCAGCGGCGTTGTTGTCTACGCAAAATTGTTAGGAGAATTACACAAATCCACAATAGTGTATAGACGTACTGTTGCCGCCGTTGGCTTTGCGCCCAGCGTGGTGACGAGGCATCACCATGGCGCTGGCGGCGGTGGCGAGAACTAGGATGGAGAAGAACTTCATTTTGACTGGTTGGGTAGAAAAGCGGTTGGCTGAGAAAAATAGAAGCTGTACACGTCCACGGGATCGTATTCAAGAGAAGTGAATGATAGTTAAAAAGGAGGTCCGGCCACCAAGAATACGAATAGGAACGAAATAGAATGAAGAAGAATGAGACGAGTTGTTTTAATGATTGATAGCGGAATGAAGAAGAGAAATCGTTGAATTATCGCGGGATTCTTGGCTACTTATACATATTCTAAGAACCGACGAGTAGCTATACTACATACTAACCGACGATGTCATCTTGACAGGCTCACGACGACAATAGGCTTAGCTTCGACCCTGCGCAGCTCGAGGCGCCCTGCATTTCGTCGGTGACCGGGTGTAAAACAGAAGCGCTGTCACACTCTAGGTACTAAACTTTTCCTATTCGTGATAATAGCTTAGAGTTCTATCCGCGATAGTTGGCCCCAAGTCTCAAAAGAGAAAAGTGCGGCAGGATCTCGCGACGTTTCAGCAGGATCTGAAGCAATGTGGGACATCTAGAATATGGGGGAGAAAAAGCTTGAAGCAATCGCTTCGCGTTCCTATTGGTGCATTTTACCCAAACGTCCTTAATTGACCAGGGGTCAGCTCGCGCCTTGATACCAAGCATCTACCAAAGCCTCCTAAAATAGTAAGCTCCTTGGCTCCTAATCGTCAAGATCCCCAGACCCCGACCATCTTGGGGAATCCAAGTATCATTGATCGACTTTCGCAACAATACTATGCCAATCTCTCATTGGAGCATAAACTTGCATCGGCGCTGGGATGTTTCCCTATTAGCTGAATATGGCAAGTCTCCGTGCAAAGTGACAGTCTCATCTCTTTTGATTCCTATTCCAGTGCAACCTCCAGACTTGGCATTGAGTTCGCCTCGGTCTATTTTCTATTAGCCCTGATTGGCCCTTGACAAGTGCGTATTAGAACTACCATGGTATCAAATTCTAGACTTCTACTGCCTAGGATACGATCGCCGCGAATATGCTACAATATCAAAACAATAATAGCGTAGGGTGGCTGAACTTGGCCACGACCAAGGGACCAATTCGCTATTTCGGAAATTAAGCCACAACACTGACTCCGTGCGCGTAGGTAGCGAATGACCTCTGATATCAAATATCGGTAGCCTTTCCAGGTTCATATAAAATTAAGCATCAGGAAATAACGGCCGGGACGAAGTCCTTGGCTACTGGATGTAGATCAGTTTCAGTACAAGGCAGGGCCTGAGACGAGACTTCACAGACTCTATCCACGCAGGGAAATCTCTTGAGAAGGTCAAGAATTGCCGGGATTTACACTAGGACAAGCAAAGATTTGCGGTGATCATACATAGTATACCTACGCGCTTACCTGCGTGCAGAAAACCATCAAGGCTCGATGCTTATGCTTGGGAGTTCCCCCTGCGTAAATCGCGATATGCCTTTCAGTCAGTGTTGGGATTTATACGATCCATTAGATGTGACGTTTTATAGAATTGATTTGTATTATTTCTTGGCAATCTTATTGTATGCTAAAGATCAACTGCACAACTGACAGGTCACGAAGGCTATTTGTTACTATTCGCTAAAAAAGTAAGGTCGGAAAGGTTCATCGAAGTCCATTCGCTAGCGTAAACTGGTCGCTAATTAGTCAAGTTTCAGCTTTTATCTAAGGACTAGACTCGAGAACATGAATATCCAAAAAGCATCAACAAATACTGTTAGATGGCCGCTAATTTAGATCCCGATCTTATAGCACATCCGCATAAGTCAAAACCAGTGTTACAATATTCAAACATCCTTCGCTAGAAGTTACTGTCATAAGTCCCAGGTTCCTAGGTCTGAGCCTTTGGCGATCAGTGAGAGAGATGCCTTGTGATACGCAACCTTGTGGCTGGAGATGACGACTGCCGCTCCTATTTCCTTGCCATTTCCATTGATTCAGCAAGTAACATCCTGCGTGTTGGCAAGGGACAATTAATAAGACAATGCTAGTAAGACAAATCGCGGTCAGCTGTGAAAGGAGGCGACACCTCTCCTTGGTTGAACTGGTACCTCACGAGTACCGGGTAGGCCCGCTAACAACACAGGTACTCAATTCACTGAATATCAAATACACCCCTAGAGAGAGGCCAGTGACCCCAACTTTAGTAGCTTCGAATAGCAAAGTTATTATGGATTCCTCAAAATTAGCAAGCGGTCTCACCGTCTCGGTGTCCTATCACGGTACCTAGCCTGCTAGAATTGATTAGACTTCTATGTAGAGCTAATGCGGCGGCTAAAGCCTCCATCTAATCATCAAACTGGGTAATATCTAAAAATCCGGGGAACTGATTAAGCCTCCAGCGCTCATACCCGGTTGAGACATTTGGGGTAAGTAAGGCAGAAGCTTAAGAAATGTGAGGGAACTAGAAACATGTGGAGAGAAGGAAGTGGTTAGGTACTACCTAAGTTCTATTGAAATATTGTTCAAGACAACTGTCTCATCCACAAAAGAATACTATGTTGAGCCGAGAGTGTAAGGGTCCAAGACAGAGCCCCATGAAGTAAGTAGTAACTGAAGATTCTCCGTTCACATCTCTTTTACTTAACCAGTGTTAGGGCTTAGGGGTTATATTATATGCCTCCTAAGGAAGCACAGAATAAAAGAACACAGGCCTGGATTACAGTATGCAAGTATAACAGTGGTTCTTTAACTCAAGTTGAAAGAGCTTTGCCTATACCGAAATCTATCGTTTGGCTAGGTGCTTAATTTAGCAAAACTCGATGATAGTAGTGTTTGCATTTCGTTCTTCCTGAAACGTATCTAGTTTCCGAATGCTATGAATAGGTAGATATCCAGACTACGTACATGTAGGTATGTAACGAGGGTGTAACAGCATTATCCAATACTTCGTACAATATCTTATGTATACAAAGTCTCTTACCATATCTAACCCTACATCTATCTAGAAGACTCATTCATCTAAATTATCCCAATGCTCATCTTCAATGTCACGAATAACCATAATAGAGAAGAATGTCACCGGGGTATTTCAAATTTATATAGTTATATACACATTTTCTGCTATACAAATTGTACACTTCATTTTTACAAGGCACTCGTTTTATATAAGTGCCTGGCCCATGAACATACTTTCTCTGACCTCAGCAACGATATCTCGTCGGTCGTCCTTGCCGACTAAGACAACGCCTCTTCCTCTCCTACCCATGCGACCGGCACGTCCTAAGCGGTGTATAAAATCGATGGTGTTGTGTGGTACATCGTACAATATTACATGTCGAACCGCTAGGGTATCAATACCTCTCGAGGCCAAGTCTGTGGCCACGATGACTTTGGTATTAGGCAAACTTCTTCGTCCTTTTCCTGGGGGTGGAACGGTGGATGTTGCGAATGTGGTTTTCATTGGCGCAGTAGTTGTAAACGAACCCAGCATCTCAGATTGACGTTGGTCTGAGGTGTCTCGGTGTAGCGCAACAGCGTCAATGCCCTTGGAGACGAGGTAGTCAGCAACCTCTTGGGTCTTCTCGCGCTCATTGACAAATACCATGATGCGCTTGACATCGACCTCTCCAGGTACGGAGCTCTCGTGTCGGACGGCATCTTTTCCGATGGACCAGATTGCATCGGCACAAGCAAGGTCTTTGCTATTTCGGTAAGGGTCCTTAGATACATCAATAACTCCCAGTTGAACGCGTCGAGGGATGGCGTGGAGATTTGGCGTAGTAATCCGGACCATATCCGGGAATTCAGAACCTAGGTAGTTATCGAGTCTCTTTGGAATAGTAGCAGAGCAAAGGATGAGTTGCTTCATAGATGGTAACGCACGGTCTAAAATGGCCGTCGTCACAGGTGAAAAACTGCGATCGAAAAGAGAATCGGCTTCATCAACTACCAAATGAGTAACTCTAGATAGGATGTTGGGGTCCGAGTCTGCCATCGATGACAGTAAATGAGGTGTTGCCACGATGAGATCGATGCCAGTAGGCGAGTACATGGTCGCATTGATAACCTTTGCGGAGACGTTGGCAGAGAAGATACTGGCCCTAAACTTCACAATATGTGACAGGGCCTTTGCAACATGACCTACTTGGTCAACTAACTCAGCCGTTGGCACTAGCACGACGACTTTCGGTCGTGCAGCAGTCGGATGAGGATCGAATTCTCGGGGGCCGGTGTATCCTGGTTCCTTCATTGCTGCCATCTGTTTATCGAAATATTCCCGATAGGCCGCGATGGCAGGGTCAGAAGCTTCGGCCTTCTTAAGAGCATCGATCACGGGTAGCAGATAGGCTAGCGTTTTGCCCGAACCCGTCTCAGCCGCCAATAGAAATTCTTGCTTTTCGTTACTATCTTTCGCTCGAGAGGATCGTCGGCCAGTGTTTTGACCTAGAAGTGCAGGAATCGCGAGTCGTTGGATAGGAGTGGGCCTTATGTCCACCATGCCTTTCAGTACGTCTTGGGACATGGCTTCTTTGATAGAGGGTAATAGTTCGAATTGTTCAAACGACTCTATCTCGGCTACGCTCGCTTTCGTCCGAGTTCTGTGGCCGTATGAAATTGTGGCTAAGGAGCTTTGCATTTTCATAGCTTTCGTTCGTCGGTCGTCCTTTCTATCACCCTTATGATCTCTACCCCCCCTAGTCTCACTTGTTCGAGATGTCCTTTCTGGTAAACGTTCCCGTATGCCGGCGTACGTTTGATTCATGCCGCCAAACGGTCCTGCTGATCTATGGCCCGGTCTTCTACTTCCACGATCATCAACATTTGTATCTCGTCTGGGAGAGCGTGCGACACGGTCGGACAGGACCATCCTCGAAGGACTAGCTCTCGCTCGGCCAGAGAAGAATCGTTGTTGCGCCGTCACCCATGGTCGATAGGCGCTTTGAAAGGCTGTAGGGTTGTTTGCTGCGAATAGGCATGACGGGCATATTGGTGCTGAGAAAAAGGAGCGCATCTTGAGAAGCCGGACGTCGATCCGGTTTCCTAATTGCGCCGAAATTCACGGAACTAGGTAATTAAGGCTTGTTTCTTGCCTTCTGCCTTCTTCAAAATTTAATAAAATTTCTAGGTTAGATCTTTTGATGGCTATCGATAACAACTAATCGATCCGTCCGTGTGGCACTCACCCCTCCTTCCAAAAAAGGCAATTTTGGAAAGGTACACGGGTACCTACATGCAGATGCCGGGTACGTACATAAACACATGTATGTCTCAACTTACATCACCAGCTCGTACGCGATGTCATTAAGCAGAATGAGTGGTACCTATAAGAGTAGAAGAAACAATATGCAGTATATGCGTTCATATAGCTATAATTATATACCTAAGGTACATAACATAGCAGACCATACATCTACTATCAAGTTGCCATGGCCCGTACAGGTTCCCAACTATTCCTTTCCTCCCTCAAAGAGTTTCGCGGATATGGCAGATCTCCGTATGCCCCAAGAGACATATGAGTTTGCAATAGTCAACATGTAATTATCCTCAATTCCGGCCTTGTCTACCATGTATCCACATCCCCAGTATAGCCTACGAGTCGCCCTCCGTGGGTAGCTTTTGTAGCTGCGTCGATTACGTTTATCATTCCTCGGCACGATTCCTCAACTGTTATAAGCTTTACCGGAATGTTGTCGTGGACTGCTACGAGGCCTGCAAGAGCGACTTGGCCCATGTCGGTGTCTGCTAAGCCAGGGTGAATCACGAATGCTGTAAGCCAGTTTTCTTCCTTGTCGATGCGCTTGGTTACCCAGTGAACCGCCACTTTTGACGGTCCATAAGCGGCGTGGGGAACATCAGGTTGATCCCTATAACTGCAATTAGATATGCCGATGCGGGAAAAGACACCTACTCACTACAGTACACATTACGTTAGTCGACGCCCGCAAACAGAATAGTACAGTATAGATTATTTAGAGGTATTGCTAACGTACCACTATCTTTCCTCCGACGGAGCCCATAGTTATCCACTTAGGATTCGTAGACTTCTTTAGGAGCGGAATTGCGGCCTGGTATAACCATACCACGCCAAAGAGGTTAGGAGTAAGATGTCCTTGCAGCTCTTCAGCCTTAATGTCTGAGACCTTGGGGAAGACGTAGCAGACACCAGCGTTCGCAATGACGATATCTATATGATCGATGCCCTGTGCAGTTAACTGTTTGATGCCCTCAGCAGCATCAGATTCAACAGAGGCGTCGATCTTAATAACAACGAGGCGAGTATCTGCCCCTTTGGGTAGCTCGGCAAGAGCTTTCGACGTAGGGTGATCTGGGTTGCGATTCGCGGCGACGACGATATGGTTCGGCCTAGCGAGGTAGAGCTCAAGGAGTCCTTTGCCTAAACCTCGGTTCGCGCCGCTGATTAAGACGATAGTTGGGGCCATGATGTGTGTTTTGATAGTGACACTGTTGGTATTAATGAATTTTGTTTAGTCTATCTAAACATATTCTTAAGTCCTGCTCGTAGTCGGTTCGTCCCTTGACCTCTTATAGTCAACTATCCTATTCGCCATACTACTGTGCCATACGCCCCCAGCTCGGGAATTTCTTAGAGCCATGACGGGCCAAGCTAAAATGGCTAATGCAGAATGAGTTGTTCTTGCTACATGCTGAGGAGATATAGCCTTCGCGCGTGTTGGGATATGCTACCAGGTGTATCACTGTTCGTAAAACATAGCCCGCCCCCGGGCCGACCGGTTCGCTGACTGCCAATCAGGACTCAATTATATTTGATGTTGGCAGCAATCTGCAAGGTCAAGTGAGTATAATATAAGCGCTATCAACCCGGACTAAATAACCATATCTTTTGTCTATCTGGCACTGAGAGAAACAATACCTGATTAATAGTGATGTCGGGCGCAATGGCGTAACCTAGATAGTCTTAATCTCAAGAGAAAATTGATGGCGCAGTCTTGGCATTTTGATATTATGAGCTATCTTAAAGAATTGACGATTCTATTGGCAAAATTAACTGAAGGGTATTTATAATATATATCATTTTTTTCGCAAGAAGTTATTGTATATACCTATCTGTTTTAATTATTATTTTTCTGATTATTTTCCCGATTTTTCAAAGTGACTATTTTGAATATCATATGCGATGTTTTCTTCGAGGGAAAATGTTAGGACTACGACATTTCTACAAGAGAGGGGCTAAGTCTTCACCGCTTTAGAATTTTTCATGGGTCCCACGAGGTTTGATCCGTCATTCATAGACTTAACCATGGAACCCCCAGGGGTAACAAGGTAGTACATACATACGGAATAGCATTGATCGACGTTGATGACTTGACATGGCTAACAATGTCCGGGATTTAATACGATTGGCAATATTGGATACCTAGGTACTTATTACGGAAGGCTCCGAAGAAGCTTTAAAGAATCTATAGAGCTTACATAGTCGAGCACTAAGCTATTATAGCGTAATATGGATCCGCCGATCCCAGGTTGCAGGACGCCAAAGGATTTATTGCATGACAGACTGATTGCATGAGGAGGTCAAAGAGACATTACATGCCTGTTGGAGCCAAAGAATCGCATACATAGTCCACGTGTTTAGTCAGATCCGAATTTTTGTTAGGTAGACTTATTCTAGATTAGCGAGTTGGCAGACTGTAACACCAACTTGTAAGACGACAGTTAAAAGTTATCGGCTCCGTGTATCTTTAGAATAGAATAGTCAATTAATTACCTACCCAAGTCTTACAAACTGCAAAGAACTAAATTGAGGTATTTAAAATTATTCGATCTTTTTTTCCCTATCATGCTACTATTCTAATGCCATTTCTGTAGTAATGAATGCGTAGTTGGTATGATGTTTAGGCAGTCGCGTGAGGTCCCGGTCTGCTGCGATGTAACACTGCGAGTGCAAGGTGCTGTTGTTCCACTTCCAACGTTCATGCTTTAGCGTCTTATTATTTTCTTTCAATACCCACCAAATATATGTGAGGAAACCAACTCGTCCTTAGAAAAACTTGTTGGAACAAATCCCTAAAAAGAATACATGGTTTATAATTCGATGGGGGAAGAGCCAAGGAAGTTAGGTATTAGCGACGAAGTTTTATCATCTAGTATTTGAAGAGTAAGCGTAAGCGTGAGTATGAACAATCCCCTCGATTTCATCATCTCAGGAGGTAGAACTTTTCTTATGTCAAAGCTTGTTACGTAACAGCACTAGCACATAATTGGTGGTTAGTTTACTGATAGCACGGCTATTCTAATTATTGTCGTTAAAACTAGCATCGCTAAATATAGTAGTTGATTCAAGATAAAATACTCAAGCCTTCTATAAGAGATGAGAAACGAGGACTACGGGGCCCTCCTGAGGGATTTGCTTATCGAAGAAGCTTCAACCAAGCTGAGAATGTAGTAGAGATAGAAATATTTATTGAGGTAAGTTTAGTAGTAGTCAGTGAGATAGTAAAAGTCATATATTCGAATTCGTATCTATTAATTCTAAACCGAGTAAACAAGGCAGCAATCTGTATAGTTACCAAGAACCTATCGTAATCGTATGAATCCCCTTTTCCCCTTGTAATGTATCATATTGATGAAAGGACACGCCGAATCCTGCATTTAACACGTTATGTAGTAAACATCCTCAAACCACCTAGAAATCAGAGGAACCCGCTGGTCTCGACCGAGCTATAATAGCTGCATGGACCCCATTGAACATCCTCCCCATCCTTATTCATTATTTTTCCGAGTAGTTGTAGGCAGCGATAATAAGAGCCAATGTCGCCCGCGCTTAGTGTTGGCTCTATCTGTAAATGTCCGAATAATATGCTTGCATTTTGTACCGGTGGAAACATCGTAGCAAAAAGGCCTCCCAGTTGGCATAGTACTAACTTCACCTCGTCGAGAAAACTCAAATCTGTTTTAATTTCTCTCGTCGACATTATTTCGGCAATCATAGGTACCCATCTAGAGATCCACTGTTGTAGACAGGAAGAGGTCCTGTGGAACTCTTCCCTCCTAACGTCGCGCATGTATGTCACATTGGGATCTTTCGACGTATCGGCGATTGGACCTTGTGTCTCGTCTGGGTAGGCTTCTCCCATTACCACCAATAGGCGCTGGATAGTAGGTTGAAATTGGTTTAATTGTCTCAAAAGATTGCAGAACTTGCATAACGGCGGTAATGATCTTAAATCGGCCCCTGGCTGGAGGTTCTGACGATCGGGAGGATGTCCGCATGTACTGTGGCAATAGCGTTTGGAACAGTAAGGGCAATTTTGTCCATTCTTATGATGGTCGTTCAATGTTGTAATACATTTTGCGTGGAACCTGTGTCCACATGTGAGGATGACTAGGCTGGCTGCATCTTCGCCTTCATCATACTTCTGACATATTGTGCAATTAAGGAAGGGACTGTTTAGTGGATTATTTGAATCGGTACCCAAGTTGGGCATTGGCTGTGTAGTATTAGAGGCCATTGTCAAATATTTAGATGAGTGATATTGCTGAAGTTGTGGTACGGCTGAGAATGTATTCTTGGGAATGCTGCTAATCGGGATCGGGGAATCATGGCTGAAGAGGAGAGAGGGTAGTACGATATTTATATTGAGACCAATAATGAAATGCAAGGACCCAGAGATGTGTTCAAGCCTCGTGGTTTGTTGGGTTGACAGGTTAGAAAGTTTGGCGTGTAAGCATATAGTTCTTGTTTAAGTTCAGAATACTTTCGCTCGGTGGTCTGAATATCAAGAAAATATTTATACGAGAAGTGTTAACTTAATAACGAGGGATTGGACATCTATCAGACCTTTGGTATTTCCATAGCTTGGAATAAACATCTAGCTACGTTCATTGCGGAAGTTTTATCTCTATATGGTGGCTAGGCGGTATCCCATGCAAGTAAACTGTTCCCCTTGAGGAGTTCTTATGAATTAATAACCAAAAAATGCTTCCATTACTTAGCAATTGATGCCCCTGTCTTCAAATTTGTGTTCGAAATAGATTGTGCTGTAGAATATGGATTCGAGACAGAGAAATCAGTAATCACTTGTGGGTTATGTCATAAGTCTAGCTTGTTTGCAGCATTGAAAGTAGACGACTCGGTGAGACGTGATAATTACCTTGGGTTAGGTATATAGTAGTTTTGGGCACAGTACGGTTCGTACGGGGTATAGAACAGCCTTGTAAATAGGGTTGTATCGGCAGCTGTGATAGCACGCCTGACTGGATAACCGTGCGGATATTGTATACGAGTAATAGTACAGACAGTTGATTGTCAAGGAGATTAGGTTCTAGCTAGCCTTTAAGAAAGAGTATAAATAAGCCTTGTCTTATATATATGGGCCTAGTAGAGCTAGTTGATAGACCCGTAAACAGCCCTAAACCAAACTATGTAGTACCTATAGTTTACGGGACGAAGTTGTAGGAACTGTTGGAAGGTGCAATGCATAAGTGCATACATAAGATTTCTACCAATTAGAAGTAGAGCATTAGAATCTTTCAGAATACAACATCATTCTAACCACCAAAACATCACATATCATTAGAACCTTATAGATAAAACTATCCTAAGAAACTATAGAAATAAGGAGCTACAATAACCGCTAATGATTTTAGTTATGTACATTAGGTACCTAAGATAGCTCTAGTCACAAAAAATCGTATAGGTACCTAGTTACCAAAGACCGAGGACTCCTATCATATGCAGGGTTAACAATATCATATCTTAGTATTCGCTACGCTGTAAAAGAATGATGAACTAGGATAAAGGTAGATATAATGGCAAGATAGTCCAGTTGTGAGTTCAAAAATACAAAGGATGGTCCCAGAGAGGCTCGAACTCTCGGCCTTCGCATTATTAGTACGACGCTCTAACCCACTGAGCTTGGGACCAGGCTGAAATCTTTTTAAGGTTAGGAGCCTTGAATGAGTTCTCATCGTGCAAAAACTCCTTTTTTTTTCTTTTCATATGGGCCTGAACGTTGGATGTCGAACATTGGATATGAGTTATTAGTAACAATGCGCTATGCATAATCCGTAGTCCGAAGTGTTATTATGCGCTAAAAGGGGCCGGACGCTGTCAGAATACCTAGCGTCAAAAAAAGTGCTGATTTTGTAAGTACTAACATACCAAAACGCTCACCTTCCTATCCACCTAACTCAGCGAAATATTCGAGTATATCTTTATAAGTTATATCAGAATAGAATTTAGAGTCTATTTCCTATTAGTATCATTTTTGGTATTTTTTCGGCTCGATATATCTTAAGAGAACCTTTTATAAAGGTATTCCCCTTGTTAGGCACTTATTTTGACGCCATTCTGGCTGTGTACTTCGTAAAGACCGCTTACCTAATTTAGCAGATTTCCATGTCTAATCTTATCGGGTTGCGGCTAAATTTAGGGTCTGACAGCTACGGTTACCACGACTACAGGTGCTCAAGCCCCCAAAGTCAATGCAAAGCCGCCGCGATTAGAACAAGTTCACATTCCCACATTCCCACATTCCCACTCCTACACGCGCAACCAAGGACAAACCATGTACGAAGATTCATGGTACAACTTTGTACCAGATCATACCCACAAGAGGACCCCTTCTATCCCACAGACCTCAGGACACAGAAGAAGGGAGTCACTTCTTCAACAGCCCAATGTCAGTCTTATCTTTAAAACACCC